CCGTGTCCCCACCCCCCCCACCCCCCCCCCCCCCACCCTGGCTGGCTGGCTGGCTGGCCTTCCCTCCCCGGTCTGGCCACAACGCCATGGCCAAATCCAACAAGGAGGAATAACAGGAAGTGTTGTATTAACCATCTCACATGACGCATCACATGGTATGATGCGTATGCTCGATAACTGCTGTCATCGCTCTGTCTGCCCCTCTCCCTTGTGTGTATGGCTGTGTCAGGCTACCTGAGTGGTGGGTGCTGCGTCACCACGCCCACGCCCACGCCCGCCCCCTCCCACGCCCACCCCCCCCCTCCACCCCCTCCACCCCCTCCACCCCCTCCATCCCTCTACAACCATACCTCCTCATCCTCATCTCATCCACATGCTGCGACTGCAGGGGGTGGTGTTGCGCTCGGTGGTGAGGGCGAGGGCTGGCAGTGCAGGCTCTGGGAGGGCGGCACTGGTGGACGCTGCGCACAGAGCAAGGTGGCGATGGAGTAGTGGCGGAGAGGGTCGAGCCGGGCGGGATGGCGGCGGGATGGAAGAGGAAAAGAAGAAGCCGTTTGGACGAGCGCTCAATGCCTTCTTCCTCAGAGTTCACCCTGATCGGTTCCAGGCCCATCCTGAGGAGAAGAAGATCAATGAGACCTCGTTCCAGCTGCTCAACACCCTCGTGGCAGAGTGCAAATCGTCGAGCCTCGCCGATGGCATCGCTGCTGTTAGCCCTCCCACATCGCTCGAGTTCTTTGTCCGTCAGCCGTCGTCATCGTCATCTAGCCAGTCCTCGGCCGCGTCGGCTGGCTCGGATGGTGCCGAGGCCGAGGCCGAGGCCGAGGCCGAGCCCGAGAAGCTCCATCGGGTTGTGGTCGACTTGCCGCGGCTGGCCGTTGGCGAACCGCCCGGTCGCCTCCTCCGCGCTACCTTTACCGAGCTCTTTACTCAGGCTGGCTTGGACCCGAGCTTTGACTTTGGAAACTACTTTGGTCGTCCGGTCGACGAGAGCCAGCCGGCGCCGTCGGGCGAGTTTGCGCGGCGGGAGGCGCGCCACGCCCGCACCTGGCCGGCCGGCACGGCGGCGGCCAAGGTCTATCCAGCTGGCTCGCTGCTGGACTTTCTCTCCGACGACCGACTGGATCATGTCCGCCACTCCCTCGCCGCCGTCCGCGACGCTGAACGGGTCCGCAACGTCGAGCAGGCTTCGCTCATGTTCAAGGGCATCCGGATTCTGTACGACGAAGCGCCGGGCTCAGAGTGTGCACCGAGCGACCAGGTTGCTTGGCTCCGTGCCCTCAAGCCAGTCCTCCGCGAGACAATGGGGATCGAACTCGACGAGATCGACGTCGACCGCCAGCGCCCTCTGCGCGGGCCCGGTGGCTCGGGAGAGGAGCCACCGGAGAAGCCTGGCTTTTCGGCCGGCTTTGACCTCCGCCAGTTCCAGGGCGCTGAAGCCCGGGCTGGCATGCAAGGTCCCCCCTCTCTTGTTGTCTGCTTCCACCAGAGCCCGCTGGCGGCGGGCACGACGAGCATCGACGATCTCGGGCGGGTTCATCTCTTCGTCAACGACCCGCCGGCGGCGTGGGCCGCAGCTGTCTGCGAGCTGCAGGGCATGTCGGACGAGGCGCGGTCTGCACATCAGCGGAGGATGGCGGGGAAGAGTGATGGCGAGCTGTCGCTCGCGCTTGCGCTCTCACGGGCTATGCACGTCCGACACGTTTTTGCGTCGTCGGCCGTCGAGGCGCTGCCCGAGTACTCGGAGCTCCTGCTGCGGTTGCAGGTCGGCGCCGCCGACGGTGCCTTTGACCGCGACTGGCTGCGCGGCGGCAAGCTTGCCACACTCCCGCTTCAGATTGTGGCAGACGCCGAAAAGGCATATGTTGACAACGTCCACCACATTCTCTGCCTCCCGGTTGGTGTCGATGTCGAGGGTGTGCTTGACGCGCTGCGGCTGTATGGTCGGCGGGTGGTTCGGACCCAGCGCGCAGCAGAGGCTGCACGGACGCGGCTTGACCGACTGGTGGTCGAAACCCGCCGGCAGCTCATGCTTGAGCGGCTGGTCATTGGACCCGACGTTGACGACGACGCGGCGCGCGAGGGTCTTCAGCGGCTCTCGGGCGCTAAGGGCGTGCTCGGGCCCAAGCTCCATACGCTGCGCCTAGGCATTGGTCGTGAGCATGGGTGGCACGACGCCACAGCCGTCCTTGATGTGGCGTACGACTTTTCGCTCGGCATGTGAATCTTGCGTCAGTTTACGAGTTGTGAGTGCCGAGAATGGTGGTCGAGCCTGCGTTGACCGGGTTGGCAAATGGCTTGGCCGGCTGGACAGGCGCTGACTTTTGCGCGTATGACATCAGCGGGCCGTCGTCGGCGTTCTCGAGCGGCATCGGCGGAGTGTTCTCCTCGATCATCTGGGCAAAGGTTGAGATCTTTTCCTGGACGCCTGAGCCCGAGCTCGAGCCCGAGTCCTTGGCGTCGCCGTGGTTAAAGACAAGCGAGTCGTTGACGTCAGTGGCAAAGGTGTCGTTGAGATCATCGGATCCGGTCTCGTCATCAGACTCCGAGTCGGAGTGGTAGACGTGCTGGAAACGGCGCTGCAGCGCTTCCTCCAGCTGCGACGGCGTGCGCTTGTGGTTGGAGCCCGGCGTTCCGCCTGTCTTGCGCAGCGTTTGCGGCGAGCGAGCCACAAGCTCGGCGAACGAGAACGACGATGCCCGCTGCCGTGGAGGCGTGGCCGGCGTCGACCCGCCATCCGGGAATGCATAGTCCTGGAGCGAGGGCTGCGCTGGCGGCGGCGGTGGCGGTGGCGGCGGTGGAGTGGCCGAAACCGGCGGCGGGGTAGCTGCAACTGGCGGTGGGGTGGCCGCAACCGGCGGTGGCGGTGGCGGAGTGGCGGTCGACTTCGGGGATACGGTTGAAGCCTGGGCCAGGGGTGGTGGCGGGGGCGGAAGTGCCACCTTGGCGGGCGCAGCCGCCGACGCGGTCGTAGCGTTGTCCCACGTCGCAGCTGTATCGATGGGAGCAATCGCCTCGGAGGCCACTTCGGACACAGTGGTCGACGTTGAGTCGCGGCGGCGGCGGCGGCGCGAGCTAGAGCGCGAACGGGCCGAGCCGCTGGCCTTGGACGACCGGCGCTTCTTGCGCGAGCGCGAGCGCGATCTGCGGCGCGACGAGCTCGAGGTAGCTGAGTCTGCGCCTGGATCAATGCTGCCTTCAGACATATCACCCGGGTCGCGGGAGCCGGCAAGGGCCTCGATCTTCTCCTCAAGCTGGGCAACCTGCTTGCGGAGGCGCTCCACGTCAGACTCGCGACTGGGCGTCTTGTTCTTGCCGCGGAAGAGCTTGCGGAAGAAGCGCTTCTTGGGCTTGTCCGGCGTAGCCGTGGCGTCCGATTGCGGCGAGGCCGGGAGCTCGGGAGCGATGGGCGATGCCGGCGGCAGCGGAGCCGTAGCCTTGAGCGGAGTGGTGGCCTTGAGAGGCGAGGCCCGTGCGGCGGTGGTAATGGGCGATGCCGGGCTCGGCATGGCCGGTGGCATGGCAAAGGTCTTCTTCTTGGGCGGTGGCAGGGGAGTGCCAGCCTTTTGCGCGTCGAGGAGAATGGCAAGCTCAGCCAGTGCCTTGGCCGTCTCCTCACGAGCAGCAGCAGCAGCCTCCTCGGGCGTCATACGGACGCAGTACGCCGGCGCGGGCGGCGCCTCCTCGGCATCAGCAGCACGGCTTGCTTTGGTCATGACTCTCTCTTGATTCCGCGGGTGTAGAGGGCGAGTACAGAAAAGGCGGGGAGGGGGGGGATTACAGCAGCGAAGTGTGTGACCTAGTGGTTAAGGTGGGGTGGGAGGGGAGGAAGAGGAGGAGGGGGAGGAGGCGAGGCGATCCAACGGCGACCAAGTGCAAAATTTTGAATGCAGTTTGTGGGCGGGAAAGGGTTGGGCGGCGGGCCGGCGGCGGGCGATGTGAGTCGGTTTGAGGTGGCGGGACGCCAACGGACAGATCAGTGGTGGGGGGGGGGGGGAGGGGGAAAGGGCACATTTCTCGCCAGCTTGTTTCTCTGTTGTGGGCAACATGGCGGATGATGACTTTCTCTCCAACTCGTATGCCTATGAGTATGCCTATGAGGACGAGGTGATGGGAGGCGAGCACAAGCGGGTTCACGCTGCTGGCGCCAAAGCCGGCGCTGCGGCTCAGTCTGAGCCACCGGCCGATGTCGGTGCCGACAACAGCGATGCCGGCGCGGACAACGGTGCTGGTGCAAGCTCAACCTCACGGATCAAGGCTGCGGTGAGCGCCGTCCGCGACCGCGCGCTATCCAACGAGCGCGCGAAGCTTGCAGTCTCGGAGGCGCTGCTGCAGTGGGTCGATGCCGTTTCGCCGGCGACCAAGAAGTCGATCATTGCGTCTGTGTGTACGTATTAGGGGGGGGGGAAAGAGGGGCTGGCGACGACTTACTTGGGTGTTGGATGTGGATGACGGTCTGGGACTGGCGATGCGGGGCGATGATCTGTGGCGTGAAATGATGACACAGCTGAACATCGGGTCCGGCGCATCTACCGGGTGTGGCTCAAGTACATGACGGCATTGATGACAGTGGGCCACTTTCTTTTCTTCATCGTCATGGCAGCAGCCATCAACGAGCGGTTTCACTTTGCGCATCTTGCGTTTCCTCTGGCGACGGGCCTCTTTGCCTTTGGCGGCTACCCGGTGTGGACGCAGAAGATCCGCAAGCTCCGGTTGCCGATCCCGCGCATGCATCAGATGCTGCAGATCTTCTTTGCTGGGGTCATTTTGTACGTGGCGGCGACTGATCTGGCCCACATTGTCTTTGCTGCCAACGTCTCAGCTCACGCCAAGCACTTTTGCATGGATCGCGAGGCTGGCTTCCTCTGTGGGCCTGGCGGCGTGTCCGGCCCGTGGCTCAAGTTCCTCCTTGCCACTGGCTCGCTCCTCTCGGCTGTTGCGATCACGACTGCTGGCATGTTCATCCTTCGCTACGTCTTTGTCTACCTCGTCTTTCTCGAGTGGTCATGGGTCCGCCACCACGGCGGCGAGCCCGGCGACGAGGCGCTCGCCATGTACAAGCCCATGATCAAGTTTGGCAGCTTCCTTGTTCGCTGGGGCGTCAAGGCCAAGCAGAAGCTGCTTTACTACTGCTGCTACGCCGAGCTTGCCGAGCACGATTCCGAGGCCGAGCACGGGACCGGCGCTTACGAGGCACCCGAGGAACAGCTCTCGGTCTCATCGGACCTCGAGTCGGGCCGCGACGCCGATGAGCAGGAGGAAGAGGAGGAGTCGGGCTGGGCCTCTTCCAGCACTCACTCGAGTGGCGACGAGATTGTGACCGCGTGCCTTGTCACCTGCTGCTGCTCGATGGCCTGCTGCGCACTCATCGGCTGCATTGTGCTCAGCGGCGCTGCCCGCCAGATTTCCTGCCTGCTCTTCTACATCATTGTGGAGTCGGCGTGAGGTAAAGGGATGGTATGTTCAACGTCTGCGCAAGCGAGTGCTGCGCTGCGCTACAGCACAACGGGATGCGAGGCAAGGTCGGCAGCAGGGCTCGAGTACGAGTACGATTCGTACGACGAGCTCGAGTCTGACGACACTTGGGCGGGCGTGGTGCCAGCAGCGGCGTCGGGGCCGGGCGCGGTGTCAGCGGCAGCGGCGCGGGCGCGCGACCTGTTCTTAAACGCAGAGTACCACTCGACAATGCGGAGGGCAGCGCCAATCTGGAGAGTGGTGGCCATCGGCTCGCGCGTTCTACACTGCGGGAAGGCCTTCCGGAGGCGCGACTCGGTCTTGGCCTTGATCGACTCGGGCAGGTCGACGTCATCGTTGACACGCCGCGAGAGGGCGAGGAGCACGTCCAAAAAGTTGACTTGCCACGAGCCATCGTCAGCGAGGTAGATGTTGACGTCGAGGCGGTGGATCTCGGCATCGAGGTCGGCGTCCGAGAGCTCGGCACCGACGCCGAGCGGCGGATCAAGCTCGAGGACCAGGGCGCGGAGCTCGGTAAAGGCAATAAAGTATGTGGTGTTGGGGTCGTAGTGCGACCACTTTTCTGCAAAGTTGGAGAGATCGTCGTCGGTCACGGTTGCGCCCTCCTCGCGAGTGGCAATGTCAAACGACTCGAGAATGATGGCCACAAATAAGTTGAGCATGACGTAAAAGGTGACGAGGAGGAACGAGACAAAGAACAGGACGGCAAGAGTAAAGTCGCCGCAGTTGCCGGCCTCGCGCGAGCAATCAGGCGGCTGGACCGAGCACTCGCCGAGGAGTACGTCCCAGCCTGAGGCGGTCGAGACCCGGAAGAGGAGGAGCATCGACTTGGGGAAGGTGCGAAAGTTGGTCTCGTTGTTGAGCTGGTCCTGCAGGATGACCTTGCCGAATATGTTCATGCCGAGAATGGCGTAGATAAAGAAGATGAGGAAGAGGAGCGAGCCAATGTTGACCAGCGACGGCAGCGAGTAGAGGAGCGTGATCATAAGCTTGCGGATGCCAGCGGCCGACTTAATGATGCGGAAGATGCGCGCGACGCGGAAAACTCGCAGGATGCGGAGGAGCGTCGGGTTGATCGGAAGCACGGTGCCAAAGAGAGTGATGACAATGCCGACCAGCGAGAGGAGGACCACCGAAAAGTCAAACTGGTTCCAGCGGTTGACAAAGTACAGCCACTTGTAGACAGCGATCTTGATGCCGGCCTCGAGCGCAAAGATAAAGGCAAAGATGTAGTTGACAATCTCCAGCCCAAGGGTGTAGTCGGACGGCTGGCCGTAGTACTGAAGGCACATGGCGGCCATGTTGGCGAGGATGGCAACCATGATGGCGAGCTCAAAGGCCGGCGCCATGACGATATCGTACAGGACGCCGCGGAGGCGCGAGGCCGGGCGTTCGATGCGGATCGACGGCCGGTACTGGGTCATCATGAGCTGAGCGTCGAACCACCGCCGTTGCGACGGCGAGAGGAGCGCGTGGCCAAAGGCCCGGTCTTTGAGCGCCGAGTACGTGTCGCAGATCGACGAGACAAAGAGGTTCGAAGCAAAGAACGAGCCGACCGTGATAAAGGCAAAAAATAGAGCGCGGCGACCGGCTGGTTGTTTGTCCGCGGTTGGCGGTTGATATCGGTGGCGTCGATGGCGGCCCAGAACACGTCGTACCAGCCCTCAAAGGTGGCGACTTGAAAGAGCGCAAGGAAGGCGTTTGGCACGTGGTCAAAGTTGATGTTGGGATTTGTCCACCGTGCCAGCTCTACGCTTGTCTCGCCGTCGGGCGAGGTGGCGTTAAACGGGCCAACGCACTGGTGGCGGAACTCTACGTCCGGGTTGGTGCAGTAGGCGAACTTTGAGCCAAAGGCCTGGACGCCGAGAATGGCAAAGACCAGCCAGAACAGGCCGCACACGAGGAGGACGTTGAAGATGGCCGGGATCGAGGCAAAGAGCGCGTTGACCACTACTCGCATGCCCTCATTGCGCGTGATGGCTCGCAGCGGGCGGAAGGCTCGTAGCGTGCGGATGGCCCGGATGAAGGAGAGTGACGACGGGCCCGCGAGCGAGACAATCGAAATGGCCACAATGGCGGCGTCGAGCCGGTTCCACGCGTCGGTCATGTACGCGCCGTAGTGGAACCAAAAGCCGTAGACAAGGACCTTCATGACAAGCTCGGCAGTAAACACGACGGCAAAAATGACGTCTAGGATGTAGAGCACCCGTGTGGTCGAGCCGTTCGGGTCGAGCCCGGGCTCCTCGACTGCCAGCGCAACCGATGAGAGAAAGATAAAGACGAGGACAACCCACTCAAACGAGGGATGTTCGACGACTTTTTGGAGGACGACTCGGAGCTTCGAGGCTGGCGGAAAGGCAAAGAGCGCATTGCCGTAGAGCCGTTTGTACTTGGGTGCGTCGTCGGTCGCGGCGGCGTCATCGCTGCACTCGCTCTCGGCCGCCTGGCTCGACTCGACGACAGCAGAGACAATCGAGTCAAGCGAAAAGGAGCGAGGCTCGTTGCGGGCGCTGCCGAGTGCGTGCTCGGCGACCGAGCGCGGGCGGGCCAAGGGTGCGTCGTCGTCGCTGCTGTCCTTGACAACAAAGACCGGCTTGCCGGCGGCGTCGACGTGAGTCCCGTTGACGACCTTGTGGTCGTCATGGGGCGGCTCTGCGCAGCGGCCGCAGATCAGGCGATGGACGCGGCGCGGCCATGAGCGCCAACCGGTAGCTGTGCGGGAGGCGGCGCCACCGTTGCGCTCTTCGGCAGCGGCGCGGGCTTCTTCCTCGAGGCGGTTGACCTCGGCCCACTCAAAGTTGGAGAGGAGGATAGCGAGGAAGAGGTTGAGGATGAGGTAGTTGCCGACCAGAAGAACGACGACAAAGTAGATGATGGCCGACTCGTTGGTGGCGCGGATGGCGTCGTAGAGCGGAACGGTCCACTCGCCGATGAGGATGCGAAAAACAGAGATGATGGCAGACCAAAAGTCGTCAAAGTCGGTCCGCGACCGGTCTGGCGGTAGGTCCTCGTAACGCCCGCCGTAGAGCTGCAGCCCGGTGAGGGCAAAGATGAAGATCATGATGACCATGACAAGGGTGATAGAGCCGATAGAGCCGATGGACGACATGATGACGTCGAGAAGCGTGCGCAGCGAGGACCACGACCGTGCAAGCTTGAAGACTCGCAAGAGGCGGAAAGCACGGAGGACCGACAGGCCCGAGCCCTCGCCACGGGCAGCAACAAGCTCGATGAGCGAGACGACGACGATAAAGGCGTCAAAGACGTTGAAGCGGTCAGCAATGTAGCGGCGAAGGCCCATGCCGGCAATCTTGAGGACCATCTCGAGGGCAAAGAGAACAGTAAAGACAATGTTGACCCAGAAGAGCACATCCTTGAGCTTGCGCGGCGCGTTGGGATACTCGAGCGAAAGGGCTACCGTGTTGAGGACGATAGCTGCAATGATGATCGACTGAAAGATCGACGACTGCACAAACTCGTTGATGAGGTGGCGCCACTGTGGGAGGCGGCGGTCTGCGCCAGCGCTGCCGCCGCTGCGTAGGCTCTCGGCCGAGTGCAGGCGGGCGAGCGACGGGGCGCGGAGAGCGGCCAGCGACGGACCAGCGACAGAGAGCGGGACAAAGTGCGAGTCGTCAAAGGCGTCGGACGAAAAGTCGTCTGCCTCGACAAGAATGTCGAGCGAGGTGGCATACGAGGAGTAGACGACGGCGACGACAAGGTTGACGATGAAGAGAGCGCCAAAGAGAATGACTAGGACAAAGTAAAAGGCGGCAAGCGGAGTAGTTGTCCGCAACACTGCAGTAAGCACGATCTCCCACTCGTCCATGGTCACGACTTGGAGGACGGTGAGGAGGGCGACGCCAAAGTTGTCAAAGGAAATGAGGCCAAAGCCCGGATTGGGCCCAGTGGCGAGGCATTGGAAGCCAGATGGGCAGTCGCGGCCACCAAAGTTGGAGAGCGAGCATAGGTTGACGTCTGATGGGTCAAAGCTGCGTGTGGCAAGGTCGACACAGTGCTGACGGAGCGATCCGGCAAAGAGCTGAACGCCGATGATGGCAAAGACCACCATGAAAAAGGTGAGGAGGAAGAAGACGTTGAGCAGCGGCGGCATCGACGCAAGCAGCGCATTGATGACAACCCGCAGGCCCGGGATGCCCGAGAGGGTGCGGAGGGCACGGAGGACCCGAAAGGTGCGGATGGCCGAGTAGTTGCCGATGCCCGGAATGAGAGTAAGATAGCCGAGGCAGACGACGCCAAAGTCGAGCCAGTTCCACGGATCGCGCAAATACGCGTGCTTGTGCATGAAAAAGCCCATAGCGAGAGCCTTGAGCATAAGCTCGGCAGTAAAGATGGCGGTAAAGACATACTCGGCTATGTCCAGCACCACGTTCCTCTGCGAGTTGGGCGGGTCAAACGGGTTCCAAAGGGCGAGGAACACACAGTTGACCACGATGGCGAGGAGAATGAAGCGGTCGAACCACGGCGAGTCGACGAGCGCAATGGCCATTCGCCGGATCGGTGACTCGAGCTCAAACAGCAGCAATGACCGCGATGTGTACACCTTGTTTGTCGTCACGCCCTGCACACGCGCCTCAAGCTCGACGTCGTCCTCGGTCCAAGCCGCCGACGAAGACAGCGACGCCGACCCGGAACTTCCACACGAGCTGCTCGGCCCGAACCGCATAAGCGGCACCCCTACCTCTGCCATGAGAATATGAGAGGCAGGATGAGGGGCGGGAGTGGCGACTGTGGTAGGCGGAGTGAGGTGCAGGATGTGTGTGGGTCTGAGGGGGAGGGGGGGGGGGTGATCGTGATCAGAGTCGGAAAAAAGCCGTGGAAAGGTAGTACTGGCTCATGGCTGGCTGCGGCAGTCCAGAGTTTGGTCGGTGGCTGTGACGGGGAGCGAGGGGGGGGAGGGGGAGGGGGAGCGAGCCAACCTGTCTCTGCTCTCCAACATGGACCAACTCTCGTTGAACCTGGTGAGCAATCCCGTGGAAAACTCGCGGGCAAACAAGCCTACAGCCCGGGAGCGGAGCAAGATCCGTAAGGCGGTGGTATGTTGTTGGACTGCGAGAGGTTGAGGAAGGGTGGGGGGGGGGGGGGGCGGAGGAGTGTGAGGATGTGATGGTGATGGATGGATGCAAAAGATGGGGGGGGGTCGAGGGGGGTAGGGGGGGCAGGGGGGCGAGGGTAAGGGGTAACAGACTCATGGAGCAAGTGGTACGTAGCGAGAGGACAACAAGAAGCGGCGGCGGCAGGTGTTTGAGTCGTCGCAGGCGGCATCGTTTCTGAGAGAGAACAAGCGGCGGCCGGTGGGCATGGCCGGTGCACCGAGCGGGCACGCGGCGGCGAGTCGGCAATCGGCGGCGGCGGCAGTGTCGTCGCAGGCTGCAGCTACGTTGATGGGCGGCTCGCTGCATGGGGCTGTGAAGGGAGGCAGGGTGCCAGAGCGGGCTGAGACTGTCCGGGCGAGGGAGCGCAAGGCTGAGCGCCAGAAACAAAGCCGCAGAAGCCTCAAAAGGCCAAGGCGGCGCCGAAGCGGGCTACTGGTGATGGCGAGAGCGCAGGGAGCGCGAGGAGCGAGGGAGCAACCGGAGCCGGTGATGGCGGGCGGAGCGAGAAGCCGTTTATGTCCAACGTCGGCGGCAAGAACAAGGTGTTCTCGTCGGGCCTGTTTGGCCCGCGCGAGGCCGAGGTGCTGCGGCACAAGGCTGCGTCGTCGCGTGGCGACGCCGATGAGCTGGAGGATGATGGAACGGGCGGTGGGCGAAAGAACGAGAAGGTGTTCTCGGATACAACTTCGTTTGAGGGCTTTGGCCTTGACGCGCGGCTGACGCAGGTCATGGAGGCCAAGATGGGCATTGTCAAGCCGTCGACGATCCAGTCGCGGGCGCTTGTCCCGCTCCTCAACCGCAAAGACACGCTCATTCAGGCGCAGACCGGATCGGGCAAGACGCTGGCATACCTGCTTCCGATTGTCAACGATCTTCTCAACATAGGCAAGCGGGTGACGCGGGCCGATGGGACGTATGTTATTGTGCTTGTGCCGACGCGCGAGCTCGGGGCGCAGGTCTACGATGTGGCGCGGCTCCTCCTCACGCCGTTCCCGTACATTGTGAGCGGGATTGTGACCGGCGGGCAGAAGCGCAAGAGTGAGAAGGCCTCGCTGCGCAAGGGCGTGTCGATCTTGGTGGCGACGCCCGGGCGGCTGCTGGACCATCTTCAGATGACCAAGTCGTTCAAGCACAGCGGGCTGCGGTGGTTTGTGCTCGATGAGGCCGACCGGCTCCTCGACCTCGGGTTCGAAGACACGCTGATGGCCATCATCGAGGTGCTCACCCGGATGCGAGTCTTCTCGTCGGAGCTTGTCACCGTTCTTGTCTCGGCGACGCTCACCGATAACGTGCAGAAGCTGGCCAAGCTCTCGCTGGTCAAGCCCGAACTTGTGCTCCTGGAGGACTCGGAGACGTCGTCATCACGGCTGGGGGCGCTTGTGCCGCGCAAGGCTGGCGAGCCTGAGCGCGAAGCGAGCGAGGGCGGGAGCGGGCCAACGTCAACCGACGTGCCGGCGCAGCTCCGGCAGTTCTACGCGGTCATTCCGGCCAAGCAGCGGCTGCTCTCGCTCATTGCGTTCCTGGCGTGGAAGACCAAGGCCAAGAACAAGATCATTGTGTTCATGTCATCATGCGATGCCGTCGACTTTCATCACAAGCTCCTCACGACGCTCCGCGACGGGCGTGACAAGGAGGAGGAGGCCCGGATCCGTGAGGCGGCGCGCGAGAAGGACACTGCCGCACGGAGCAAGCTCAACAAGCTCGACGGTGGGCGCAAGCGGGGCTCGGACTCGGACGCGTCCGACTCGGACGACGAATCCGAGGCCGAGCTCTCTGACGATGCGTTTGCGGTCCAGGTCCAGAAGCTGATGTCGGACGCCGGCGCGAGCTCGTCGAGCGGCAGCGGCGGCGCGCTCTGGTCCGACGTGGCCATGTTCCACGATGCCGGCATCTACAAGCTGCACGGGCAGATGAAGCAGGCGGACCGGCAGGCGGCGTTTAAGGAGTTCCGCGAGGCCTCGCGTGGTGTGCTTGTGGCGACCGATGTGGCGGCGCGCGGGCTGGACATTCCGGCTATCAAGTGGATTGTGCAGTACGATCCGCCGACCGAGACCGAGGAGTACGTTCACCGTGTGGGCCGGACGGCGCGGATCGGCGAGTCTGGCTCGGCCATGATCTTCCTCCTCCCATCCGAGTCTGCGTATCTGACTACACTCGCCGCGCGCGGGCTTTCGCTCGGCAAGGTGGAGCAGATCAAGGTGCTCAAGAAGCTGTACCCGGGCATGTCGCCGCGCGACCTGGAGAACGCATGTGTCACGCTGCAGGCGCGGCTCGAGGCGTACATCGACGCATCACCGACCATGACCCAGGGCGCAGCCGCGGCGTTCCAGGCCTACATCCGGGCATACTCGGCCCACTCGCGCGAGATGAAGTCAATCTTCCATGTCCGCCGCCTCCACCTCGGGCACATCGCCAAGGCCTTTGCGCTCCGGCTCATCCCCACCGAGCTTGGGCCGGACGTCGTCTCGGCCACCGGCCTCAAGCAGGCGCGGCCGGGCCGCAAGAAGTCAGGCAAGCCGGCGACCAAGCCCGAGGAGGTCTCGGCCGCCCAGACCGCCATGCTCCGCCGCCAGCGCATGATCGCCAAGCTCTCCAAGAAGGGCGACACCAACAAGATCAGCACCATGCAGCGGCTGGCCGGCCCGGTCGGTTGGACCGGCGAGCAGGTGTAGGGAGTTAATGACTCAATGCTTGCCACCGGCCGAGAACAAAGCGGGTAAACCAGCCTGGTTGGTGGCTAGCGATGCATGGCGCGCGGTGTGTGGTCGTCAGTCTGTGATTGAAAGCCACGAGGTCAGCAAGTTGGCCGGCAAGTTGGGCGGTCGGGAACACTTCACCAAGCTATTGTTGGTGCAGACAATGGAGGAAGAGGCTGCAACAGTAGTGGGTGAGAGTGGTTACGGCGCGTGGATATGGATGGGCCTGGCCGTGCTGGGTGGTGGGTACTATCTATATGCTCAGCGAGGCCGGCCGACCGAGCCGCCCACCGAGGCTCACCCAGAGACCGAAGCTGGCGCACCTCGGCCTCGGGGCCATCCACTTGCGGAGCGACTGGCCCGCCAGCAGGAAGCAGCGGCGGCAGCGGCGGCGGCAGCGGCGGCAGCGGCGGCAGCGGAGGTGGCGGCAGCAGCTGGTACAGATGGCGAGGATGTGTCAGAGTCGGAGGTGCCTGCGGCGGCCGATGCGGCATCGTCAGAGGCGACCTCCTCATCAACAACTGTCTCGCCGAGCCGGCCGAGCCGCGAGAGTCAGCGGATGGCTGCGCTGGAAACGTTGGAGAGGCAGAGCCGAAGCGATGGTGGTAGGCGTGCCGGTGATGGCGATGGAGAGGGTGAGGCGACGAGTGCTCAACCTTTTGCGGCTGGTAAGACCGACGCGAAGAAGAGCCGGGCGCGGCTGCCGGATCCGCCGCCGTTTGCGCCGCCTATGGATCAGCTGCCGCAGCCGCTGTTCAACTTTGCAGCGTTTGCAGCTATGTCCCTTCAAGATGAGGTACACAGCATGGTTGTCGACCTTCTCGCGGCGCGGGCCGGGTGTGACGATGGAGGCGACGATGCTCTTGCGATTGACGCGGGCATTGTCGAGCTTCTGGTCGGCGTTCCGGGCGTCGGACCGTACCTCGTAGCACGGTACGCAGGGGCGCATCCGCCGGCGTCGGCCACGCCGCCGCACGTATACTCGATGCTTGTGTCTGCTGCCGGCGTTGACCCGCAGATCTTTGCCCACGATCCGGTCTGGCATGCGAGCAAAGCCGTTGATGCACTTGACCGCGGCGCGCCAGTGGCGCCGCATTCACAGCAGCTCGCCGCGGTCGTCACCGCTGTGCTGGCCACCGATCCGAGTGCACGGCTGCACTCGCCGTTTACCTCTTCGGCGCGAATCCGCAGCCAGCTCCTCCATCCAAGCTTTGACACCCTCTGGAGCTCAGCAGGCTCTGATCCCGACCTCGCTGCTCTCCGCGCCGTCCTCGCCCCATCGGAGGCAAGCAATGCTGGCTCTGACTCGAGTTCCAATCTGGAGCTGATGGATGCCAACGAACATGCTGTGTGTTGAGATGAGTGGAGCAGCTGGATTGAAAGCATGCTAGGGGAGATGTGGATGTTGCAGGCCGCGACGGATGTCACTGACACGAGCCATGTCATCACGGACACGGACTCGGACACACTCGTCTCGTCCTGCCGGCAGGTCATGGCAGCTCCGGAAAAGAAGGAAGGATGTGGATTCAAAGACGTATGCGCAATGTGTGGGTAGTGGGTGGGTGTATGGATGGGGGGAGGGGGAGGGGGGGGGGAGTGCATGGTGTATGGATGTGGTGAGGTGGGCAGGAGTCGACAGTGGCATGGCTCCAAAAAGGTCGTGGTTCAAGGCTTGCCCACTCGGCCCACTCTGCCCGCTCCGGCCAACATAGCTGCCAATCCCTTCGTATGTTCTCAGGCGGTGTGGCACATGGTAAACTCACTCTCTAGTGCGGGTGACGGAGGAAGGCTGTGGTGGAGCGGCTGCTGAGGGAAGAGTGGTCGGCCGAGGACAGCGACAACGTGCGCATCTCTGGCTCGGCCGTCCACGCCGCCAACATGCTCACCACGGCCTTTGTGCGTGAGGCCTTTCGCAGAGCCGCCGGAGTGGCGGCAGCATGCGATGAGCCTGTTGTCGAGCCCATGCATCTCGAGCAGATCCTTCCGCAGCTTCTGCTTGACTTTCAATAGAGGGCAGGTGCTGGCAGAGGGGAGGGAGGGGCAAAGCGTCTACGACGAGGTGGCGATGATGGCCGGCGCAGCGGCAGCCTTGGCAAGTAGCGACTTGATCCACCGCACCAGCAGCCTGAGGCCCTGGACAGCGTAGGCGCTAAAGGTGCCTGCGCCGTTGTGGAGGCCCGCCGCCATGGCCTTGGAGCGGACAGTGCGGACAAAGGCAACAAGGACGACAAGCTTGACGGCCTGGACTAGCCAGGCGCCGGCGCGAGCCGAGATCGGGAGAATGCCAACCACAATGTTGAGCGGGAGAGTAAATAGCGTCATGTTGACACCCCACAGACCGGCGACGGTCACAGCGCCGTCAAGCAGCATGTCCTTTCGAACCTTGGTCCGCTCGACGGCGACGAGGGCGGCGGCCTGCGCGGCCAGCGTCGCCTCCATCGCCGCCAGTTGCGACTGGTGCTGGCTCAATGCAGACGCCAGTGCCTGCTCGTGAGCCTCGTGTACCTCGACCTGCGTGTGCAGCTCCTCCACCGTCGTGTTGAGCTCGTCCAGGATCATCGAGTGGTCCGCCAGTGAGTCCTCCAGCTCGGTGATGGTGTGCCGCGACTCGTTGAGCTCGTCCTGAATCCGAGTCGTCGCCGAAAGTTGACGATCGAGAGCACAGACGACAACACGCTAGTGTGCGCCAGAAACTGGTTCACCGCTGCTTGGCGCGAGAACGCAGCCTCCAGCTCGGTCCGCAGGCTGCCCGGCGTCGCCGATGCCGCGCCCACCGCATCACCCCGCCACAACGGCTTGTTGAGCGCGTCCAGCGACGAGTCCATCCCCTGCAGCATGCTCTCTGCCAGCCCGCGCATCTCGGTCCCAAGCCTTTGAATCAACGCCATTCCTTATACTCTACTACAACGGTACTTGCGCGCGTCCCTCAATTCCTGTACCATCGCCTGCTTCGGTGAGTCACGCTCCTGGCGCCTCGCAGGCCTGCCAACGGCCGGCCGTTTGACACCTGCTCTGCCTCCCCTCCCCACCCCCACCCCCACCCCTACCCCCGCCTCCGCCCGCAAGCAATTCACCATCTGTGCAGGATCAGAGCGAGTAGAGACCACCACGTTTTGGTCTCTCGGTGCGTACGGGAAGATGGGTCCTTGTTTGAGGTGTGGCAGAGTGGAGTGGCCGTGGCCATGGCTGGTGCTGTGGTGGTGTTCGATGGCAGGCGGCAGTTGTCGGTGGTGGTGTTTGGCCTACAGCGATAGCGGCGACCGGTGACGACAGAGGGTGCTGATTGGTGGAGCCGTGCAGGCTAGTGAGTGTGGGTATGGCTAGCAAACACCTGGTACTCGCATCGCATTGATGTGTCTGTGTTTGATTGGCAGGGCTTTCTCTACACCAGCTGGGCAAAGATCTGCGGCGCGGCACAGTGGTCGATGCAGCGCTTGAGGTCAAAGTAGTAGCCGACGCAGTCGTGCTCGTCCTGAACCTCCTGCGGAGCCTCGGCGAGCCGAGCAGCGCAGTCCTCGTAGATCTTGAGCGCCTTCTGGCAGTGCTTGTCCTTGCACGCCTCCTCGATGAACGGCTTCTGGTCCTCGGGCTCCTACCCTCCGCACACCATCACCATCACCATCACCATCACCATCACCATCACCATCACCATCACCATCACCACCATCACCACCACCACAAACAGCGTCGACCAGCCATTGCCCCACCGTCGCATCCGCCAGCCCACGGCGTGTCAATCATTCACCCGCCGATCATTCCGCCCCAGGTCAACCATTCGCCCGCCCATCCCCGTTCCGTCCGTCCTGTCCTGTGAGTGCATACCGAGCCAGCCAGCCACACCGTCCCTCTGCTGCCACCCACCAGGCCAACTACAAGCCCACCAGACTTCTGGTGCACTTCCCCTCCCCCAGTCACTAGCCCCTCCTGTCCCTTTGGCTTCCATGGAGGCAGCAAGGACCGGCCCGCTGACGCGGCAAAAAAATGGCCCAATGGGCCACCACCACCCCCGTCGGCACCTCCCTGCCCACCCCCCGCCTCTCCCGGCTGAAGCCATCTCATAGGGATAGGGGGGGGGGGAAGTGTGTGTGTGTGCCGGCTAGCTCATGTCACACACGTACATCGTCGTCGTCATCGTCATCGTCGTCCCAGGCAGAGGCACCCGAGTCGTCATCGTCGTCGTCGTCGTCGCCGTCAAGCTCAGCAGCAACAGCCTCGAGCTCGTCATCGGCATCCTCGGCAGCCTGCTGCTCCTCCTCGGCCATCACAGAGACCTCCTCCCACTCGGAGCCGCTCTCGCTTCCGCTGGCGTCGTCCATCCACCACTGCTGCTCAGCCATGATGAGGGTTAGTGTCAAGTTGAGTGTCCTCGTCTCCAACTCGAATCATTTACTTGGGTCGGTTCGGCCCGTCCCGCCCTCTTCCGTCCAGTACCGTCCCGTCTCGGCCGTCGGCAGGCGGGATGGCTGGCCATGTGGGGGATGAGTTGATAAAGGCCGATGTTTAATCACTGCATGGCAATCTCACTGGTTTGCCTGCTGTTGCTGTTGCTGCTGTTGCTGCTCGGCGATTCGGAGTGATTGGAGCTCGCTGTCGAGGGCGTCCATCTCGGCAGCCATCTCCTGCTTGGCCACAACGTCGTCAGCCAGCGGGAACATGGCGGCGAGCTCTTGCCGCCGAAGGGTAAGCCGAGCGATGGTGTCGCTGAGCGACTCGGCTTTGTCAGTCTCTGTGTCGGACTCGAGATCGCCGGCCTCCATGGGACGAGTCTCGGCGAGGACGCGCCCCGCTTCGGGCCGTGTCTCGAACAGCCGCTCGTGCGAGACAGCGGTCGAGGTGGCCGATGCTTCGTGCCACTGCGAGCGGATGGCACCGCGGATGCGTGCAAACTCAGACGAGCCGACCTCGGATGACGAGTCGTCGGCGGGGTCGGTGACAGACCGCTCTGCCGGCCACGGCGACTCGGACATCGGCAGCACTTCGCCCGAACCGCGCAGGTGGTGCAGCTGTGCATCGAGCCGAGCAAACCAGTCGTCCTGCTGCGCCTCGTGCGTCGCCATCTTTGCCAGCAGCGCATCCAGTCGCGGTGACTGTGGCGTGTCGGTCGAGCTCACGCCCGAGCTCGCCACCGACGCCATGCTCGCTGACGCGCCGGCTGGGCGGGAGACCGGACCATCAGCTCCAGCCGCTCTTGCATCTGCTGCACCGTCTGCGACAGCTGCTCTAGCTGCTGGCTCTCGCCCTCCAGCCGCGACTGGATCGGCGAGTGCGGCTCCTGCGGGACGGCCGCCTGCGCCGCCAGCTCATCCAGCCGCTCCTGCATCCGGGCCATGGTCTCCGACAGCTCTGCCACAAACGGCCCGTGGCTCGCCGCCATACTGGCGGAGCCCGCCGCAGCCTCGACTTGCTGCACTCGCGCCTCCAGCGCTGCTTCGACCTGCTCTAGCTGGCTTGCACGCGCCTCCAAAACGGCCTCAGCCTTGGAGAGCCGCGCAGCGTCAGCCACAGACACACTCGGTGCCATGCTGGACCGGAGACTTGCGTTCTCCTGACGCAGACTCTCGACCTCGGCTGCCGTCGCCAGCTGTGCGGCGCGCACCTGCTGCGCCGCCGTCACCATGTCGCGCTGCTGGGCGAGAAGCTTGGCTTGGAACTCGTCCAGCACCCGCTTGCGCTCTTGAAGCTCCTCCACTTCTCCCTCGAGGTTCGCCACAGCGATGCGCGACCGGTCCAGGCTCGCCTCAGCTTCGGCCAGCTCGCGCTCCAGCTCGGTGATCCGTTGCTGGTACGCGGTTTCCTGCGTCGCAGCCGCGAGCCGGCACTCGTCAAGCTCCGCCCGCGCAGCGAGGAGCGCCTGCTCCAGCCGCATCGTCTCTGACGACGCCACCGACGCCTCGCCGTCGCGCAACGAGGCCTTGGAAGCCGCCAGCGAGACCTGAACCTCACGCGCTTCAACCTCCTTCTCGGCGCGGAGCCACTCGGCAGCGCGGCCGGCCTCAAACTCGGCAATCCGTGCCCGGTCGGCCTCGACGCTTGCCCGCGCGGCTGCCAGGGCCTCGCGCTCGCGCGACACCGCAGTACGCTCAGCATCCAGCGACTCGCGCGCAGCCTGCATCTGGGCAGCATCACGCGCAGCTTGAGCTTCGTGCGCGGCACGCGCCTCTTCACGCAGCTGCTTCTCCTTGGCAGCGTGGCTAGCTTCAGCCCGGCTCGCCGCGGCCTCACGCTCAGCCACCACCTCGGTCCGCCGCGCCAGCTCGCGCTCGGCGGCCGTCTCGCGCGCCTGGAACGTACGCTCGGCGTCCTCCAATGCCCTCGCCCGCGACGCAAGGCCCTCTGCACGCTCCACAAGCCGCTCCTCCTTGATGGCCAGGGCTGACTCGCGCTGCTCGATCTTGTTCTCGCGCTCGCGGAGGCTCGCTTCGGTGCTAACAAGCGTGTGCTCGGTCACTTCGAGCTGTGAGTGGGCTGAGAACACCGAGCTCTGCGCCTTGTTGAGCGCCGCCAGCTGTGCCTGCAGCGCGGCCTCACGCTTGGCCAGTCGTGCAGCCTCGGCGTCGAGTGTCAGCGCCGACGACGACTGCGCAGCTTCGGCCTTGATCGCCGCCGCCTCCAGCTCGGCCTCGCGGCGAGTAACCTCGACAAACCGCGCCTCGAGAGCGGCCAGCTCCACCGCGCGCGCTTCAAGCGCATTCTCCTTGGCCTGCAACCGCGCCTTGAGCTCAAGCGCCTCCTCCATGGTCCCTGCCACAAGCGCCTTTTCGCGGGCAAGCGCTTCGCGCTCGGTACTGTTGGCAGAGTGTGCCGCTTCGCGGTCGGCGTTGACCTCGGCGGCCCGCTGCCGAAGCCGGTCGCGGGCAAGCTTGAGCGCCGACGCGCGCTCGGAGAGCTCGGCTTCACGGGCGGCAATCTGCGCCTCACGGGCGGCTAGCTGCGCCGACATTGACTCGGCCTCACCGCGCTGCGAGCCGAGCGAAGCCTCGAGGGCACGGGCGGCAGCCAGCTGCGCAGCAGCCTCACGGCGTGTCGTCTCCACCTCGTCGCGAGTCCGCCGCAGCTCTTGCTGCGCACTCTCCAGTGCCTCCTTCTGAGCCTTGATCTCGGCCTGCGCCCGTGACAGGTCCGCCTCGGCCGACCGCCGTGCCGCGTCGATGGCCGACGACGACTGCGCGGTCCGTGACTCGGCTGCCTCCAGCGCAGCCTCGCGGGCGTCCAGATCCCGCGACCGGTGCTCCAGTTCTAGCTCGGCACGCTTGACATCCTCGGTGGCCTGTAGCTTGGAGCGCTCGAGCGCCTCAGACCGAGCACTCAGCAGCTCGCGCGCCTTGTGTAGTTTGGCAAGCCGATCCTGCAGCGACTGGCGATCGCGTGCAAGCTCAGCAAAGCCAGCGTCCAGAGCACGCTTGGCGTCCTCAGCCACCGCCAGCTTTTCCTGCAAAATGGCAGCGTCATCCGCACGCGCCGCAACCAGCCGTGACTCGAGCGACGACTTGGCTGCCGCCAGCTGGGCGTCCAGCTCGTCAGAGCGCTTGAGGAGCAGCGCCTCAAGCTGCCGGTTCTTGGCATCCAGCGCGGCATCAGCGTCGGCCTCGGCCACGGCCAGTGCCTCTTCGCGGGCATCCAGCGCCGCAGCCTTGGCCCGCAGCGACTCCATCAGCTCGGAAGCCTGCGCTTCAAACGCGGCTTCGCGCCGGGTCAGCGACTCCATCCGCTCGGCATGCGCCCGCGCCATCCGCTCGCCCTCAGCATCCAAGTCCTTGCGAGCCGAAGTCAGCGCAGCTTCTTGAGCCACCTGCGCTGCACGTGCCTTGGCCACGTCCATCTCGACCTCGCCGCGGGCAGTACTCAGCGCTCGGCGCTCATCGCTCAGCCGGGCCTCGGCAGCCTCCAACCGGGCTGCGCGGGACTCAACCTCGCGCATCTGGCCCTCGGCGCGCGCAGCCGTCTCCTTGGCAGACGCCAGTGCTGCGTTTGCCGCTCGTTGGGTGTCCTCAGCCTGCAGCTGGGCCGCGAGCTTTGTCGCCTCCCAGTTCGACCGCTCCTCCTGAAGCCGAGCGGCCTCGGCCTCGAGCCGGGCTCGAATCCGCGCCGCGTCCTCGGCCGCATCTTCGGCTTGCCGGGCCACCTTGGCCTCGGCGGCCGCGGTGTCGGTAGCAAGAGTCTCACGCTGCCGCTCAAAGGTCTGCATCCGAGCCTGCACCTCGTGAGTGAAAGACTCAATTCTGGCCGCCAGCGTTGCCTCGGTCTGCTCCAGGGCGCGTAGTCTCTGGCTCTCCTCTTCAGAGATCACGGCCAGCTTTGCCTCGGCCTCGGCCTTGAGCGAGGACGCGTAGGCCTCGGCCTCTGTGCGAAGCCGGTCGGTAGCTTCCTCAACCTCGGTCCGGCGGGCCTCGAGCTTGTCGTTGAGATCGGCTTCCGCGGCCGCGGCCAGGGCGGCGGCGCGGGCCTGCGCGTCAGTCAGCGCACGCTCTGCTGCCGAGTCGGCGCGGGCTTGCGCCTCACCCACCAGCTGCTCCGCCTTTTGCTGCGCCTTCGCTAGCAGTGCCTGGGATTCGACGTTTGTCGACTCCCGGAGGCTGTCGAGCCTACTCAAGGTCTGGGACCGGAGCTCGTCCAAGTTCCTCCGCTCCGCAGCAAGCGCAGCGCGCTCGTCTTCGATTTGGGCCATAGCCCGTGCCCGGGAGTTTTCCAGCTCGCGGCTCTGCTCGCGTGCTTGGTTGTCCATCCGTGCCTCGAGATGTGCCAGCGCCGCCTTGGCCTCGGCGTCGACACGGGCCTTGGCCTCGTCGACCTCGGCCCGGAGCGCAGCCTCTTTGTCCGCAAAGCGAGCTTCGAGGCTCGCCTGTCGCTCGTCGTGTTTGGTCGCCAGCTCGCTAGCCTTGGCCGCCAGCTCGTCCGCGGCCTTTCGCGAGCGGGCTTCGGCAGCGCGCGCAAGCTGGGCAGTCGCATCCAACTCCAGCTCGGCGCGCCGCTGCGCGTACTCGGCATCGAGTGCCGCCCGGGCGGCAGCCAGCTTTTCGTCGGCCTTGGCCTCTGCTGCAGCCATGGCCCGGGCCTTAAAGGCCTCCATCTCTAGCCGTGCCGTGTTCGCGGCGTCCGCTGCGTTGGCGTCGAGCTCAGCCATGCGGGCGCTGTGTTCGGCGGCGAGCTGAGCGGCGAGCTGGTTGACGCGATGGGCCTCGTTGTCGACACGAGCTTGCGCTGCCTCGAGTGATGCGGCCCACTCGGACTCCTTGGCCTCGAGGCGGGCGGTCATGGAGTCGAGCTGTTGTCCGCGTGCACGGACATCATCGGTCTCGGCCTCGAGCTCTGCTGCGCGCCGATCCAGCTCGGCAGCGCGAGCGTCAAGGTCGCGCGAGCGCGACGCAGCACGGTCGTGCGCGGCGTGAACCTCGGCCATGAGCTCGGCCTCCATCTTTTCGCGAGCTGCAGCGCGTGCCTCCTCGTCGAGCTGCATCCGCTCCTCGCACGCGGCGGCGAAAGCATCGGTCCGCTGCGACAGCGCCGCCGTCTCGGCAGCGAGCTGCGCTTGCGAAGTGCGAACGTCGTTCTCGCGAGCCTCGACGGACTTGATGCGGGCTTCGAGGTCAGCTCCGCGGGCATTGAGTGCCAGCTCGCGGGCGTCGAGCTGAGCACGGGTCTGGCTTGCGGCGTTGTCCAACGCTTCGCGTTCAGCCTCGAGCCGCGCCGCTTGCTCATTGAGTGCTTCAGCGCGGGCGGTAATCTGCTGCTGCTCGGCAGCCCACGACGCGGCGGCGTCCTGGTTGGCAGCCTCGGCGGCGGCCACAGCCTCTGACCGTGAGGCCAACTCAATCATCGACGCCTCTAGGCGGTCGGCCTGAGCCTGCAGGGCGTCGCGCTCAGCCTCGAGAGCTGCGCCCCTCTCGCGCAGCGCCTCGCCCTGGGCCTTGAGCTGGGCCGACTTGGCCTCAATCTGGGCGGTGAGTTCGCGGCCCTTGACATCCAGCTCACGAGCCTCGGCTTCAAACTCCGAGGCAAGCTCACGGCGGACCTGTGCTCGAACCTCGGCCATCTGGTGCTTGAGCTTGAGAGAAAGTTGGCGCAGTGCATGTTTTTCGGCCGAGTTGGCCTTGGCCTTGGAGTCGGCAGCGGCGGCGGCTCCAGCAACCTCGCGCAAGCGGGTCTCAAGCTCGGCGCGGGCCTTGTCGAGTTCGGCGCGGGCGGCAGCTTCGCGCTCTACAGCGCGGTCGGCGGCGGCATCCAGTGCAGCACGCTCTGCAGCGCGCTCTGCGGCGGCGGCGGCGTCGGCCTTGGCGATGCGCTCGGCAGACTCGGCCTCATTCCGCTCGATGCGTGCCGCGGACTCTGCAGCCTCAGCCTGGGCGCGCGCCTCAGCGGCAGCGCGAGCGGCGGCAAGCTCGGCCTCGGTCTCTTCCCACGCAGCCTTGATGCGGTTGGAAGACTCGAGGTCGTTGCGCTCAATTTGGGCCGCTGCTTCGGCGGCGGCGGCGGCGGCGTCGTCGGCGGCGGCCTGTGCGAGAGCGTCCAGGCGGGCCTGAGCGGTGGCCATTTCGTCTTCGAACCGAGCGCGGTCCGACCGTAGCTGCTCCTCCTCTTCCTCACGGAATCGAACGAGGTCGGTGAGCTCGTCCTCTAGTGCATCGAGCTCTGAACGCAGTTTCCGTGCCTCGGCAAGCTCGCTCTGCACCCGCGCCTCGTCGGCAACGATTGCTCTCTCGCGAGCGTCGAGTGAGTCACCACGCTGGACCTGTGCCGAGTGGCGCGCATCGAGGTGGGCACGGAACTCCTCGATCTGGCTCCGCTCCGCGGAGAGCGCGTCTCGGGCAGCAGCCAGGGATGCTTCCCGGGCAGCGAGATCAGCCTCGGCGTTTGCGGCGGCGTCTTCCCGACGGGAGACGGCAGCTGCAGCGTTTGCAGCGGCTGCAGCTTCGTCGGCGGCCCGCTGGTCGAGCTCGATTTTGAGCTCATCCAGCTGGCGGGCTCGGTCGTCCAGTTTGGCCTGAAGGCCACGGGCGTCGTCAAGCGCGTTCGATTGGCGGCGCAGATCGTCGGCGCGGGCAACAAGCTCGTCGGCATGAGCGTCGAGCTTGGACTTGCGTGCATCGAGTTCGGCTGCGAGCTGGGTGAGTTTGGCTGTCTCGGCCGAGAGCGCCTTTTGGCGCGAATCGAGTTCTGCTCGCTCCTTGCGCAGCGCCTGGGTCTTAGCCTGGAACGTTGCAAGAGAGTGCTCGATGGTTGCAAAATCGGTTTTGACCATCGACGACTGCGAGCGCATAAGCGAGGAGATGGAGGCAGCCAGCGAGTCGTCGGCGATGCCGACAGAGCCCGACAGGCGATCAGTGATGGCAGCGAGCTGGGCCTCTCGCTCTTGCAGAGCCTTGGTGCGAGTGCGGAGCTCGGCCTCCCGAGAAGCAGCTTGGGCCTCGCGAGCACTGGCGTCAGATCGAGCAGCAGCAGCGGCCGAGTGCGTGTCGGCGTCAAGCTCGCGACGCTGGCGAGCGAGGTCGCGGGCCTGGGCGTCGAGCTCGGCCGCACGCCGCTCAAGATCGATACGGGCAGCGTCGTCGGTGGCGCTCGCGCGCGCCTGCGCCTCCTCGACCGCATGCTGTAGGTGGGCAATCTGCGCCGAGGCGTCGGCCAGCTGCGCAGCAAGCTGAGCAGCGAGCGACGTGGCCGACTCGCGGGCACCAAACTCCGAGTCCGAGTCCGAGTCGGAGCGGGCCTCCAAGAGCTTGTCGATGGTAGCATTGAGCTCGGCGCGCATGGCGGCCGAGCTTGACTCGAGCTCCGATGACCGCGCCATGAGGACAGTGACGGTCTCACGTGCCTCGCGCAGAGCTGCCTTGAGCGCCTGGCGATCCTTGGCCACAGCGCGGAGCTTGGACGCTGTTCGAGTCCGCTCCACCTCTAGCTGCGACTCGAGCGAGGAGGCTTTGGTTGAGAGCAGCACGTTGGACTCGCGGAGCTTGTTGGCGGCCTCCTGCAGCGCCGAGTGCTCGGACGAGAGCGAGCGGAGGCGGGACTCGGCATCAGCGCGGGAGCGGGCCTCGGCCTTGCTGCGTGCCAGCTCGGCATCGAGTTGCGCCTTTAGCCCGTCGGCACGTGCCTCAGCCTTGGCAAGCCGGGAGCTGGCGTTGACCAGATTGTCCTCAGCAACCGAGATCTGGTTGCGCTTGCGGGCGAGATCGGCCTTGACCGACTCGTGGGCGGTGGAGAGCGCGGCATGCTGGGACTGCAGCGACGAGAGCTGTGCCCTTAGCGCGTCCATCTCGGCCGAGTTTCGCGGTGCCACCATCGACCGCGGCGGCGAGGCCGGCTGGAGCACCAGTTGCGGTTGCGTCTGCACCGGCAGCGGCGACGGTGACGACGGTCGCGGGCTGGCCTGCTGCCTACCACGCCTCGAACCAGTCGGCAGCTGTGACGCCGAGAGTGGTCGTCCAACACGGGCTGTATGCGACGTTGGCCCAGTTGCCCCTACCCCAGGCCCTGAGGCGACAGCAGTAGCAGTGCTCGCGCTGGCGGCGCCAGCGCCAGCGCCAGCGCCAGTGCCAGCCTCGGTCCCGGCACGGGCAGCCGCCACTCTGGCGACTCTATGTGGGAAAGACGGCGAGTCATAGGTGCGTGGAGCGGGCCTGCGTGCAGGACTACTTGGTGTGAGAAGCCTGCTCGACCTTAGCAGCCGTGACATGGTGGCCAGCGAGGTGTGGTAGCTGTGACAGTCGTGGTCGGTGTCGTCCTCTCCGCCGGCGGCGGTGGCAACGGCCGACCGTTGGCCAACCGACGCGTGCCAGTCGACGATTCTACCGATGGCGGATGGATGGATAGTTTTGGCAGAGTGAAGGCCCCATCGCATGAGTTTGCGATGAGGAGCATATGGGGCGATGTGTGTGATGTGTGGTCAGGATGCAGAATGTGTGTGGGCGATGCAGTGGACGCCTTTCGTATGGTGTTGTGCATGTCGGGGGCGATGCTTGGTATCCAAACAGACTGTGTGCCGGCGATGTACTGCCAGGGAGCACATCATGTGTATACAGCAAAGTACCGATGTACACCGCGTGTAGGTAATGTGTATTCGAGGAGTGCGCTGTGTATGTGCTGTGTATGGAGTGTGTGTCATGGTGTAGGGCGCTCGGCGTTGATTCGCGCGCCTTCACGAACTCCCAGCTCGTCCCACCCCTTCCCACCTCACCCCCCCCCCCCCCCCCCCCGCACCTACTATGGACGACACTGAAATGGAGGCCTTCCTGGCCAAGATCGACTCCGTGTCTGCGGCGGTGGAGAAGCTGACCAAGGGCGAGGATGTCGACGTCGACGCTGTGCTGGACGAGGCCGACGGACTCAAGACCGTCTCGGACGCCACGGTCATCAACCGCAGCTCATCGCAGCAGCTCCAGCCCCAGGCTCAGGCACAGTCGGGAACAGAAAGTGTCGACGATGTGCCAGTGCCGGCGGCCCTGGCTTCGATTGCGGCAGATGCGGAGGAGCGCGCCAAGAAACGCAAGGCCGCCACGGCCAAGGGCGCGGCGTGGAAAGAGCGCGGTAACGCCGCCTACCGTGAGGGCCGGCTCGATGATGCCCTCCAGGCCTATGCCGAGGGTCTCAAGGCTGCGCCACATTTGATGGCGCTGCATGCCAACCGTGCGCAGGTATATCTCGACAAGCGCGAGTTTGGTGCCGCAGAACACGAAGCCAACCTCGTTCTCCGCTACGCCGACATGACCGTCCCCACGCTCGTATCCAAGGCGCTCTACCGCAAGGCGCTAGCGCTCGAGGGCCAGGACCGGCTCCCCGCCGCCATTCAGGCGCTTAATACTGCTCTGGCTGGGACCACCGATCTGGGACCGCTGGTCCAGACCGACAAGCTCGCGGCTCTCTGCGCCCGGCTCGTCAGTGATCTTGCGTCGCAAGAGGCCGCCGACGCGGCTCTGACCTTGGTCAAAGACGCAGATGACGACTCGCTCCTGGGCCAGGTGCGAGCCGGTGCGCACGCACTGCGGCACATCGATGCCTTTGCGCCGAGTGGCTCTGCGGCCGCGGCGGCCGCACTGGGGGCGCTGGGAGCGCTGGTGGCGGCCGCGCCAGGCAACGAGGCCGACACCGCACGTCTGGCACTGATGTCACTCGATGCTCTCGACGTGGTGGTGGGCTGGATCAAGGCCGGTGTTGTCGCTGAGGCAGGCCTGGACTTTCTTGCTATTGCTGCTGCAAGCCCGGACCCGGCGGCGGCCATCATCGGCGACTCTGCACTTATCGAGGCTGTCATGGGCGAGTCTCTGGGGCGTGCAGCGGACGCCCTGCTCGCCGTCATTGTGGCGACCGACTCGGAGGCTACGGCAAAGGCGGTGGCTTCGACATGTCTTTACCCGGCCTGCGGTGTGCCCGAGGCGTGGCTGGAAGCTCTGAGATTGCACCCCGACGAGTCGCCGGGCCTTGTTGCAGCCATCAAGGCCGTACTTGCACACGTTGCACGAGGCCGTGAGATCATCTGCCGCAGCAGCGAGCTCATGCCTGGGGTGTGCCTCGCTGACGCGAGAGAACCAGAGCCGGCAGGCCAGGGCGCAGCGCAACGACTCGACCTCGCACTGGCCATATCGGCCAGCGTTGTGAGCCACGGCGTTGACGGCACAGATACTCCCGCCATGGTCAATGCTGCAGTGGCTGGCGTGCAAGGATCAGCAGCCGGGAGTGACGTCCACACCGCGTGTGTCGGAGTCTTGGCCAACCTGACTAAGACCGATGCCGGGCTGGCGGCTTGCGAGCCACACTCGGACGAGCTCGTCTCGAGCCTGCTGCTGCCGACATGGGAGCGAGCAAGGAGCCAGGGTGAGGCGCTTGAGAGCGATGACGTGCTGGTTCTTGCAGGCCGCCTGGCGCGTGCGGCGTGGATGGCGGCGGCCTTTCGGCCGTACCTTGGCGCGCTGGTTGCACAATGGCGCGCAGCTGCTGCCGAGGGCAAGGATTTCCGGAATCATCTGGTGCGGATTCTTGTCGCACTTGCCGACGACAGCGCCGAAGAGATGGTTGCTGCGGGCGCTACCGAGGTGGCACGGGCTGAGCTGCGTGCCACACTGACCGAGTTTAGAGCTACGCGAGAGGCTCCGATCGAGGTGCTGACTGGAAACATCCTGCTGCTGCTCGGCAAGCTACTGCGGGTGGCGGGGACCGTAGCCGAGATGTCACCTCGTGACGCCGAGGCCCTGGTCTCGTGGATAGACGAGTCGACTCGGTCACAGCTGCGCAAGAACGCGGCCATTGCCGCTGCGCTCGCAGCCAAACACCCGCCGTTTCTGGCCCGGCTCCGGGAGATAGGCGGGATGCAGCGGCTGGCACATGCAGCAGGCGACGGCAGCAGCTCGTAAATGCAGCGCACAGGACGTGATTAGAGCGCTGACGCGTTTGCTTGCGGGCGGATGTTGCGGTGATGGCAGCAGGAGCAGATGTAGGTGAGCGGGCGCGCGTTGGCGATGCCCGCTTCGAGGTCAGCGATCCGGAGCTCGGCAGCCTCGAGCTGACTCATGGTGTCCAACATCTTTGCGGCGAGATCTTTTTGCGACTCGCGAAGAGAGGCGTTGCTTTGGCGGGCGTAGACAAGCTCGCGATGGATGGCCGGTGACGAGACTGCGGCGGCCTCGAGCGCGCGGACCTTGTCAGCAAGCGCAGCAGCCGAGGCACGAACGGTGGCGAGCTCGGCGTCTCGGGCGGCGAGGGCGGAGGCTTCAGCGTCGGCCATACTCTGTGCAACACGTGCGTCGGCGCTGCGCTGAATGGCGGCGATGCGGGCAGTGAGCGCCTGTTTCTCGGTCGACGCCGACTCGAGTTGAGCGGTGAGCGAGCGGGTGTCCTCGACGCGGCTCTCATTGAGCTTGCGCAGCTTTTCCAGAGTCGCACGCATGGCGGTGGCGTGAGAGGCATGAACATTGTCCATAGCTTTGGAATGATGGGTCTCGACAGCGCGGAGATCGCTCTGAGCCTTGGTCAGCTTGCGTTTGTACTCATCACGCTCCTGGCGGGCATGGTCGCGTTGGGTCTTGACCACCATCAGCTCGTCCGAGATGGCATGCAGCGAGGCGGCTGACGTTTGCGACTCCAGCTGGTGATCCTGTGCTGCCAGTACCATCGATTGCAACGCCGTGGTGCAACGCTCGACGCCCGAGGCGGCCTCAGCGGCCAGATCGGTCACGTCCTGCTTGAGCCGGCCGCACTCGCGGCGGAGTGCGTCGAGGCCACGCAGCGCGAGTGCAGCAAGCGACGAGAACATGTCGTCCATCTGCGCTTGCGAGAAAATCGAGGTCTCCCTCCGCTGCGCACGATACAGCCGTTGCAGCCGCTCGACCTCGGCCATAAAGGTATCTGCGGACGAGTTTGCCGCCACCGCGGCGTCGATCCGCTCGCGCAGCAGGTCTTTGTCGAGCATCGGCGGCATCGGCCGGGTTTGGTTGGCCACCGTATGAGTTTGCACAGGGGACGTTGCCACACCGACCGATCGGGTTGGGGTGCTAGCACGTTGTGACTGTGCCCAGCGCGGCGACGGCGGAGCGGCGGCTGCCAGCGGCGAGGGCAGCGAGATCGTAACGGCGATTGGCGATGTTGTTGTTGTTGTTGTTGTTGTTGTTGTTGTTGTTGTTGTTGTTGTTGTTGTTGTTGTTGTTGTTGTTGTTGTTGCTGCTGCTGCGCTGGTGGCGGCGGCGTTGTGGGTGATCGTTGCGCTGGCGGCGGAGGAGTCTTGGCCACCGGCGCGACGTCCTTGCGCGACCTGGGCGGCCTTGACGCTTGCTTTGCGACGCTTTGTTGGTGTTTTGCGATGACCTGGGCGGCCTTGACGCTTGCTTTGCGACGCTTTGTTGGTGTTTTGCGATGATTGGACGACGACATGCCAAGTTCTTGGCAGCGGCTGCGAGTGGCGCGAGGGGAACCAGTCCGGGGCCGGTTGATAGCGGTCGGGCCGCGATGGCTGGTCGGGAGCAGCGACAGGAGAAGCAGGAGCGGGGCCTTGGCTGTGATAAAAGTTGGGCTTTGTGGGCGGGACCTCCTGCGGGCCTCTGCAGCATCTGGATACCAGCCCATGGGGCGGTGCCTGTGGGCATGAGGGCAGCGAGAGGGAGCCGCGTCACTGGGTCTCCCTCCTCGGCATACGGCGCATGGACATGGGCATGTCCGCCGGCAGCAGACGACCCTTCGTCCGACGTAGCTGTCCTCGACCCCGGTGGCCGCATGTGGACAATCTTCATGCGCCTGAACGTGTCGTGTTGTTACTGGGAGATGTGTGTGTGTATGTGTGTGTGTATGTGTGTGTGTGTGTATGTGCGAGCACCAAGTGCTGCCGGCTTCCTGCTCTTGGTCGCTGCCACTGCCCTGTGGTCGCGTCGGTCCGTTGACGGCGGTGTCATGCACTTGCGAGTGGCTTTTTTTTTCTTTTTTCATGAAGCAAACTGTGCTGTGAACTCGGTGATGGCTTTGTCATGATCTTGATCGCAGGGAAAAGAGCGTGGCAGAAGTATCAAGAGAAAGTGAGAGATTTAGAGCTTGTCCTCCTCGGTCTATGGCTGTCTGGGACAGAGTGACGGATGTAGTTGGCCAAAGTGCGCGCCTTCTTATTCTTAACGGACTCCTCCCTGCTGCAGCAACCACTATGCTGACGATGCTCGGCTTGGCCAAGGATTCTAGCTTCTGTTTGGCATGATCCTCCACACATGACAGATGGCCATCCGTTGTGAGCGTTATTACCGTCTCCACTGCTTTCTGCCGTCGCTTTGGTACCGGCCGGCTGCGATACCGTACAAACCGCCGGGTCAGCTCTACGTTGGCGGCACGGGCACTTGATACCAACCACCTCACGCTACTCACACCGCTACCCGCACACCAACAGTGACAGGAACAGAGGCACGCGAGACAGGACCATGGCAGAACCCCCACCTTCGTACCATGTAGCGACGACCTCAGCACCACCACCGTCGGGTGGTCAGGCCGTTCTGTGCGGCGCCTGTGGCACGCTAATGCAGCTGGCGGCCGGGGCTAGCGCCGGCTCGTGCCCATCGTGCGGCGTCTACGTGGCCACCCAGAGGCAGGCAGCACCGCAAATGGCACATTCGGCACCGGCAGGTGCGATGGTGGTGTGCGGAAGCTGTCACGGAACAGTGGTGGTACCGGATCCATCAGCGGCCTCGTTCTTGTGCCCGTACTGCCAGACGGTGTGCAGGATGGCTGGACCGGGCGGGTCAGGGCAGTCTGCAGGACCATCGCAGATGCAGCAGGCACCTGCCCCGCACATGATGCTTGCCAAGCGCAAGTATTACTTTCGGAAGAAGTCCCTCTCCATTGGTGACTACTTTCTGGCGCTCAAGAAGGAGCGACAACCGCGGCCGATTGTGTCTGTGACGGGCAAGACAAAGATGTGGTGGGCTGTCGACGGCTACGGGGTGCGGCTTCTTGCCCGCGATCAGGGCTATCGTATTGTGGGCGAGGGCGGTGATGTGTATGGCGAGGGCCGGCGGGATGGCGTCAAGGCGTACGAAGTCGAGTACGATGGAGTAGTGATGCGGGTGACGGGCAAGTTTGAGACCAAGGGCTCGGCCAAGCATGTGCTCAACTTGGCGCTTGCCGACGGCAGCAAGGTGGGCAAGGTGCAGTACAAACGTCGCAAGGGCGGGTGGATTGCAAACATGGCATGCGAGTTTGATGCTATCCACTTTGTGCTTGCCATGGTGTACATCAACAAGTGCGGCGCACTATCAGTGTACGGCGACGACTAGTAGCGGCCGGGCGGCGAGCTACGGAGTCTTGGAGAGGAACAGGACGCGCCAGCCGCCGATGAGGCGGAGGAGCTCGTTGTCAGGGGGAAGGTCGCCACCAAAGGCCGAGGCGGCTTCGACGCGTGCGGTGTTGAGGAGGAGCTCGCGGAGCTCGATCCACCCGATACCGCCATGGAAGGCAAAGTCAACAAGGACGCCTGATTCGGTGCGGGTGGCTGCCGATGGCGGGCCGTGCGGGTCGACGATGAGGACCTCGCGGCGAGCGAGGCGCGAGCGGACGCCGGCGACGCAGAAAATCTGTCCGGTGCCCTCAAAGACGGCCATGGTGTTGTGGGCGGAAAGGTGGTGCTGCAGGCGGAGGGCAAGGACGTCGAGCTTGTCGATGGCGTCAACGCTCATCATCGAGCACTCGAGCAGGCCGTGGGCGGCGCCGAGGTAGCCTGCGAGGGCGTCGACGGCTAGCCACTCGCCCCAGACCACTGGCTCGGCCCGCGGCGAGGCGTTGCAAGCGGCCACAATGTCGGCGATGGATGGGACCGCGTGCGGGCCCGAGGCTGCATGGGCGAGCATCTGCACCACCCGAAAGCCGCAGCCCCATCCGGAATCGTCCTCCTCATCGCAGTGGTACCAGGCGGCGTGGAACTTAGTCACGGTAGCCATCCACTCGGTCTCGTCGTCGCCGTCACGCCCTGCCTCTGTGCCGGGCATGTTATCGCCAGCGACATAGAGGCTGTTGTCGGCAACGACGGGCGGCGGCGGCGGGGTCGCGTCTTCGATGGCCAGGGCGAGCGACTGGGCAGTCGGATGCGAGGCGGCGATGGAGGCGGCAATGAAGAACCCTTCGCCTGCGGCGATGTTCATGATCTGCGGTCGCGTCAGCAGTGCGTCCAGCGGCGCGTCCCACCCATGAGGCAGCGGGCGATCCAGCATCCACCGGTCAGCGTTCTCCCGCAGAGCCACCACAGCAGCCAGATTCTCCTCGGTCATCGAGCGGACGACGGCATCTGCCAACTCACCCGCAGCCTCCCCACCGCGATCAGCGCACATCATCAGCGCCCTTGCCACCGGGTTCCGCAACTCCGGGGCGGGGGAAGGATCAGGGATGGCATGCGATCGGATGTGCGGCATGCAGCGGGTGTACGGTGTGTGGGTGTGTGGGCGATGCGGGCGGTGCGGGCGATGCGGGCGATGCGGGCGATGCGGGCGATACGGGCGGTGCGGGCGATGCGGGCGATGCGGGCGAGGGAGTAGTGAGACGAGCAGGCGAGGCGTCAGGGGACGGAGGCTGGCTGGACCATGACCACCAGGCCAAGCCTGTGAGACCACCCACAGCCAGCGCAACACCACCAGCAACTACCACCCACCGCTGTGATGACATGGACATTGGTCAAGTCGGGTGTGAGGGGGGGGTGGGGGGTGGGGTGGGCGAGTGTCTCTCTCGGTGGCCGTGCGTGGCATCAAGCATCACTGGGCAGGTGTGAGGCCACACCGTCTTGGCAGCTGCCGTGGCAGCCATGGCACCAGGTAGCACCAGATCAGACATTGTCATCTCGGCCTCTTTGTCACTATGATTCGCTCTTCCATCCGCCTCACACCATCCCATGGCCATCTCACCAGCCCATGATCATACTATCCGTGCATCCGCAACTGCATCCGCACGCCGATGATGAGCATCGGACTGGTCCCCATCCATCGCACCCATCCATCGCACCCATCCATAGCACCCATCCATCATCATCATCATCCCATCACCTCCTATTGCCTCCCATCACCTCCCATCACCTCCCATCCCATCGTCACCACTACGTTCCGTCTCTTTGATCCTGCACGTCGCCTTGCGCCGGCAAGTCGCCTTGCGCCGGCAAGTCGCCTTGCGATGTTCCCTTCGCTGTGTCACTCGGCCAGCTCTTTGGTGGTGCGGCACCACGTTCCCTCCGCCACGGCAAGCGGCGACCCACAGGCCGCATCATAGCTAGAGACACCCCTCCCCCCAGACCCTACCCCCCCCCCCCCCCCCCTATCCCTCCCCTGTTATGGCAAGCCAAAGAGTGCCTGCGGCTGTGGCGTCGTTGCAGAAGGAGGTGGCTGAGCTGGAAAGGGCGGCAGACCGGAAGAGGGCCGAGCTGGCGGCCCTGCGGGAGCGGTTGGGCTTGCCTGCCCGGGTCAACACCCGGCGGGCCCTGCAGCGGTGGATGAAGGAGCGATCGATGGTGCCGTTGATTGTAGGCACGTCGGAGACTGGCTCACGGGATACCCGATCGGGTATGATGCGGATGACCGCCCTGTTGCAGGCCAAAGCCGTTCTCCATACCTCGGTGGATCTCTCCATCGTCGCCGACGATGTCAAGCGGATGTTGTTCGACGTCGCAGGCGGCGAGTACAAGCTTCCGTTGCTGTTTCATCGCGGCGCGCTCATCGGAAACATGGAGCAGGTACAAGAGATGGAGGATTGTGGATCGCTCGACGCCGCCCTCGCCCAGCCGGCCATGTACGAGCGCTCGCCGCGGAAGACTTTGCCGGACCCAGCCCAGGCTCCGACGGGCACCGAGGGCGTCGCGGCGCGAGTCGTGGCGTGGGACCATACGATGGTGGAGGAAGCTGTCAACGCTGAGCACAAGGAGCCGATGGACGTGGTGTACGATACCGGAATGGCGGTGCTGGACTCATTGCGAGCCCTAGTCGAGACCGGGCGCAACGCCGATGGCTCGTTGACCGCTTTCCTCAAGGCATCGACGACGCTTCGTGATGGTGTTCTCGACCTCGCCGAGGTCATTGTCACCATGCTCCAGCCCGAGCTTGCGGCGACCAAGAGCGTCGTTGGCGATGCGGCCGACGACGAGTATGTGTACGAGTACGAAGACGTCGAGAGCGATGGCGAGGACAGCGATAGTGATGGCGGCAACGCGAGCGAAGCGAACAGTGGCGACGGCGGTGGCGGCAACGAGACTGGCTCGACCGCCGAGTACGATGCCGAGAAGAAGCTCATCGCTGGGGTGTATGCCGAGGTGCGGGCGTCGGGCCAGAAAATCCTGGTCGCGTCGCACAAGACGCTCAATCGCGACCCGGCGGTGATGGAGGCTGCCTTTGTGGCGCAGCGGACGGCCATCCGCGAGCTGGTTATCGCGCTGGCGCGGCTGTTCATGGAGCATCCGAACGGAGCGCCGCAGCACGCGGCTCAGCTTCAGGCCAAGGGCGCGTCGATCTCGCGGCTCTCGCTGGAGCGGCTAATGACGCGCAAGGCCGAGAGTGCGGGCGATGCCGGCGACGCCAATCTGGAGCCGGTTGACGACCAGGACTCGATCGACCGCGCCGTGCTCTTTGCCAAGTCGAAGCGGCGCGGCCGGCGCGGCTCGTTTGCGGCCAAGCAGCTTGCCCGTAAGGTCTCGCGGGCACAAGAGCGCGAGCTGCGCAAGACAGCGCAGGCGGCCGAGGCTGCGGCCGAGGCTGCGGCCGATGCGTCGGGCGTCGCGTCGGCCGGCTCGTCGTTCTCTGCCGGCTCGTCGTTCTCGTCGAACCGCGGCAAGGCCGAGCTGGGGGCGGCGTCCAAGATTCTGGAGGCGCGGCGGGCGGCGCGGCAGAAGCGGCGCGAACAGCGGCTATCCAAGTCGGGCCGCGAGTCGCCGGCAAGCTCGCCGGGCGTCGATCCATTGCAGGTCAAGGCCGAGACCGTTTCCTCGCTCCTGGATCCGGAGGCGCGCCGCAAGCGGGTCGAAGAGCGCCGGCGGCGGTCGTCTGCCGCGCGCGAGGACGCGCCAGGTGCGTCTGATTTGCAGGGGCGTCCATGAGCCGACGACGGGATGGGCAGGTGAGGGTCGCCGGGTGAGCAAAAAGGTTGAAGTCCCTCGCGACGTCAGTGTAGTCTGCATTGAGTGGACGGGCGGCACCGCCTGATCGGGCGCCCGTTCTCGCGTATTCAGCTGACAGAGGGTGTAGCACCGTCTCCCACGTCGTTCCAGCCGCGTTGCGCAGGCACTGTGCCTCGGCAGGCCCGAAGGTCTGCTGTCGTTGGCAGGGGCGCTCCGCATCACGGTGCGTTTCTGGTCGATGGGCCTTAGCTAGGTTAACCAAGGTGCGCGTTTCGCGCCTCTATGTACTCGGTGCGTCCGCAGACCTTCCCACGAGTGAAAGGTACGTAGCGCCGGGCCCCGGAGGACCCGGATGTGTTGGTTTGCTCGTGTGCGCGAGGATGAGCCACGAAAGAGTCTCCAACCAAAGCAAGTTTGGTCTCGGCCCGAGTTGTATATCGAGCCGCTCGCCAAGCCGCCGCTCTCAAAATGGGTTTCACACACGACGCGCTCAACCGAGACATATCCAAGCCTCCAGCGCCATAGTAAATCCCTGCATAACCTGCAAAATACAACCCACGAGCACGCTCCACTCCCAAGAGGGCTTGATCTGGTCCGAATGCATTCTCTGTTAAAGGCACTGGGCGTAGATTTAGCTTGCTCCGTCTCTGCGGTGCGAGAGCAGGCGGATCGGCGACGAAGCGACACCATCTCACTCTGGCCGACCATGGCGTCGTCGGGCAGCTTTGGCGGGCGGGCACCACCACAGTACACAACAGCGAGTCCACCATCGAGTGGATACTCTGGTGGAGGAGGAGTGCCAGCCAATCCTGGTGGCGGGCGAGGCCGGGCAAGCCCACAGGCTGGGGGCGGGTGGGGCGCTCCGGCTCGACCGGCGGGCCCTCCTGCCGGGCACAACAACGTCCAGCTCCACTTTGACGCCCAGGCGCGGAGACACATGATGCGCTCCCGTGGCGGGCTTGCCGAGCAGTGCTTTGACGACTGCGTCACCCACTTCAAATGGTCCTACCAGGGCTGGCAGACTGGTGAGGTATGTGTCTTGCTTGGCTTCATCGCCTCTCCCCCCCCCTCCCCCCCCCGTCCCCCTCTGTCTCCCCTCACTTCCTGTCGTCCCTTCTCCTCTCTCTCCCATGACGCGCTTCTCAGACTCACCCGCCTCCTCTCCCTCTATTCGATCCCCCCCTCCCTCCTCTTACTCGTGTCAATGGATGGATCGCATGGATGTGGTGACTGTAGTGGGCACTGGATGAGGCTGAGCAGGTGTGCATCTCCAACTGTGTGGACAAGTTCCTTGCCGCCTCGCAGCTCGCGTCTAATCTCTTCGCCAAGCGCATCGAAGCTCGTGAGGCTGCGCAGGCTGCCGCTGCAGGCACCCATGCCTCGGGAGCCTTTGCAAGACGATGATGATGGCAGTCGATCGATGGCGATGGCTTGTGGCTGATGGCGATGGCTTTTGGCTGATGGCGCTCGCCCGCCACATGTGTGCCGATGGTGGTGAGCCATGGCGAGTGGTGTTAAAGGTGTTCAGAGCCCAAGTACCGAGCCCAAGTACCTTACGCCAGATTTTCTACCGTCTGTCGCCCACCACCGCCCACCATCGGTCTTGTCCACCGACTGGTCTCGTGCCGGCTGAGCTCGCCACCATCCTCCCCTCCCCGTAATTCCACGCACCCCCCTACCCCTCTCCGCTTCCCCTCATTCCGTTATGGCAGCAATTGCAACCGGCTTGGCCTCGGCAGGCCTTCTTTTCGGCGGATACCTCTTGCGTGCTGGGCGGGCAGCAGCAGGAGCAACCGCACGACCGAGTGTTGGCCAGCTGTTCGTGTACCCGGTCAAGGGCTGCGCGGGCGTTGCCGTCGACTCGGCGCAGCTGACGCCGTACGGCCTGGCGCACGACCGCGAGTACATGATTGTCTACCGGAAGACCGCCGATATGGCCAGCAATAATGAATGTGACGAGAGTGTGTGGCACTTTCTCACTCCGCGGGTCGTGCCCGGCATGATCCGGCTGACGCCTCGAGTGGCGGCCGACTCGTGCGAGCTGGTCGAGATGAGCCTGGACGGCGACGTGCTTCAACTCGATCGTGAGACCGTGCGCAAGCCGATCACGGTCGAGCTGTGGGGGAGCATCTTGCTGCGGTAGACTGCGGCGATGTTGCCGCCGCGTGGCTCGAGTCCAAGCTCTGCCCGATGACCCGGACGGCGATGCGGCTGCGGCTGGTCCATCTCGGTGCGTCGCCGTTTGAGTCACGGCCCGAGGGTGGGCGCAGGGCACTGGAGGATGACTCGGTCCCGTGGGTCTCTTGGCCAAGCGGCTGCCGCGAGCTTATTCCGTCGGCTATCGAGGCTGGCGCCTTTGCCGACGGCTTCCCGCTACTGGTCCTCTCCAGTGCGGCGATCGACGAGCTCAACTCGCGCCTAGCGGCCGCCGGCGCTCCGGCAGTCTCGATCCATAACTTTAGACCCAACGTGGTTCTCGACGGTGTCCCGCCGCACGCCGAAGACTACGCTGAGATGCTCGTTCTTCCCGAGCGCGAGCTCGAGCTGGTGTGCGTCAAGCCGTGCGCCCGATGCTCGGTTCCGACCGTCGATCCGGCCACCGGCGTCCGGTCGCCCGAGGCGCAGCCGACCAAGACGCTGCGGACGTATCGGGCGGCAGTGCCCGGAGAAAACGATGTTTTCTTTGGCATGAACGTCGTCCACACCAAGTCCGGTGTGCGGCTCGCGCGCGGCGATGAAGTCGTCCTAGCGCGGGCTGCCGAGTACCGCGGGCCGGCTGCGCCGGCGTCGTGCGCTCGGTTCGCCACAGCTGAACACTAGCTACGGCGTGTCAGCATACGCTGCCGTGAGTGCCGCGATCAGAGACGCCTTGTTCCCGTGCGCCGGGAGGTCGTACGCAGCGAGCTCATCTTTCAGTTCGGCGACTGTCAGCGCGTTGAGCGGCGACGCTGCGATTTCCTCGGGTGACATGTTGAGCGGGATGGCGGCGCGCTTGCGCTTGCGCGCCTTCTTCTTGGCGGCGACCTTGGCCTCGAACTTTTCCAGCGCGTTGGCACCCGGCAGGTACTCGGGCGCCCACCCGTCGGCACGCTTGCCATGCGCAAAGGTAAGGAGAAAGAGAGGCAGAATCTGCTCAGCCTGGAACATGATCCACTCGTTGCCGGCCTCATGCGAGTCGTAGCCAGGCTCGCACGGCTGCCCGCGATAGGTCGTCGAGTCCGAGGCTGGAATCGAGAGCACTCTCCCACGGACAACCGCGGCGACAATGACCTGCGAGTTGCTTGCATACGCCGAGGCGACGCTAAAGTTGGGCGAAAAGTACACACCGCGGCCGTACCAGCCCGAGTCGGTCCGGTGCTTGACGCCCGGCTCGGTGCCCGGAACCACCAGACCTTTGGCGGCGATCGACGCCAGCGCCGACGACCGTGTGCCATGAAAGGCAAGCCGCGGCCGCGCTTCCTCCGAATCGGCGCCGTAGACCGCCATGTACTCGTTCCACTTGACCTCAAACTTGGTCTCTAGCACCTCGGACGAGAGCTTCTGCAGCTTGAGAATGCTCTTGCCCATCTTGGTCATCGACTCGAAGATGCGCTGCACAAAGGCGTCCGCCAGCGTCGCCACATCGCGCGGATTGGCAAGCTCCTTCTGCAGCGCTGCTTCGAGCGCGGCCGCCATCTTGCGATCAGCCTCGAGCCGGAGCGCCTCGGCCTCGGCCTCGGCCTCGGCCTCGGCCAGGGCCCGGGCCAGCGCCTCGTCCTCGGCCATCTGCACCTGCGCCTCAGGTAGCGGCGGCAGCGGCGCTGCAGCCTTCTCATCCTGTGCCAGCTTGCGTGCCAGCGCCTCGTCCTGTGCCAGCTGCGCAAATGCCGCGTCCACATCTTCCACCACCATGTCGCCGCACATCTCAGGGCCCGAGGCCTGCGGATCGGGGTTGCCCAGCACATCGAGGCCAAACAGCCCCGCAAACTCGAGGCTTACCCCAGTGACGGACGACGTACCGCGCCGGTCTCCCAGCGGGACTAGACCTGAGATCCGACGCCCCGCATTGCCGGCGCTGCTTCCCCAGTCCACGCCATCGAGCGCGATCCAGTACAGCGAGCGAACGAGCCAGAAGCCGTCGCCAGCGGTCAGTTCGGCAGACTCGCCTGTCCGCACCAGACGTGTGGCACCATCAGCCTTGCGGATCCGGACCGGATTGACGCCGGCGACCTCAAGCATGGCCTTGGCCACCTTGCCGTCTCGGTCCGACTCCCACCGGAGCACCGCCTGCCGGCGCGAGACATGTTTGTCTCCGCCGACCACCTCCCGCCCCAGCACCAGCTCGGACGCTACCGCCACAGGCAAGCAGGTCAGAGGCCCACTCCCCGCCTCTTTCCCGTAGATAACCACCGTGCCTGCGTCGCCTGCCTCGCTTGTTGTCGCCATGGGTAGAAGAAGCAGCCGAGTCTTCCTCGCGGCAAGAGCTGAGCGAGGGTCAGAAAAAGGTCGTCAAGTGGGTGCCCGCCCGCCCTCCATCACTCTTGCTCGCACCCCGATGGCATTGTCCACGCTACTCAACAGAAAAAAGGTCGTGAACCCCCCCCCCCCCCCCCTCCCCCCTCCCCCTCCCCCCCGTCCTACGCACACAGATACACTCGGTTGCCGGCCGAGCGATCGCTCCGCTGGCTCGACGGCTTGAGATTTCCTCACATTTACTATGCTGGCCTTGAGTACCAGCACATCGTGCCAATTGGTACGAAGCGGCAGCGGACGCAGAGGCGGCGGGGCCGGGCGGGCACGGGCTCAAAATCGTCTCGATGGTCAAGCTCAAGGCCGAGGCCAAGTCCAAGGCGTTCCGCATCGCCAAGGAGCATATGTCCAAGCCTGCGTCGCACGAGGCTAAGCAAGCGTACATGAAGTCTGCCATGCAGCTGGAAGCTGAGCTCCAGGAGGATGCCGATTGCCGACATCGTCGCCTCGTTCATCGCCAAGGACGACCCCAAGCTCTCGACCTCGACATCAACTCGGCGCTCGACTCGGCGCTCGCCGGCGCGTTCGCGTCGCGCGACATGCACGTCCTCGCTCCTCATGTCGGCGTCGGCCACACCGACCGGCGAGCTCGTCCGTCGCAAGTAGATCCACAACGTCCACGGCGCCCCGTCATACCGCTGTGATCAACTCTGACATGCTCAACTTCCCGGTCGTCGGGGTCGTCAACGACAAGCTCCATACCGTTCGCGCCCGCCGCTCCTCCGGGTCGGCGCCGTGTGGCACCTCGCGCACCTCGCCCATGCTCCAGGTCGGACATCCTTCAGGCGGGCGTCTTCGTGTCGGCCGCCATCACGCATCGGGCGCGCCTCCCACCTCAAGCCATAGGCCAAGCAGATGTCGCGCAGCCTCGGCCGGTGACCTGGAAGTCAAGCATCATCGCGTTGTTGACTTTGAGATGCGCGACAACGCGTTCGAACGACCGTACCGTTAAGGGTTATAGCTCGCGTACACATGAGTCAAGGTCGCACTTGATCCACCGTTGTTCACCCCCGCATCGTTCCGTTCTCTCTCTCTCCCCTCCCCTCCCCCCCTCCCCCTCCTCAAAGGTCAATCCTACACAACCACTTCACATCACGGCCAACCGGTGCGGTTGAAGAGTCTAGAGCGACGGGATTTTACCACACAGCTGGTGTTCTAGTGGTTGTCGTTGTGCTGGGCATGTCGTTCTGCTCCCAGAGCGGAGGTGGGTGCTCGAGCCAGCCATGCAGTGCGGGTGGAGCAGGTGATGACGGACCTTCACCAGAGCGACCCGAGACGGTGGTGCTGTCGGCGCAGCAGCTGGCTATGACTACGTCAGAGCTGTATGCTAATTCAGGACCACCGGTCTTTACCGGCAAGTACGCCCGCGAACGGATGCCGGACATGATCGACTACTCGTGGCACGTCCACTACACCCCGGCCCGCCAGCGGCTCCACGACCGCATCATCGACGAGTTCCTCGCAGAGTGTCCGCAGACGGCTCTCCGCGCCTTTGCTGCTGCTGCTGCCGCCGAATCGTCGGACGATGATGCCCTGGCGGCGATCGGTGTAGTGCCCGAAGGGAGGGATGGAGACAGCGGGTGCGGGTGTGGCTCTGGGTGCGATGGCGATGGCGAGGGCGAGGGCGACAACGGGTGTGACTGCGGCGGCGACGGCAGCCTCACGGGGCCGGTTGCCGACCATGAGCCGTGGGCCATTTTTACCGCCGGCACAATGGGCTCAGGCAAGTCGTATGTTCTCCGCAAGCTTGACGAGCTCGGCGTCCTCCCTCAGCGGTGCTTTGTCTTTATCGATCCCGACAAGATCCGGTACAAGCTGCCGGAAATGGCGGCGTACCTTGGCGACGATCCAACTCTGGCCGGATCGCGAACGCATTTGGAGGCGTCGTACATCCAAGAGGTGATGCAGTCGATCGCGTTCAAGGTTCAGGCAGACATCATCATAGACGGCTCACTCCGGCACGCCGGCTTCTTCCGCGACCAGCTGTTCCCGCGGATCAAGGCCAAGTTTCCGACCTACCGTATTGCTATTGTCCATGTCACCGCCGAGCGGCATCACATTATGGAGCGGGTCGAGTCGCGGGCGGCCGCTACTGGCCGCCACATCCCCATCGACCTCCTGGAGGAGACCATGGCGCAGGTGCCCAACTCGGTCGAGACCCTCACACCGCACGTCGACCTTGTGGCTGCGGCGTGTAACAATGACGCGCCGCATCTGACCAGCCTCAATTTTGCGCCATCGCGCGATCCGAGCTCAGCGCGGGTCACCCCGCAGCTTGCGACTCCGGTCGATGTGCAGGAGACCGCCATCAAGAACTGGCACCTGCTTGGTGCCGCTTGGGGAGCGGTCTCACCGCCTCACCCGCACGCTTCGGCGTGAACTGCCGTCACGATGATGACATCAGCGACGACGTTGATGAACTGCTCATGTCAATCTTGATGTCACCAGCAGAGACCGACGACGCCGGGGCCGACGAGGTGGCACCGAGTGAGAACCGCACTCGCCGCGACGAAGAGTTGAGCGCTGACGTCTCGTCGCCGTCGTCATCGTCATCAAAGTCCGAGACTGTCGAGTTTGCGCCAAAGTCGACGTCTTCTTCCTCAAACAGAAATCGCGACGTCGACCGGTGCTTGTCAAACGCCGACGAGCTCGACGAGCCGAGGCCGCCGAGGCCGCCGGTAAAGTAGGCAAAGTCGTAGTCGTGGTCGTACTCGTACTCTTCACGAGCCTTGCGGACCGCTACCGTGGCGTGGGCGTCAAAGTCAATCAGGCCTGTCGACGCCGACGAGACCTTGGTCATCACGCACCCGGCCCACAGAACAACAGGCTCGCCGTGGCTGGCGCTTGTCTGCCCGCGGTACTTGCGCCCACGGACCACAGGCTGGTAGAGGTAGGCCTTGAGCGCCAGCCGGAGGCAGAGCGAGCAGAGTAGGCAGCCCGAGGCCACGCCGAGCACAAGCACGACGCCGAGCGACTGCTCAGCGCTCAACGAGCCGAGTCGGAAGGAGCGAGATGCAGAGTCGCTGCCAGACCCGCCATCCACCAACAGGTCGTCATCGCTCGGCGGCGGCGGGAAAGACGGCGGTGGCGGCTGAAGCGGCGGCGGCGGCGGTGGCGGTGGGAGTGGCGAGGGCGGCGGTAGGAGAGGCGGCGAGGGTGGCGGCGGCGAGGGTGGCGGCGGCGGCGATGGTGCTGGCGCGGATGAGTCGATACACCGGCTCGACCCACTGTCGCAGTATGCGCCTGGCGCGCAGTGGCCGCTTGTTGAGCATGTGGTGAGGCAGACGGCAGCATGGGCATGGGTCGGCACGTCGATGCAGGCGTAAGGGAAGCACGAGACGGCCGACTCGGAGCCGTCGAGCTTGCAGGCGTCGGCGCCGTCAACACAGACCGACTGCAGGACCATCGAGGCGTTGAGACAGGTTGAGCATGCTGCCGAGCTGCCGGGCGCGATGCAATTGACATGCGAGCAGCACGACGACGGATTAGATGTGTCGCAGCTCTCGACGCCTGCCCAGACGTGGCCGTCGCCGCAGACCGAGTTGGCACAGCTGACGCAGGCATCGGTGTCGATGGCGTTGCCGTCGTCGCAAGCCTCGACGCCGGCGTGGACGTGGCCATCGCCACAGACCGCGAACTTGCAGCCAACGCAGGCGTCAGTGTTGTCGGCATTGCCATCGTCGCACTCTTCGACGCCGGCATGAACGTGTCCGTCGCCGCAGACCGCCGTTCTACAGCCGACGCAAGAGTCGGTGGAAATAGTGTTGCCGTCATCGCACTCTTCGACGCCGGTCCACACGTGCCCGTCACCGCACACGGCGCGGTTGCACGAGACACAGGCATCGGTGGAGATGCTGTTGCCGTCGTCGCACTCTTCGTCGCCGTCGAGGACGACGCCATCGCCACAGCTGGCAATGGTGCAGTCGACGCAGTTGTCGGTGTTGTCGGCGTTGCCGTCGTCGCATGCCTCGACGCCGAGGTGGACATGGCCATCCCCGCAGACGGCATTGGCGCAGCTGACGCACGCGTCGGTATCGATGGCGTTGCCGTCGTCGCAGGCCTCGACGCCTGCATGGACGTGGCCGTCGCCGCATACGGCGAACTTGCAGCCAACACAGCCGTCGGTATCGTCGGCGTTGCCGTCGTCGCACTCTTCGACGCCAGCGTGGACAAAGCCATCGCCACAGACTGCGGGCTTGCACCCGACGCAGGCATCGGTGTTGACTGTGTTGCCGTCGTCGCACTCTTCAACGCCAGCCCAAACAAGGCCATCGCCGCAAGATGCGAGCGAGCACGAGATGCAGGCATCAGTCGAGTCGGTATTGCCGTCGTCACACTCTTCGACGCCGACCCGAACGTGGCCGTCGCCGCAGACAGCCGACTTGCAGCTGACGCAGGCGTCGGTGGCGACAGCATTGCCATCGTCGCACTCTTCGACGCCGGCGTGGACAAAGCCGTCACCACAGACGGCGTGCTTGCAGCCAACGCAGACATCAGTCGGGTCCGTGTTGGCGTCGTCGCACTCTTCGACGCCGGCCCAGACGTGGCCGTCGCCGCAAACGGCAGCGGTGCAGTCAATGCAGGCGTCGGTTGGATCCGAGTTGGCATCATCGCAGGCCTCGATGCCGGCCCAAACATGGCCGTCGCCACAGACGGCAGCGGTGCAGGCAGCGCAGGCGTCGGTGTTGTCAGCGTTGCCATCGTCACACTCTTCGACGCCGGCATGGACATGGCTGTCGCCGCAGACCGCCAGCTTGCAGTCAACGCAGCCGTCGGTGTTGTGTGCATTGCCGTCGTCGCAGGCTTCGACGCCGGCGTGGACGTGGCCGTCGCCGCAGACGGCAGACTTGCAGCCAATGCAAGCATCGGTGGAAACGGCGTTGGCATCATCGCATTCCTCGACGCCGGCCCAGACATGGCCGTCGCCGCAGACAGCGTGAGAGCACGAGGCGCAGGCGTCGGACGAGTCGACGTTGCTATCGTCGCACTCTTCGACGCCTGCGTAGACGTGGCCGTCGCCGCAAAAGGCCGGCAAGCAGCCGATGCAGGCATCGTCGGTGTTGGTATTGCCGTCGTCGCAGGCTTCGACCCCAAGTTGAACGTGGCCGTCGCCGCAGACAGCGTGAACGCAGGCAACACAAGCATCGCTCGAGTCGGCGTTGCCATCGTCGCACTCTTCGACACCAGCGTGGACGGCACCATCGCCACAGTAGGCATTGCGACAGGCGACGCAGTCATCAGTAGGATCTGCATTTCCATCGTCACACTCCTCAAGGCCAGCGCGAAGGAATCCATCGCCACAGATTGCGTTGCGGCAGTTGACACAGGCATCCGAATCATCGGCATTGCCATCATCGCACTCTTCTGCAGGCTCGCAGAGGAGACCATCACCACAAGCAAAGACACAATTGGGTGGCGGAGGAGGACAGTAGTCTGGATATGCTGGGCAGTAGCTTTGAATACCATCAACACACTCTTGTGACCAGCCGATGATGCAGCAGAGCGGGAGGGAGCCACAGACACACGATGCCACCGGCGGGTCAGAGGGGCATCCTGGCGAGGCGGGCGTGGGTGTGCAGCACGGCGGAGGCGGAGATGCTGCTTGTACGGCGGGCAAGCATACTGTTGTTGCAAGTATAATGACCATCATGCTCACCATGATGGTGGTTGTGGTAGCGGTGGTGGCCGTGGCCGTGGCCGGGACGGTGGCGGTGGACTGGAGGCGGGCGTGGGGGTGGCGGAAGGCGTTGTGGCGGTGGCGGTGCCAGGTACCCACAGCCATGAGGAGGGGGGGGGGGGAGGAGGAGGGAATAGGTGGTGGTGGTGATGGTGGTGGTGGTGGTGGTGGTGCGGGGGTGTGTCGTGGTGGGGTGTGTATGTGTGTGTATGTGTGGCGCCAAGTGGCAAGGAAGGTTGGGTGGTGGTGGTGGGCCGTGCAGGCTAGCCGAGCAGGACGAAAGGGGAGGGGGATGGAACAGGGAGAGGGAGATGGATGGCTCGTGTTTGATGGTATTTGGCTGATGGTTGATGGCCGTTTGTGTGTACGTGAAGGCGGACTTCACGGCCCTATGCGGGTGGGTGGGTGGGTGGGGTGGGGTGGGGTGGGGACTCACATGATGGTGCAACAACAGCCAGACTCTGCAGGCATGTCGTAGTGCTGGGTGTCTTCTCGATCTCGCGGATGATGAGTCGCGTCCTTCTTAGACCGCTGCGCGTTCTGGATGGCGTCAGAGACCGAGTTGAGCGAGGCCGTCAGCTCGTCGGCGCCGGCCTTGTTCTTCATGGCCTTGACACCGAGCTTGGACGACGTCTTTTCGGCATTCTTCACCGACTTCGCGTGATTCTTGGCTTGCTCCTCATACTCGGATGAGAGCGCCTCGGATGGTATTTGGCTGATGGTTGATGGCCGTTTGTGTGTACGTGAAGGCGGACTTCACGGCCCTATGCGGGTGGGTGGGTGGGTGGGGTGGGGTGGGGTGGGGACTCACATGATGGTGCAACAACAGCCAGACTCTGCAGGCATGTCGTAGTGCTGGGTGGTCTTCTCGATCTCGCGGATGATGAGCTTGAAGATGTCCTCGACACGTTCGTTGTGCTTGGCGGACGACTCGACAAAGGCGCAGCCCCACGAGTCGGCCAGAGCCTGACCCTGCTCGCGCGGGACTTGTCGCTCAAACTGGAGATCAGACTTGTTGCCGACGAGGACACAGGGGATAGTTGCGGCACCTGTGACGTTGAGAATCTTATCGCGGATGATCTTGAGAGTCTCGAACGAGTTCTTGGAAGCGACCGAGTAGACCAGGATGTAGCCATGAATGCCAAGGGCGTACTGCGAGTGTAGGATCGAGTAGTCGTCCTGGCCTGCGGTATCAGCGACCTCAAGGTGGTAGTGCGAGCCATCGACGTCAAAGGTCTTGTTGAACGTGGCCTCGATGGTCGGGTTGTACGCCTGGATAAAGACATCATCGATGAAGCGAATGGTCAGCGACGACTTGCCCACCGCCCGGAACCCGAGCACCGCCACCTTGCGGGTCTTGACATGCGGCTGATGGACGTAGTGGGCGAGGAAGAGCGACCGAAGCGGGCGTGATTGAGGAGCGGTAAGTGATGGTGATGGTGATGGTGACGATGGCTGGTGTGCTCCGTCTCCCTCCCTTCCTCCACCGCCCCCTCCCTCCCCCCCCCTCGGTCCGTCCTCATGTCTCCCCCTCCACCCCCCCCCTCCCCTCCCCCTCCCACTCTACCCCTCCACCCCCAACCCCTCCACCCCCAACCCCTCCACCTCCACCCCACCCTTCATCTCCCTCCTCACTACCACGTACATTCTTGCCCGCGCCCACAAGGGTGCCCGCTCCTGCTTGGACGACGAGCCTCCCATGGCTTGTGCTGCCTGAGGAATGCAGGCTCTTGCCGACGACGACTGGGCCGACTACGGCAGCCAGACGGGGGGGAGGGGGAGGGGGAGGGGGAGGGGGAGGGGGAGGAGAGGGGGTCTGCTACTGTGCTTCCTGGCCGGAGGAAGGTCAGCGAGAGTGGGGTGGTGGTGGGAGTGGGAGTGGTGGGAGTGGGAGTGGGAGTGGGAGTCGTGCGGTGGTTGCGGCAGGAGGTGGCATGGTTCGGCTCGTGCTCGATCGGGGTTGAGACTGATGCTGGTGCTGCCGTCGCGCGCAGCTGGTGCGCAACGCGTCTGTTCGAGAACTGGTCATCCAGTTGCCATGGCGCCTCATCGACAAGTCTATACTAGCTACGAGTGTGTATGTTACATACAGGTTATGCCGCCTGTCCGATCTTGCGGCTGTCACCAGAGTCGAAGCCAGACGGCGGCAGCCGCGAGTGCGCTGCCAACAACAACAGCCCATGCTCGCATGGCGTGCCAAAATGATGACGCAAGCTCCACATCTCGCATACCGCTACCTCCCGCTTCCACCATCGCCTGAAGGGCAGCATCCTTGCCTGCAAACAAAGTGTAGAGCCAGTCCTCGAGGGCGTCTTCCGAGACCAGGCTCTCCTTTGGTGGCGGATCGTGGCGGACAACAGCGACGTCGATGGTCAGACCGCGGTCGTGCTGCGGAAAGAGGATGTCCACAACACGTGGGCCGTGACCACCCGGGTAGCACAGCGTGATGTCGTAGACGTCGTGGAGAGCCGCATTGGCCGCGAGAACTCGCATCGCCTCGCCCACGGCCAAGGTCCGCGGGTAGAGGACAAGACGGAGTGGCGGCCGTCCGCGGCTCGCGGCCCACCTTTGTGATGACGCCGCCAGCGCAGCAGTCATGACTGCGCCCTCGGGCGCCACCAGCATCCAGTGGGTGTGCTTGTCGGGCGAGGCGCAATCCGCGGCGCCGGCCCGGACAGCGGACGCAGCAGCTTCGCGGGCGCCGCCGGCCACAAACACATCGCCGCGGAGCGCTTGTAGCCAAGCATGCGGCGAGGCGAGGAGGTATCGGATCGAGACGTAGCGGAGGCACCTAGTGCCCACGTCCTCCATGCTGGACAGTACGCTGCCGAGAACAAGCGCATCGGCGTACGAGGGATGGTTGACGAGTATGACTCCGCCGCGATGGTCTGCCGCCATCGCTGCCAGCACCTGGCGACTCTCGGCCGACATCCGCACCCGCACTCGGCACCACCATCGCACCGCAGCAACCGTAAAGACGGCTGCGAGATGCGCAAAGTACGTCGCCGCAGCCCGTGACGCCCGCTTGATGCCCGCCAGCTCAGCCACCCGCCCCACTGCGTATCCCACCACTCCCAGCCCGGTCAGGAGCAGCAGCTGCGCCATCGTCACGGCAGCCACCGCGGCCCCACCAGCATAGACCCTTGCTCGCCGAATCATGGCTAGAGACAAGAGGTGTCGCCACTTTACTCGTGCGCGTCGGCGCACACCTTTCCGGTCAGCCGCACGTCAGCGCTCGCTTGCTGCACCCGCGGTACCAACAGCACCGCAAGGCAGCTGGAACTTACTGCGGCGGGGGGATGACAGAACCGGGGACGTTGATGGCGACCGGATCGCAGTGAGCAGGCGCAGTCCTGTTGTTGCAGCCGACGACGTAGTTGCCAACAGCAGCATGCCACTTGGAGTGGACGAACCAGTCAAAGGAGATGATCTGTGCGCCTGAAGAGACGGCCCGGCCGAGGCGGTACGGGTTGTCCCTGTCCCAATACTCCTCATTCGAGTCTGCGCGAGTGCGGACGATAAAACCGCGCTCGACGGCAGAGACAATGAGGTCGTAGCCCTGGTCGTCTGTGGGGTCGTTGATCTTGACGACGGCCATGTCAGGGCGTGGGTCTTGGCCCTTTGAGATGGTGAACATGACGCGATTCTCGAGGATGGGCGAGCGCGAGGTGTACAAGTCGCGGAGCTCCTTTTCGTCGTCGAGGAAGATGATCATCTTGTCACGCATGGCGTCGAGCGAGGGCCATCCGTCGGTTAGAACGGCATGGGTGAGGTTGGCGTGCGAGCCACGGATGATGTCTGGAGTGACGATGCGGTCGCCCCAGATGGACTTGAAGGTGTCCTCGATGATGACCATGTCGCCAAAGTCGATGCCGTTGTAGGCGGCGACGAGGTCCTCCTGCCAGTCGTACTTGATCTCGAGGCCAACGACAAATGGGGTGTGGCCCGGGTTGCGGAGCGACCAGGCGAGGAGGATGCGGAGGCAGTCTGCAAGGCAGGTGCATGCCGACTGATCGTCCCAGAGCTGGACATGGAAGACGGCGGCAGCGCCACCGCGGATGTGGACGTCGATCTCAAACACGCGATTGCCCTTGTCAAGCTGGACGTCGAGCGGCTCGTGCTCGTAGGCCCAGGCAAGGATGCCGGACGAGAAGCCTGGGAAGACTGAGACTGGCTTGAGGTGGGCCGAGTTGTGGTTGCCGCGCTGGATAACATGGTTGAAGGCGATGCCCGGCGTCGAGTTGTAGGCCGGGAGCGGCGGGAGGTCGGCAAAGGGTGCGACGCCGGGGCACCCGCGGTAGAGGCCGACCATGAGGGTAAAGGTGACAAGGAGGTAGACGAGTGAGAGCGCGGCAAAGAAGCAGCAGCAGAAGACACCTCTCATGCCCATCGACCAGTGCTGCGAGCAAATGTGGAGGCCATCGGCACGCGCGAGCTGTGAGTGACGGTCGGTGTCCGGCAGGAGTGGGATGTGCCAGCCAACGCCGCGGCCGAGAGAGAGCCAGCCTGAGCCCGAGGCCGCCGCCACGTCCTCATGGTTGGCCTTGATCTTGGGCTGCGGCCCGCCTTGAAGCGGGACTGCAAGCTGCGCGAGAGCGTGGGCGGCCTTGCGCGGCTTGGACGCGGCCGCAGCGGGCTCACCTCCGATGACAACGACGTCGTCGTCGTCGTCGGACGAGTCGGAATCAGAGCCGTGGCACGCGCCGCAGAGCGGGCCGAGCTCGTACCAAGCGCCCTCGTGTCGCTGCGGCGGTTGGGCGAGAATCCGACCACGGATCTCCGAGTCGCTGGCGCTTGATGCGCCAGCAAGGTCCTGTAGCTCAGTGTCGAGTATCGAGGCACCGCGGCGGAGCGAGCTCCCACCGGGATGGAGGCTGGTACCAGCGCCCTCCAGCGAGCTTTCGTTATCCTCCTGCTCCTCCGAGTACGCGTACGAGTAGGCGTAGGTGTACTCGGACGAGCGGCCGCGAGCTCGCGGGCCAACCATGGACCACATCGACTCGGTGCGGGCTATCGTGTTCGACGGCGATGGCGGCGCCGGTGCGGTGACTGGCTCGCGCCGATACTGCTCCAGCTCGGCGTTGCGCGCAGCAACAAAGAGGCGCATGGCCTCGGCCTTGTCTTCGTCCGGAAGGGCGTCAAACTTGCCTGCGCGGAGCCGGCGGTCCATCGTCTCCTTGACGGCACGCTTCTGGGCGAGGGCGGCGAGCGCAGCATTGGCAAACGTGTTTTCCGGCTCGGAGACCGTCTTGACCTTGGGCAGCGGCAGCTTGGGCGCACGATCCTCGTGCTTGGCCACCGACCGAAAGTGCGAAAAGTTTTCGCGAAAGTGATGCAGGATAAAGACAGCGATGCCCATGAGGATCATGCCAAAGATGGGCAGCACAATGTGGGTCCACGGCGAGGCGCCGTCGGCACGGCCGAGCATCAGCGAGACCACAATTGAGGTGTACCGCCGCATGACGTGGAAGAGCGGGACGACGTAACCAAACTCGTAGTCATGGAGTGCAAGCGTGAGCTGGAAGAGCTGGAAGAGAAAGACGGCGATAAAGGCGGCGACGTAGATGCTGACAATGGTGAGGAGTGCGGAGACAAGGTGCGTCGTCACTCGCGCCGACGCAAACATGAGCGCCGAGAAGAGCGTGACCTCGGACATGAGCACCACCGGAAAGTACTTGCGGAACCGGGCGTTGGCCTCGGCCGAAAGACCCTTGATCTCGACCTTGCGCGCAATGAGGATCCGCAGGCCGATGGAGAAGATGAACAGCGCAAGGAGCATGCATGCGATGAAAAAGATGGTGGCAAACGACTCGCCCTCGACATGCGAGTCCAGCGGCGAGGTACAGAGGAGACCGCCGATGATGAGTGCGTAAGCCACATAGTCCAGGCGTGAGAGGTCCGTATCGGGGAGAAAGAGTGCCTCCAAGACAACCGTTAGCGCCAGTGACGACATCTGCGCCACTGATGACCATGACAGGCCCTCGTACTGGGCAGGCACAACCTCCAAGATCTTCCCCACTGCAAACAGCAGCAGTCCAAGATACCATCCCACGTAGTTGTACAGGTGCTTGGGTCTCCTCGACGTCTCCCTGGTCTCGATCCACCACAACGTGTGTTTGAAGATGAACAGTGCGAGGGTGAAGCAAAAGCTGTGGAAACAGAGATGATGACTGGGTGTGAGTGTGGGAGTGGGAGGGGGGGGGGGTGACTTCCAGGGTTGCGCAACGTTTGTTCCCGAGAGCGCGAGCCATGAGGGGGGGGGGTTCAAAGCCATGAGGAGGCTATGGGTATGGGTATGGGTATGGGTATGGGTATGGATACATCAAGGGGATGAGTGGTATTGGATTGGTGTGGTGTACATACCCCCCGAGAACAGACATGACAATGAGCCATGGGTTGACCGCCATCTCGCTCCTTGGAGGAGACGGGTGTGGTAGGGTGGTGGGTTGGCTGGTGGAGGAGGTGGGGAAGGGGGAGGGAGGGGAGGGGGATTGACTGCCTGTTCTGATTTGAATTTGACTTGACTGCTCACGGCTGGCTTTTGCGGCGGGACGGGACGGAGAACAACGCGACAAGGCGGATAGACGGACAGAGAGAGAGAGAGAGAGAGAGAGAGAGAGAGAGAGAGAGAGAGAGACAAGGCGATTAGAGGGCTTGGTCATGGAAGATATTCAGGCCAAGCAAGGTCAAAAGAAGGGGAGGCTGGAGGAGTTGCCTATGGAGTTGGTGCAGCGGGTGGCCGAGTATCTGCCACTGCCGTCGTTGCTCGCGCTATCGCTCTCGTCACGCGGCCTCCACGCCCAGCTGCTTGGCGATCCGGTGCTTGTCATGGTGGCCGCGGCGAGGCAGCTGGGACTCGAGGGATGCATGCATAGAAGGATGTGGCGGGCAGCAGGCAAAGCGATGCGAATAGCGTGCTCCGCAGGGGGGACGGACACCATTGATGTGGAAGCCACTGCCGAGCGGTTGCTCCTTGCGCGCCCCGAGACCGGCGCTGCAGATGAGCTGGCATGGTGGGATCTGGTCCTTCAACTCGACAGTCTCGACGTGATTTTTACTCCAATGCGGTTCGGCAGTCGGGTGTGGATCTTCCATGACTATGGCCCCTGCTCGATGGTGACCTTGGCGGTTGCACACGGCATGATTCCGCTGGCGACAGTCATGTACAACCGGGCCAGCAAGCCACTGGCCGGGTTGAATACCTGCCTCGCGTGCGCGGCTGCCGGCGGACATGCTGACTTTGCCCGCCGACTTGTGGCTGATGGCGCAGCCCTTGATGGCCTTGAAGGCATTGCTCTGCGACGGGCGGTGGTGACCAAGTGTGTCGCCGGCGTGGCGCTGCTCTTGGACGAGTACGGAGTGAGCCCGGCGCTCGACAACAACTTTGCCGTTGTCCGCGCAGCATCGAGTGGATGTGTGGAGATGGTCGAGGTGCTAGCTGCTCATGCGGACACCGATGTGGCTGCGCGCGGTAACGCCGCGGTATGTTCGGCGGCGCGACATGGCAATCTTGCACTTCTCCGCTCACTGCTGCAGCATCCGGCCGTCGATCCAACAGTGTCTGGTGACTTGCCACTCCGTGACGGGTGCGCCGGTGGCCACCTCGAGGTCGTCAAGTTCCTGCTTGCTCACCCGTTGGTCAACCCGTCAAACGTCGCACTCGGCCGTGCGCTCTGCTGCGCCGCAGACGGCGGGCATGCTGACGTACTGGCGCTCCTCCTCGACGAGACCGGGGTTGATCCGACCATTGCTGACGACGAGCCAATTGTGCGCGCCATTCGATCCGGGCATGCCGATGCGGTAGCGCAGCTCCTGAAGTCACCGGCAGTCGATCCCATGTCTCGCGGCGGCGCGGCGCTGGTTGCGCCGCAAAAGCCGGTCATGTCCAAGCGCTCAGGGTTCTCCTAGCGGACAAACGAGTCGATCCCAACTACTGCACGGGCGTCATGCTCAAGTCAAGCGTGTTTGCAGGTTGCACCGAGGTTGTTCAACTCTTGATTGCCGACCCTCGCGTTGATCCGACGGTCGGGAACAACATCTGCGTCCGCTTGGCTTGTGAGTATGGCCATACCACCATCGTCGAGCAGCTGCTGGCCATCGAAGCTGTCGACCCGATGCCGACCTCCTGGTTCGACTGGACCACCATGCATCGATCGGCCGACATTGTCCGCCTCCTTCTCCACCATCCCAAGGTCGACCTCAGCTTCCACGACGGATACACGCTCCGATGGGCCGCTGAACACGGCCACGCCGACCTGGTCGCCGACATCCTGACAGCCGGTCTCGACGCTGACATCAACGATGGCGCCGCCCGAGAGGCAGCTGCCGCCAACGGTCACGCCAACATTGTTGCTCTCCTCGGATGCAAATGAGGGCATACCGTCCAACGGGCCCCACGCACTCGGCGATTATGTTTCTCCGCAAGCAAACGTTGCGTGAGCTTGCCCGGCGCAACCTGCCAGGCAGCCAGCTGTGGCACCTTAGGCGCGACAGAGCTGCAGTTACGGCCGCGGACAGACGAGGACGGCCTGTTGGCGTGTGCATCGGCCTGTTGGCGTGTGCGTTGGCCTGGGTGAGGCCAGCATGGGTAGCGTTGTCTGAGCGCTATTGTTCTCCACCAATGTTGATGCGGTGCGGATGGGTAAATAGTTGCGAAAGCTGCCAACTTCGGCCGCGCCACCTCGCCGCCGCACCACTTGTCGCAGCAGCTATGAAGGTTTACTCTCTGGTTGTTTCAGTGGTTGTCGTCCTCGTCCTGGCTACGTGTGCGCAGTGTGGGACGGTGACGGTGGCGCAGCAGGCGCTGGCAATCGCCGATGTGGAGGCACTTATTGCCGCGCAGCCTGCGCGGACAGCCGAGCTGGTGCGACTTGGCTTTCACGACTCGGTCGGCGTCTCGCCGAACCATGTCTCGGACGGGTGTATCAACCTGGAGAACGCGGACAACAAGGGCCTGATCAACATTGTGGGCGCGATGGAGAACCTCTACGTCAACCGGCAGTCCAAGCTCGAGTATGGACAGATGTCGCGGGCTGACTTTTGGGCGCTCGGCGGCATTGTGGCCGCCCGGGTTGGCGCGGCCAACTCGGCGGCTTGCACGGCTGGCGTCTGTGTCCCGCCCATGCCGCTCACCTATGGCCGCAAGGACTGCGCGACGTCGCCCAAGACGGCAGCAGCCGGCTCGTTCCCCAACGCCCAGGGCGGCATGTCGACGGTCATGAACCTCTTCCGCAACGAGATGGGCTTCACCGACCGCGAGGTCGTCGCCCTCATGGGCGCACACTCGCTCGGCGCCGCCGAGGCGGCCGACTCGGGCGGCTTTACAGGGCCTTGGACTCGCCAGCCTAACACGCTCGACAACGAGTTCTACAAGGAGATGGTCAACTCGGCCTGGCGCCAGAACGCCCGCGCGGTCCCGGGCGCCAGCCCGGTTCACCAGTGGGACAGCGGTGCAGGTGGCCGCCCTGTTATGATGCTCAACACTGACATGTGCCTCCACCGCCAGATTGCGCCCAACACCGCAGGCGTCTCGTCGTGCGCTGCCGATCCCAACGCGTGTCCTGTCGCCGTCACCGACCGTGGTGTCAACACCACTGTCATTGTCGCCGAGTACGCCGCGAACAACACCCGCTGGGCCCTCGACTTTGGCCCGGTCTACTACAAGCTCGTCTCGATGAACACGCCCGGCCTGGTGAGTGCCGGCGAGGAGGTCCCGAACACGGTCGAGCCGACAACGGCCTCGGCCGCTGCTGGTCTTGTGCCGTCGGCCATGGTCGCAGTGCTTGTTGTCGTCGCCTCGATGGTTGTCTCCCTGGCATGAGCAGGCCTACATGCGCCAACGCGACAGACGCCTTTTATCTCGAGACAGCAGCAATGCGGGCAAGGCGCTCCTCGGTTGCAGCGGGGAACTCTTCGTAAAACAGTCGGTCGTTGGCGTCGATCTGGGCCCTCAGCTGCTCCAGCTGAGCAGCGAGTGAGTCCTTCATGGCGTGCTCGAGCTTGTCAAGCGCCACCTCCTGGGCGCGCTCGGCGACGCGGCGGTTGTACGACTCAATCTTGACCTGCTCCTTGACCATGGCCATCTGCTCGGCGTGATAGCGAGCGAGGTTCGACTTGCGCTCGTTGAGGATGGCAGCGGCCTCGCGCTGCTCCTCACGAATGGCGCGCTGCTCTTCGCGAAGCCGGGTGCGCTGTAGCGCAAGGCACTTGTCAAACAGCTTGCGGTACATGACCTCTTCGTTGTCGCGTCGGCGAAGCGCGCGCGACTCGATGGCACGCATCTCTTCCGAGGCGTGCTTGCGGAGAACCGCCCGCTTGCGCCGCCGCTCGTAGGCCGTGCGCCGGACAGCGGCCTTGGCCTTGGCGGTGCGCCGCTTGGCCCGCTGTTGTTTCTCCACCCGCGCCTCCTTCTCCAGCAGCTTGTAGTACGCCTGTTGGCGCGCAATCATGTCCTCCAGACCAATGTTTCGGTTGTACTTCGCCGTGTTGGTCTTGGCCAGCCGCTCCCACTGAGCCACCTGCTGCTTCATAAAGTGCTTGGAGAGCCGCGGGCCCACGCCGAGCGCCTGTAGCAGCTCGGGCGAGATGACCATGTCTGCATCGTCGGCGAGCGCGTCAGCACCCGCCAGGCCTGCGTGCTGGCGTGCGCCCACGGCGGACGCCAGCTTTCCAGCGCCCGACAGCTCGTCCCGGCGCGCTGCCTTGCGTGGCGACTTGCGGACCCGTTGTTTGGACGACCGCACCCGGCGCGGCTTGCCGTCCAGCGCCGCAGCCTCGAGCTTGCGCAGTGCGCCCTCGCCCTGCGACTTGATGAGGAAGGCCTCAAACTGGCGGAGCGTGTGCGCTCGCTGCTGCGCAGCCTCGGCGGCGTCGATGGCTGCCGCTGTTGCGTCGCGTGATGCAGCGATTGCAAGCTCGTCGTGCGCAGCAACGTCAGCCTGAATCGACGGGTGAATTGGCCCGCCACGCGCAATCGGCTTCTCCGGCTCTACGCTGTCGAGCAGCGGGCCAAGCTCCGAGCTCGTCGCTGACTGCTCCTGCAGTGACTCGGCTGCGGCCAGAATGTCCCACAGTGAGGCGGTAATGTCTGCCGTCTTGCCGACTGCGCCAACCTCGCATCGTGCAAGCGCTTCCACGCTCAGCTGGTTCAGCGGCAGGTCGACTGCTTTGCGGAGAATGCCGATGACGATGTTGGCGTTGGCCTCGGCGTCTGCCATCGTCGCCGGCGCCCTCACCAGGCCAGGCAGAGGAACTGCCAGCATGGCCTCTAGAAAGGTGGCAAAAAGAAGAGGTGTGCCCTGATTGGACGATGTCACCGAAGCCGGCATACCTGCCCGCTGGCAGAGCTTGTTGAGCAGTGCCACGACCTCATCCTCTGCAAGACGACGGCCACCAGCCGACCGAGCATCCATTCCCAGAACCCAATTCCGACCATCATCCATTCCCGATGTGAGTGACAGTCGATGTGGGCATGACTACATCCGTGGCCTCCATATCAGGGTGTGTGGTGGTGTGTGTGCGTGTGTGGTGGTGTTCGGTGACAGAGTCCGTTGCAAACTGAATTGAAAGTTTTGTGTCGTCGCAAGGTGACAACGAAGGGGATGGGCTCGGGGCTGAGGGGGTGGAGCAAGGGCGTACCTGTGGATGGAGGCGAGTCGGCCATGGGGTACAAATGGGACACGTGTGCCGTGTGTCTCGATGTGGGGTGGTGGGTTGGATGGGTGGGGTGCGTCAAGTGGCTGACGGTGGAGCCTGTGAGTCGTTTGGGGAAGGAGAGGGGGGACACGTTGGCTGGCGACGGTCTGCGACTGTTGGCGTTCTGCAGAGAAAGTGGGATCAGGGTGCCTTTTCTGGGATCTCTGGGATCACCGGTACCTGTATGTAGTGATGATGCTACAAGTGGCGATGGTAAGTACAGCCTGCGGGATTTGTGGGGCACAGCTACGGCGGCGACGGCTGGTGCGGAAAGGCGTTGAGGAAGCGGGCGTGAGAGGCGGCGTGATCGCGACCAAAGTCAGAGTCTGCGGCATGCGCACCCCAGTTGGGGACCGAGCCGTCGGTATCGGTAAGGCCAAACTCGGTGGCAAGGCCCCACGAGGCAAAGACTCGCCCGTTTCGCGCCGCCTTGGCGTCGGCGTCGAGGGCGGCGAGGGCGGCGATGCCACGGCCGACAAAGATGGGCGTCTCCGAGTGGGCAAAGTGCGGATCGGTGGCAATGGCATCGCGCCAGGTCTCGCACGTCACACCAAAGTGCTTGAGAACGGCCTCAGAGCGGAGGAATCCAGGCGTGACCGCCACAGCACAGATGCTCGACTCACGCAGCGATTCGGCGGTGGCAAAGGCGAGGCGGATGACTGCATTTTTGACGAGATCGTAGAAAAGAGCCCCGCGAAAGAAGCCACCGGCGCCGTCCGTCACCTCGACCACCAGCGGGTCGGTGCCGAGCCGGAGGAGAGGAAGCATGGCCTTGGTGGTGATGATGTGCGAGACGATGGCTTGGTCGAGCATGGCCCGGCCCTTGCCAACGTCCAGTGCATCGATGGCTGTGCCCCACTGGGCCTTATTGTCGCCGCCCCAAACGCAGTTGACCAGTAGATCGAGGTGGCCCTTCTCCTTGGTGATCCTGGCCACCAGCTCCGCCACCGCGTCCTCATCCTGGTGGTCGACCACCGCAGCCAGTCCACAACCTCCCGCAGCCGTCACCATCTCTGCCGTCTCCTCGATGGTCTCGCTCTTGCCACCGCCATCCTCTCCTTGGCTCGCCTTGCTTCGCGATGAGCGACCCGAGCAGTAGACGCACCACCCAGCCTCTCCCAACGCCAGGGCAATACCTCTTCCTCCTCCACGAGTCGCCCCAGCCACCAACGCCACCCTCGTTTTCTCGCTCGCGTCGGCCATCACCTTGGACAAGCGAGCCGAGCTTGAGCTACTTGGCTGCTCCAGAAGCGTAGCCGTCTGCTGTGGTCAGCTGGCAAAGTCAACTGTTAGAGACGGGTGCAGAAGACGATATCTGTGGCTGTCTGTGGTGACTGTTCGCTCACACGACATCGCTGCCTGTCACCACTGGCCCGACACGACGACGACGACGATGACGACGATCATGACTACGATTACGACGATTACGACGATTACCACCTCGACAACCACAACCACACAGCTACAGCCACCCACCCATAGCCACCCATAGCCACCCACTTACACTCACTCACTCACATTGCAACTTTGGCCAACGTCCACCTCCTGGTCATGACCACCCCTGCTGCCCTGTTCCGGGCGTGGCTGGTTGTGGTGGCTGCCGACGCGAACCAGAGCGCCACTCTAGAGCGGGCTACCGTCTTTGACGCCTTTGCCAGCTATGCTGCTGCTCATGGCTACGATGACTTGCCAGTGGCGGTGGCAGGAAGAGTCATTCGAGCTGCCTTTCCTCGTGTCGGTACTCGCCGTCTTGGCGCACGGGGCAAGTCCAAGCATCACTACACAGGCATCGCCTGGCGCGATGGCTTCCCCGCAGCATCCGACCTCCCACCACCCGATGATCTTCTCGACATGTGCCGCAAGACCGCATCTCATGCACCAGCTCCTCCAGCTGCTCATGCTGATCGGGTGGTGGACACTGGCGGCTCGTCCTGGTTCCCGGAGCTGGTCGCCGCCGCTGCCGATGTCGAGGCTGGCGAGGCCAGCCTTGTTGACGCCATCGTGACCGTCCGCACCTCGGGCCAGCTCGGTGGTCTTGCCGCTATAATCGAGGCCGAGCTCCGCCGGCGGAACGAGATGTGGGCGAGTCTTGCGCCGGGAGCTGACGTCGCCGAGGCCATGCAGGCCGCAGAGGAGCGGGTCCTGGCCAAGCTGCTGAGCGCGCTCATACCCGACGTGACCGACCCGGAGCTGGCGACGGCGTTGGCCGTCCTTGGCCCGGCTGTCGACGCCATCACCGCCGCCATGCGCGCCGCCACTCTACCAGCAAGCGGCTCGTCATCGTCAGATCCAGTCGCCGGCTTTGACGCTGCCGCCCGCCGCCAGATCGCGCTCGTCACCCAGGCTGCTACCGTGGCCACCACCATCGCCGACGAGCCGCTCATGGCCCGGCTCGACGCTCTCCTGACGGCCGTCGACTGGGCACAGATCTCGCAGATGTGCATGTGGTGCCTTGCCATGCCGGATACCGCCGTCCGGGCTTTTGCCACCGCCACTGTCGACCTCGTTGCGCAGCGCGCCCCGCTTGCGGCCTGGGCCGAGACCACTGCCGAGTTTGTCGGCTCTATCGGGCCTGTCAACTTTACCGACGCCTCTCGCCGCTTTGTCTCGTCATGGGTCTTCTTCACCGACTCGGTCATCCGCGAGGCGTCGCTGCTTCCGGACGCGGCTCGCGAGGCTGATGCCGTCAACGCACTCGCGGCTCTCCTTCGCCTCGCCACCGAGTACGTCCTGTATGCCATCGAGTACCGCAGTGCGATGGAGGCCCGGTCCGAGTCGCAGAAGCGGCCACGCGGCGTCAGCAGCAACGCCAGCAGCGACAGCGACAGTGATGACAAGACCGAGGACGACAAAGGCGGAGCTGCTTACAACAGCGTGCCGAACGACAACAGCGAGCCGCTGCCGCCACCATCGAGCAAGCGTGCTCGCCGCGTCCACCAGAGCAACGGCAGCCAGAGCCGCGATAGCTATGGCAGCGACGATGACCACCAGCAAGAGCGAGCTAAGCGCGCTAGACACCATTGATGGCCCACAGACTCAGACTGAGACTTTGCGCGAGTCGCAGTGGCATATCAGGTGGGGCGAGCTCGAGCTCGAGGCCACCACCGTTGCGGCCAAACCTGCCACCGCCTCGCTACTGAGACGGAACCGATCTGGCGCCTCGGCGCTTGGCATTGTACACTCGGGCCTTGACCTTGGAGTTAACATGAAGCGCATCAATAGCATGCGGGGGGAGGACCCGAATGCGAGGCCCTGCGAGGTCCTGCGCAGCGGCAGTGATGACAAGCGCGATCTCGTGCATGAGCTCGCGCGATGCAGCGGTGGCCTCAGGCGGCTCGGAGAGCGCGGGGTGGAGGGCGAGGTTGAGGCGCATGCCCGACATGTGAGTGGCCTCAGCATCAGGTGCAACCTGGTGCATGAGCAGGCCAAAGTCGAGCGTCTGCTGTTTTTCCAGCTCACAGCTCGGCATGTAGCGGTGCATGTACTCGAGATCAAGCTCGGGCGAGGCGTAGACCGCGTGCAGCGTGCCGTAGAGGAGCTCCAAGACCGGGACGGGCGGAAAGGCAGGAAACGAGACCGGCGCCTCGGCGAGATGAACTGCACCGCTCAGCGCCGTCTGGGCGGTGAGGAGGAGGAAGTCGAGCGAGGGGTCGAGAACGTGCTGGGCGGTGACGGCGGCTCGGATGGCATCTAGCGCCTCGCTGACGGTCACCACTTGGTCGATGCGCTCGACGGCGACGCTTGGCCCGGAAAAGTGGTGAGCATCAGCCTTGGTCGAGAGGAGCGAGAACCTGGCCACCATTGACCGCGCGAACGCAACCTCGTCGTCGTGGTCCGGCGCCATGCCGCCAAAGTGCGACGCCGTGGCCAGCTCAAACGCATCGATGAAAGCTTCCAATACACCCGAGAGCGAGAGGCGGAGAGGCACGCTTGCAAAGTCGTCGAGCCCTGGCAGCCCCTCCAGCGCGGCGACGGTCCGCTGGAGCAACGGAAGCAGCGTTGTTGCCGGGAGGACCTTGGGCAAATTGATGTAGACGGGTACATCGAGGTGGAAAAGGGCGCTGAGAATGGCATCCCAGCCCGAAAAACACCATCGTGCGGATAGCCGCCGCCAGGCGGGCACGGACGCAGCGGGTCGAGCTGTGCAGCCGCGAGCGGCGAGATGGCAGCCACAACCTGGACCATCAGCTGGTAGGCGGTCAGCCGCGGGAGACCGGCAGCGTTGACATGGGCTGTTTCGGCCTCGGGCTTGAGCGCGAGGTCGTCGACCAACGAGGCCAGGACCTCGAGGTTTGAAGCCCAGAGGCCAGGCACACCCAGGTTGATGGTCGACGGCTGGACAGGAAGAAAGTGCTGGCCCGACGGTGTTCGCTGGCCGCCGGCCCGCGCATGGGCTTTGTCGAACGAGCTCAGCAGCGCCGGTCCGATCGAGCACGCCAAGAGCAGGCCCCACGGCGGCGTCGGAAGTGGCGGATCAAGGCCCGATTCGAACGCGAGCGGACCAAAGGTGCAGCCGTCGAGCGAGGCCAATGGAATGCGGGTGAGCCATGGTGCAGGGCCCGAGCTGCTGCTGCCGTCAGCGGCAACAGAGTAGATGGCGCGATCAGTGACAACAAGCACGACATCATCGAGGCGGCCGACCGAGTCAATGGTGGCGACGGGCCAAGCCTTGATGAGCCGCTCGCGCGGAAGTGGAGCATTGCCCATCGCCACGTCTAGATACCGCAGATGCGGCGCGAGCGTAAGCGCATCACCGGTGATCCGCGAGCCAGCCGGCGCACCCAGCGGATCAGCAAGCGGATAGAACCGACGGAGGCGCGCCACACCCAGCAGCTCGCGAACAAAGAACAAGAGTGGTACGTCATGGACTGGCGTGGCGGCAACTACCCGCTTGGCAGCGGCGACGGCGTGCGGCCGTGAGTACGGCCCGAGGACGTCGGCGAGGAGGCCCGGTAGGTCTGGGAGCCGGGCCGATGATGATGGCAATGCCTCCATGGTCACCCGTGCCGAGGCGACGACAAGCTGGTGGAGCGCGTCCAGGCACCGATCGGCAGTCTTGTGGGTGTATGGGTGGAGCGAGAGGAGGTCGACGACGGCTGAGACAAAAAGTCTGGCAGCATGGTCTGCGCTGCGTAGTGGGCCTCCAGGGGGAGCCAGGCGAGGAGGAGAGCCTTGGAGGCGGTGAGTGTGAGCTTGCCGGAGCGGGCCGACTCGACGACGACCCGAACGCCGCCTGCGTTGACGACCACCGACGATGGGATGTTGTAGATGGCAAGAGCACGAAGTCGGGACCCAAGCGCAGCGCGACGCGGACGAGAGGCCCGGCGAAGGACTGTGCCAAGGCCACGAGCGAGCAAAAGCAGAGGCGAGTGGCTGATACGGGCCGGGTCGAGATGGCGGGCTATCTTTTCCAGCCGCCGCCGCAGCATGTCAGGATAGCTGACCGAGGCGGCGACGATGAGAAGTTGTGGCGGTGGCTCGGAAAGCTGCTCAATTGAGTATGCGTCGACAGCCTCGCAGTCGAGGCCCGAGCTCTCGCTCGAGCTGACTCGAACAATCATTGGCGGAGGAACAAAGGCGTCGGCTGGATACGAGAGGACAATACTGGTCCACACCTGCTGTCCGTCGTGCTCAACGAGCCGAAACCGGACCGAACCGTCTGCTGTCTGTCCCTCGCATCCGCCAACTGCATCGGCCAGCGCCAGCTGGAGATCGAGCGTGCCGGCGGCGGTGGCGGAGGCCTCTGCAGCGAGGGTCTTGCGGCGGGCCACAAGGCGCTCGCGGGCGGCAGGCCATCGGCTGTGGCGTCGTCCGCCAGACACGGCTATATTGCCTCCAACATCGACATCGACGTCATCGAGGTCGGAGACGTCCACCGGTGCGTGGGCGGCGAGCGCAGTCGGGCAAACGAGAGTAAGCAAGAGGTGAGCAGGATCGACAGGCGCAGCATGGCGGAGGCGAACAAGGGCGAGATGGGAGTATGGCGGCGGCAGGGCGAGCTCAATCCAGGCGGGAGCAACTGCGCCATCTGCAGGCTCGGGCGCACGCGACGGAGCTGCCATTGTCAGCGACGGCGGGTACATCAGCGGCTCGCAGTGGGTGAGGGAGCAGAGGCGGGCCGAAGCGAGGAGGTCGTCGGGCGAGGGTGGCGGTGGTGGTTCGTCATGTAGCCCACGGTGGAGCAAGCAGCACTCTGCATGTGAGCTGCTCTCCATGCCCAATAGCAGTACGTGGGATGGTTTGTGTGGTTTGTGTGGTGTGGTGTGGTGTGGTGGTTCGTGTGTCGGAAGGGGGTGGTGGTGTGGTGGGTGAAGGGGGTGAGGGCGGCGCGATGGCACTGCCACATCGACCACACGCTGCACACCACACGCTGCACACCACACGCTGCACACCACACGCTGCACACCACTCCCATCTCTCTCTCTCTCTCTCTCTCTCTCTCTCACACACACACACACACACTCACACATACTCACCTCGCTCTCTGATACTCTTGCAATGCAACTGGGCTGGGCGAGAGCCGGCACTGCGGCGACTTGGGTGGCGGTGTGGCTGGTCGTCATGGTGGTTGTGGTTGTGACCGTGGCTGGAGATGGCATGCCGATGGCGACGGGGACCGAGTTCGGGGCAGAGGGTGAGACCGATGTGGCCATGGCAGAAGTGATGGCTGATGGTGATGGGCCGGGAGTCAACACCTCGGTCCATGCCTTCTACTACACGTGGTATGGAGACGAGGACCAGGCGTTCCACCACTGGGATCATCGGGTGCTGTGCCACTGGAACGAGGCGCTACGACACCACCATCCGTGCGGCCATCGCTTTGCTCCGCCTGACGTCGGCTCGCCGTACTATCCTGCACGCGGGCTGTACAGCTCGGGCGATGCTGCTGTTGTGACCGGCCACACCTCCGATGCAGGCAAGGCTGGCATCGGTGTCCTAGTCTACGGATGGACCGGGCAGGCGTCCAATCCGCGGGCCGTCGACGGTGAGGGAATCAACACGGACATCATTGTAGACGACGTGCTCCGCGCTGTTGAGACCTCACACGTTCCAGTCCAGATCGCTTTTCATTCCGAGCCGTACGAAGGGCGGAGCCCGGTCTCGTTTGCCGACGACGCCGAGTACCTCGCTGCCCACTACTTTCATTACGACTCCATCTATCGCATCGATGGCCGACCAGTTGTCTACGTGTACGACTCGTACCGATCGCCGGCCGTTGAGTGGGCGGACGTGCTGGGCAAAGGTGGCTCGCTGCGGGGGAGCGATGCCGACGTTTTTGCCTTTGGCCTCTGTCTCGATCGCGGCTGCGTGGCTGAACTTGCTGCGGGCGGCTTTGACGGCTTGTACACCTACTTTGGCTCGGACGGATTCAGCTACGGTTCGTCTGTCTCCGAGTGGCCGGAACTTGTCAACGAGGCCCATGCAGCCGGCCTGAAAGTCTCTCTCTCGGTTGGCCCGGGCTACGACGACACCCGGATCCGGCCGTGGAACAGCGCCACCCGCAAGGACCGCGACAACGGCAAGTACTACGTACGCATGTGGGAGGCGGCACTGGCTTCAGGCCCAGACTATGTCTCGATCACATCGTTCAATGAGTGGGGCGAGGGGACACAAATCGAGCCGGCCGTCGCACGCGAGACGACCGACTACACCTACGTCGGCTATGGCGACAGATACCTCGAGCTGACGGCTGAGTTTGTGGAGAGATGGAGCAGGCGCTGACCCAGTTCCCGGCACATCACCAACCCACGTACGTACAGTTGCTAGCGCACAAGCTCAGCTGCCAAGGCTGTATCTCCTCATGGGTCCCGCATGTAAAACAGCAGGTAGGCCGACGGACCGCCGACCCGTGTGGGCGAGATGGAGCTCACACGCGCGTCGTCAAAGAGGAACCAGCTGTCGGTGTCTGGCGACCGAGCGTACGCGGTGTAGTGACCACCGCCAAGACTGCCCATGTGGTTGGAGACGGCAAAGAGCGAGTAGGTGGCAGAGTGGCCCGACGACGGCGCCTCGGGTGCCAGGTACGAGCCGAGGTCGAGGCCGTCGAGCGGAAACGTGATGTTGTTGGTGAGCTTGGAGCGCCGGAACGTCGACGCTGAGAACCGCTTGAGGTGGAGAACCATGATAGCTGGGAGCCGAAAGAGGCCAAGCTCCTTGGTACTCTTGCGGTGCTTCTTGCACTTGGAGCAGTAGTACTTTTCATCGCCGTCGAGAACCTCGGCCTCAGTAAAGGCCTCCAGACACTGGCCGAGGGTGAACGACTCTGTCGACGACGAGAGTGCCGACGAGCCGTACGCTCCTCCGCCCCACCCGGTCCCGTACCGCCTGCTTTGCATCGATGTCCGTGGCGCCTGGTTCGTCACCGGAATCGGGAGCGAGATGTCAAGAAACGGATCAAAGGCTTGCGAGACTGCCGAGCACGACATGCACGTCACGGTCGAAATGAGCTGCCCGCGAAAGAGATCAGTAATGATTGAGTCGTCCCGCGAGACGTGGTAGTCCCAGATGAGCTGCGCCTTTTGCGCCACAGTCAGCCGCTCATCATCGTCGAGTTCGGCGTAAGGCTTGGTGCCACGAACCCGGTTGAGATCCTCGTGCAGGCCGTCGAGGAGGAATCGGAGGAACTCTTGCGAGTCTTGCTGCGAGAAGCCCATGAACCGCGGCGCAAAAGCTCCGACCTCGCGCTTGAACGACCGCGGTGCCACGCAGCTTGCTCGTTGCTGCCACATCTCCCGCAGCAACAGGCCAAACGCCACTGCGAGCTGGCCTTTGGTCTTGAACGCCGTTGTGTTGATTGCGCTCCCCACCTCGTCCGAGAGGAATAGGTTCCGCAGCGGACCGCAGTTGGAAAGACACTGCAGGATCGAGTTCATGAAGCACGTGTTGCCCAAGTTTGACAGCCCGACCTCGCCGCTGCCGCGCTCGCTTTCTCCCACTGCCTTGCTCAGAGCGCCGGGATCGGCCTCGTCCCGCCGCCGCTGACGATCGGCTCGCGACGACCGCGACGGACTCTCAGCAGCGTACCACGGCGTGCCTGATGTACGCCCCATACCTCGATCAAGAGCATAGCCGGCGCCCGTCCCGATGCCAGCGCTCGACGAGAATCGAGAGCTCGACCTAGAGCTTCGCCCGCCGGCTGCCACTGCTGACGGCGGCGGCGCGTACCCACGGGCATACGTCGGTGATGTCTCCACTGACGTCAGCACCGGCGCAGTCGACCGTCTCGTTGTTGCTGACGTTGTCATCCGCTGCCTGCTCCGGTCTTGGGCGGTGAATGACGAATGTGATGATGTTGAGCCGTGTCTGTACGGGGCCGAGGTGCGTGCCGCCGATGCCGTCGACGCCGTCGACGCCATCGACACATGCGACGAGAGAGAGCCACCTACATGCTCCCTCCGGCGCCTCCGCTCCGGGTGAATGCTACGTCCGCCTCTCATGTGGCTGTAGGTCGATGCAGGCGACATCGACGGCCGCGGCTGTGGTGGTGTTCCGTGGACCAGCCTAGGCCGTCTGTGCCCAGCCGAGTAGCGAGTGTGTGACATCAACAACTGCGGGCGTAAAGGCGGATTCAAGGCGTTACCCGCCAGAAAGTGTGTGAGAGTGCAAAGAACAAAAGCGTCGACGAGGTATGTCTACGTTGCGGACTCGGTGGCCGTCGCAACCAGAGCGCGGTGTGCCCGAATGAACTCGCTTCCTGTCGGTCTCACCGGAAGGCGCCAAAGTGGGGCCGAACCATCGAACAAACGCCCACCGAACGAATGAACAGGTTGCGGATGACCGCCCGGCAGGACCGACAGCACTTTGTTCGTTCGCCACCGACGTTGGCCACTGACGACAGCAGAGTGTGGGGCGGTGGTAGTGGCAGCGGTACGGCGGCAGCAACGATAGCGCTAGTCACCCCTCTTCCTCCTTCACCACCGTCCCACTTTTTGTTTGTACCTCCCGTCTGTACCTCCCGTTTTCACCTCCCTCCCCCGCCTCACTTCTTCATGTCGCAGCAGTCCAAGGCGCCGGACCGCATCCGCATGTCTGCCGCGGCACGTTACGTGGCTACCACCAACGATCTCGAGTCGGACTTGCTGGTCTCGGCACGGCGTGGGGATGTACTGACGCCGTCGATGGTACTCAAGTCGGATGCGTACCCAGGATCACGGGCCTGGGGCCTCACACCTCGAGTCTCTGGCGCGCCCAACTTCCGGCGCGCCTATCAGTTTCCTCTCTTTGGCGTGGCCCAGCCGACGGCGGCAGGCATGCGCGCAGTGCTGCGGCTTGCCGCCGCCCGCTCGGGCATCATTCACTGGGTCAATCTCCGTGAGGAGGCCATGATATACCTCAACATGACGCCGTATGTCCTCCGCTCCGCCGACGATCCGCTCGCCAACCTACAGAATCTCCGCGGAATCTCGGCCGAGCGGCTGGACGCTCTCGAAGCCAAGCTCAAGGCCGATGTTGTGGCCGAAGCCCGTCGCTACGGCTCGATGATTCTTGTTCACAAGGAAGTAGAGCCTGGAAGGGTGCTTGCCATGTGGGAGCACGTCGAGCTGCCGTCGCCCGATGCCGACGTGCTGGGCGCCGTCACCGGGCCGACCTCCATCCTTACCTCGGCCGAATTTGTTGCCGTCGTCCTCGCGCAGGTTCCAGGCATCTCACTCTCATACCATCGCATTCCGCTGCCACCGATGGCAGTGCCCGACTTTGCGGTCTTTGATGCCCTCGCTCGCGTCATCGAAGCCGCATCCGACGCGCCCGGTGCCGCCCAGGCCTTGGTCTTCAACTGTCAGTCGGGCCGTGGACGGACCACGTTTTCGATGGCGCTGGCCAAGGTCATTCTCAAGCTCCGTGCTGGCGTTGGCCTTGCCACCCCGGTCGAGATGACGCCCAAGTCGTCGTACGCACCCGAGCTTGCCTCGTTTGGCGCCCTCGGTGACTCGCCACCAGGCACGCCATCACTTGCGTCGCGGCTCAAGACCTCGGTCTCGCTGACCGGCGGCATGGCCGCGCTTGCGGTTGGCCCGTGTTCGCCGACCGCGGCCGGCGAGCAAGGCGAAGACCTGGCCTTTGGCGCCGTCCCGAAGCGGCTTCTCGGTGCTGGCCTCGTTCGCTCGCCGTCGCTCGACTCGGCGCTTCCAGAGTCCACCCACCCGGTCGCGGTCCCGCACGACCGCATTTTCGGGCGTGTTGTTGAGCAGCAGGCCGGTAACTATCGAGTTGTCCTTGCGCTGGTCCGTGCACTGGCGATCGGTGCGCGCGCCAAGACCTTTGTCGACGATGTCGTTGACACCACGGCAGAGCTCGTCAACATCCGTGAAGCCGTGCTCGTGTACAAGGCCTCGTCGCCGCCTGACCTTGAGCACTCGCTTCTCTTTCTCCGCCGCTATGTCATGCTCATTGCGTTCTCGGCTTACTACATGGAGTTGGTCGAGACGCTCTCGGCTGGTGGCACCTTTCCGCGCCAGATCTCGTTTGCCGACTGGATCAACGAGCACCCCGAGGTCCGGCATGTCTACTCGTCGCTCGACACCGACTCGGTGGCAGCGTTTTTCGTGCCGGCTGACGACCTCGACGCAGACTCGCGGGCACTGGCTGCGTCACTGGAGGCTGGTTCCGAGGTCGATCCTAAGCTCGCCCGCTCGCTCGTCGCGGGGCGCTCGGGTTCAGTTCTCTCGGCGTACTCGATCCTGCGCCAGGACGTGGTTGACGTGGGCGTGACAGCGGCCAGGCCAGGTGCGCCACCGCTTAATGTCGATGCCAACTACCGCCCGCTCCTCGCAGACGGCGAGGGGCGGGTCGGCAGGAGCTCGTTCCAGATCCACGGCTGCGCACAGACGTCACAGCCGACGCTCCGGTCGTTGCTGCGGTCAGTGCTGGTGGCGACGCACGCGGGGCGGATCAATGTTGTCAACGTCCGCATGGAGCCGTTTGTTTACATCTCGGGCGTGCCTTTTGCGCTGCGCTCGTTTGACGCACCGCGGCAGGTGCTCATGGAGATGCGCGGCATCTCGGCTGAGCGCCTTCTCGAGGTTGAGGCGCGACTCAAGGCCGATGTGGCCGATGAGGCGGCCTCGCTCGGCAACAAGGTTCTGGTCCATCCGGGCGAGTCTGTGGCGCTGGCAGACCTGCTCCCTGACGGGACCTCTCTGGTCACGCCAGCAGAGGCCATGGCCCAGCTCCTCGCCGAGGGCTTCAAGCTCTCGTACGAGCGACTGCCGCTGCATGTTGGAACGCTAGCTGGCGAGGACGAGGAGGCACTCGCGTCACTCGAGGCCCAGGCGAAGCTCTCGGCGCTGTCGACGTCGACCATTGCGTCCGTTCTTGCGGGCCAGATCAACTACACAGCGAGGTCGTTTGACGACCTGGCCATCGAGGCCGTCGCTGCCCGCAACGCTGGTGAGCACCTGCTCTTGATTTCTGGCCACGGCGGAATGCGGACGGCGGTATGCATGGCAGTGGCTGGTCTTGCGGCAGGCATCGAACCTGTTGAGCTTGTGCGGCCCCCGGTGGCCAAGGGGGCGCCGCAGCCCAAGTTTGCCAACCCGCAACTGGTGAAAGAGCTTGTGCGGCTGCTGCCGCATGGAAATGCAGCACTCGAGCGTGCTGAAGAGTTCTTTGCCGCCGCCGCCGGTCGGTCGCTGCGGTCGATCATGTGGTCGTTCCTCGACGAGCTGTCGGAAGGAGACGACGAGGATAACACCGCCACGCTGCTGAGGTTCAAGGCACGTTACTCGATGGACTTGTACCTCAACCTTATCTGCTTTACCGAGTATGCCGCCTTTTCGGGCACCCGAGAGCGCACCTCGTTTGCTGGATTTCTCAACTCTTTGCCCGAGGTGAGTGGTCTGTTGTCTGCGCTGTGGAGCTCGGCGCGGCGTGAGGGCGACGACGTGCTCTTCTCACGAAGCGACTTTGAAAACCGTGCCAAGGTCGTGCCGAGCTGCCGGACCGGCGTGGTCTCGTCGATGGACGACCACGCCGGGGTGGTGGACGCTCGTGGCGGCACTGTGCTTGCCGGCGGCATGATCATGAAGGCCGACCATTTTCCGGGTTGCCAGAAGCAGCACATTGAGCTCAAGCTGACTGGCGCGCCCAACTTTCGGCATGTGGACGCCCGGTACCCGATCTACGGCGTGGGCATGCCGACCGGCGCGGCGCTAGTTGAGGTCCTCTTGAGGGTGGTGGGTGAGGCCGGTGCCTCTGCGCGGGTCCATTGGGTTTGCCTCCGCGAAGAGCCTGTCCTCTTCCTCGCTGCCAAGCCGTTTGTTCTCCGCGAAGCCGGTAACCCGTTCCGCAACCTGCAGTCGCGTGGCATTGACGAGGCCCGACTCGAGGCGCTCGAGCTGAGGCTCCTCGACGACGTCCGAGCTGAGGCCGAACTCTACGGTGCCCATGTCCTGGTCCACGGCGAGGACGAGACCGGCGATCCGGAGCTCATGGGCATGCTTCTCTCACACTGGGAGGCCGTCGAGGGCCCACACACCATCGCCACCTACCGTGACCTGTTTGCGTCGCTCGAAGAGTTCTCAGTTGACTTTTTTCGCGTCCCGGTCACCGACGAAAAGGCCTTCCTAGCCTCGGACCTGGAGCGGGTGGCAGGCATCGTCGCCGACGCCTGGGGCTGCGACGGACTGCCGGAGACCATCCCGGCCGACCGCGACGCGCTCCGGTTCGTGTGCCAGTGCCAGATGGGCCAGGGCCGGACGACCCAAGGTACCGTTGTCTGCCACATGGTCATCCGCGCGCTCGCGGGTGAAGCCGACGCTGCGCATTTGGATGCGGCTTCGGGCGACGAGTCGGACGAAGATGACAGGTCTAGGCACAACCTCGCCCAGCCGCTCCGCCCGCTTCGGCGCCACTCGTCGGTCGAAGCTATGCGCGCCGGCGAGTACGCCACAGTCCTCGACTTGGTCCGGGTCCTCGGTCCGGGTTGGGCTGCCAAGGATTTCGTCGACACCTCGATCGACGCCTGTGACCTGGTCCTCAATCTGCGGACCTCTATCCACGACGTCTACCTCCTCTCAGAGACCAACCCGCGCTACGTGGGCAAGACGCTTGACTTTCTCGAGCGCTACTGCGTCTTTGTCGTCTTTGCTGCCTACCTTCTCGAAGCTGGCGCTACCTTTTGGCACGGGCCCGACTCCCAGCCGTTCACCCGTTGGCTGGCTGACCGACCCGAGGTCGTGGCGCTCCTCCAGAACCCGCGCCTCTAGCCATGGGCCTCGTACAGAGCCTTGCTTGTGTGTGACCATCCGCAAAACAAGAACCCCATCGTTTTGCCGTGAATGAATCGCCTTCTTCGGCCTCGGTACAAAATTTGTGCAGCTCGGACCGCGCCTGACACCCGCTCACATGCAGCGGGCGTCGTCGGGCGGTGCAACGGTAGCGGTCGCCGTCAGCGACGACAACCACCTCGCTCACGCCTTTGGCACAGGTGTTACTGTACCCACAGAGAGCAGCACGAGGTGAGGCAGGGACCATGTCGCTGCCGATTGTGACCCACGACTCGTTGACCATAGCCCACTCGGGCGCGTATTCGGCGAGTCTTGGCGCGGTCGAGGGCGAGTATGAGACCAAGCTCTCGATGGCGTATCTGGAGCGCGACGCGACACAGATGCAGCTCAACGAGGCTCAGGGCATCCAGGCTACGTACTGTCAAACCATTGCCGAGCTGGAGCAGGCGCTTGAGGACGAACGCGCCGCGCACAGCGCCACCCGCGCCGAGCTCAACGTCGCTGTCGCCTCGCACAACGAAGAGGCAGCAGCAGCCCGCACGGCGCTCGGTACCATCGAAGAGCTTCGTGGCACGCTCCGCGCTCGCGATGCCGAGTTGGCCAACGCCCGCGAGTGGGAGATTGCCACCAATGCGCGCCTCGCTGAGCTCGAGGCCGACAAGCGTGCGTCTCGCTCCGCCGCCGGCCTGCTCGATGCTCGGAACACAGAGCTTCGCAAGGTAGCCGAGGAGCTGGCGAGTGCCAAGGCTGAGATCGAGAGCCTCCGTCGCAACTTGCATGAGGCGCGGAGTGACGCTGCTGCCGCAGACAAGGCCCAGCTCGAGCTAACGTACGAGGTCCGCGCCACCAATGACGAGCTCGACCGCACGCGGGACGAGCTTGCAGCGCTCCGTGATGAGCGTCAACGGCTCTCTAGCCAGCTCAACACGGTGCTGGCGGACCGCGGGGAAGTCGAGGATCAGCTCAATGCGTCTGCTCTTGAGCTCGGCGACGAGCGCTCGCTGGCTATGGCGCTGGAGAACAAGATCGCCGCCATGGCCGCCGAGCTCCAGGCCGCCCGCGACGATGCGCTTGCCGCCCACCAGCTGGCTCTCCGACTTGAACTTGACGTTCGAAACTCTGAAGCCGAGGCCGCTATTGCGGTTGAGGCGGCCGAGTCTGCGGCCGCGTCGCGGATTGCGGACATGGAGGATCGAAATGCTCACCTGGAGTCGGTGGCGCAGCAGGCCAAGCTCGAACTTGACATTACCAAAATTGCGCTCTCCAAGGCCGACATGGACCGCGTGCGGCTGATGGGCGACGTTGAGATGCTACCGGCTCTCCAGGCTTCGCTTGACGAAGCTGTGGCCCGACACGAGGAGCTTGCCCTCGAGCGCGACGCGCTCCACGAGCTCATGATTGTCAAGGTTGGAGTAGAAGAGCGACTGGAGGCTGCATCGACAGCACTTGTCGAGCTTCAAGAGTCAGCCAGAGCTGCGCTTGCCGAGCTTGACGAGACCAAGGCTGCGCTGAGCAACGAACGCGAGGCGAGAACCAAGCTCGAGGCTCAGCTGAGCGTGCTCGAGGCATCAAGCTCGGAACGGATTGCTGGCCTCGAGGCTGCCAACATCAAGCTTGACAAAGAGGCCTTGGCAGCCGGCAACCGAGTCCGGCAGCTGACCGACACACTGCAAGAGACGCACAGCAAGCTGGAGAAAGCGCTTGTTGATCTCAATATTCTGCAGAACCAGTATGATGAAGTGCGGACGCGCGACGACCGGACTGCGACAGCGCTCGCCACGGTGCGCGAACAGGCAGCTCAGGATGCCGTGGCCGTTGTCGAGCTCCGTGCCACTGTCGAGTACCTGCAGGAGCTGTGTGAGGATGCCGATGCTGCGTGTGCGTCGCAGGCTAATCTGGCGGCGGCGTACGAGGCTCAAGTCCGTGATCTGCTCGCTGCACTGGAAGGCGCTGAGGCGGCGGCCAAGGCTGCACACGATGCCATGGCGTCGTCGCGCGAGACGTATGCGGCCGAGAAAGAGGAGTTGCTTGAACGGCTGTCGTCGGCCGAGGCCTCTGTACGCGACCAAGTCGAGGCTGCCTACCGCGAGCTGGAGATCGAGCACGCCAAGGCGTTTGGCGCAGCGCGGCGCGGTATGGACGAGCTTGGCGCCGAGCTGCGTGAGACCCGGGCTGAGTTGGCAGCCACCAAGTCACGGGCTGAGGAGATGCAAGCGTCGCTGGTCAACACAGAGCGGTTTGTGACCCACTACGCCGAGCAGGCGCGAAACGCCACCGCCGAGCTCAGCTCGTCCAAGGCCGAGCTTGACACCGTGCTAGGGACCCGCTCCGAGCTTGCAGCCAAGGTTACAGCGCTCGAGGCTCAGCTGGCTGAGGCCTCCCGCGATGCTGCAGCCATGGCTGCCGAGGTTGATGCTCACTCGGCCGAGGCTGCAGCGCTCGCCGAGCGCGTTGCCGACTACGAGGCTCAGCTGCGGGAGTTGGACACGGTGGTGGAGGCGTCAATGATGGAAAAGGCACAGGCAGTCGGGTATGTCAACCAGCTACTGGAAGGCGAAGCTGCGACTGCTGAAGCTGTTGCCACGCTGGAAGCCCGTGTTGACGAGCTCACTGCCGAGCTTGCAACCGCAGGCCCTGCTCGTGTTGCCACCCTGGAGTCGGAGCTTGCGCAGATTCGCCATGCTCACGACACCCGCGGCGAGGAGCTTAGCAAGACCGAGGCGCTCTTGGCGTCGAGCCGGCTGCAGACTGACTCGCTCGCCGCTACGGTTGAGAACCTCAAGAACGAGGCAGCCGAGGCGGCTCGCGAAGCCAAGGCGCTGCGGGATTTGGAGAAAGAGCACGCGGTGACCGGATTCAAGCTCGAGACTATCTCGGCAGAGCTCAGCGCCGCAGTGGAGAGAGCCAATCGTGAGCAGGCCCGGGCAGATGCGGCGGTTCGACGCGTGACGGAGCTCGAGGCTGCGGTCGCACAGGCACGCGACGATGCCGACCGTGCGCGGCGCGCAGCTGATAGTGCTGAGTCGCGCCTAGCAGCTATGCCATCTCAGGCAGAACTGCATGATGCATCGCTGATGGGGGAGCGTCTCGCCGAGGCCCGCACCCGGGTCACCGAGCTGGAAACGCGCCTGGCTACGCTCCATGACTCGCAGATGTCGGCGTCTGCAGCGCGAACAGCTGCTGAAGCGCGTGCAGCCGAGTCGGCTTCAGCGGCAGCGGTCGAGCTGGCGGGTGCCCGCTCCGAGGCAGCTGCGGCGCAGCGTCGCGCTGAAGATACAGCGGCCGAGCTCGCACGGGCACAGGCTGAAGTTACTAGGCTGACCGGGATTGCGTCCAGACTGGAGGCATCGCTGGAACACGCGACTGCAGACGCGCAAGCTGCCAAGAAAACGGCTGCCGAGTTGACAGCCCGACTCGAAGCTACGCAGGACAAGTGCAAGGAAGCTGCCGAGGCAGCAGCCCAAGCCGAGACGCGGGCAGCGCTTGCCGAGCAGGAGACTGGAGTTGCGCGGCATGCGCTTGCATCAGCCCACGACGACTACATCGGCCTGAAAAAGACCATGGAGGGCGCAGAGGCAGCGGCCAAGGCTGCGCTTGCCGAGCTGCGCCGGAATACCGACCGTCAGCTCGCCGATGCTGAGCGGGCGTCTACGAAGCTGAGCGCCGAACTGGAGGCTGTTCGCAGCGAGATTGCCTCTCGCCGGGCAACCGAGGACACAGTGCGAACGCTCGAGGCCAAGCTTGTTTGCCTGCGTAAGGAGCTTGACTCTGTGCAGGCCGAAGCACTGGCGGCAAGTTCACGGGCGCATGCACTCGAGGAGGCCTGCGAGTCCCGGGCAAGCGAGCTCGCGCAGCTGCGCGGGGCCAATGAGCGGCTGGAAGACGAGGTAGCAAGCGCGCGGCGCAGTGCGCGGCAGCACGTTGCTGAGGCCGAGAGCCTTCGCGATCGGCTTGACGGGCGAGCCCGTGAGGTGGCCAAGCTCGAGCGCGAGCTTGCGCTCTGCACTCAGCAGCTCGAGCACGTGGAGGACGCCCTTACCGATGCTCATCTCCGACCACAGAGCCGGACTCCAGTGATGGGTTCCGGCCTCGCGGCATGGGAACTTGCGACGACGCCGCCGTTCGACAGTTGCAAGGAGAACGTGCGCTCCGGGTATGAGAGCGATGACGCTGCTGTGCTGCGACAGAAGCTGGGCGAGATGCTGGCCACCGTGGAGGGTCTTCGAGATGTGCTGGTTGCGTCGGAGGAGGCGATTTCGCGAAGCAAGGCCGAGAACGCCGAGCTGCGGACTCAGGTCTCCGAGTTTGAGGACGCGCTGGTCATTCTTCAGCGGGAGAAAAAGCAGTGGACTCGCATCGAACCGAGTTGATGCAGTCTGTTGGTGCGTCATCGCTTAGGTCAACATCCGAGGCTAACCAGCTTCGGCAGGATCTGGAGTTAGAGCGGGCTAGGGCAAGCCAGGCGATCAAGGAGGCTAAGCTGCTGCGAGCGCAGTTGTCGCAGGCGCGAACGGCAGCATCCGCCGAGACCTCGCAGCGGATTCACCAAGCGTCGACTCGCCAGCGGCAGGAGATGGAGGAACTTCGGCGGACGGTGGACGATCTGCAGGAGCGCATTGCTCAGCTTGTGCGCGAGAACAGTGAGCTCCAGACGCGCCTCACTGCAGCGACGTCATCGTCGTCACGAGAGCAAGCGAACTTGACCCGGGCTACCCAGGCCGCCGAGCGCAAGATGATGGACGCGCTCCACCGCGAGCAGATGCTCAAAAACGACTTGGCCTCAAGAACGATCTCATTGCGCGGTATGAGGAAGAGCTGGCAGCAGTGTCGCGATAAAGAGTCAAAGGAGTGTGTGGCTAGTTGTCGCGAAAGAGGAACCGACCAACTCGGGCGCGGCGGCAACGACCGAACGGCAAGAGCTGTTGGCTTGGCCACTTGTCTCGGTGACCAGACGTCCAAACCAAGCACAGCGACAGGCGACGGCGTGGTTGTGGCGAGCAACATGTCTGGCGTGCCGCCGCTCATGGGGTTGACCAATCTGGGGCGGTTGGCGGAGGAGCCGGGCAACGAGTTCGACGCGTCCAAGGTGGACCTGAATGCGTTCTACGCGGACCTTGCCGATGATGAGTGGCAGGCACACGGCGAAGCCGGTGTGCAGCGGGCCAAGCCGACCGTGCGGTTCACCACGCCGCGGTCGAGTCTCGAAGAGGCGCAGTATACTACGGCCATGCTTGACAACATTGAGGCGACGGTCAACTCGGCGCTGTCCGAGTACGATGAGGCGCAGCGCGAGGCTGCCAGTGTCGACTCGGGCCTCTCGGAGCTGCTCTCGTCCGAAGCGCAGAGGCATGCTGCGCGCGGGCAAGTCAACGTCATCATTGTCAACTACGAGGCGTTGTGTATTACCCGCGAGGAGGCGCTCAAGTCGCTGCGCCGGTGGTTTGACGCCGCTGCTGACGGCGTCTTTGATGACATCGACATACACATCGAAGAGGCGGCGACCGCTCCGCTGGAGGAGGCCTTCCAGACCGCACTCGGCTCGACAGCCAAGCTGAAGACCATCAAGGACTCGATGGTCTCGCTCTACCGCTCCGAGGTCAATCGCAACTTTGACTTGCTTGACGCCTCCAAGGAGCTGTCCGGCAAGCGGGTCAAGGCACTGCGCGACGCGGTCAAGTCGGGCAAGCAGAAGATTTTTGCCAAGGAGCGCGAGTTGCAGACCTCGCGCGAAAAAATCGCCAAGTTGGAGGCCAAGGTAGCGTCACTAACCCTTGTGTTGGAGAGCAAGGATCGCGAGATCGACGAACTGTTGGCGTCGAACGAGTCATCTTTTGCCTCGCACATCACTTCGATGCAGGCATCGGCAGCAGCCGAGGCCTCGTCGTGGCGGGCAACGCTCGACGCGCTGGGCTTTGGTGATGATGACGATGACGACGAGCTCGGCGACTCGGCAGCCCTGGTGGAAAAGTACAAGAACTTGAAGAACCATGCACGCAAGCTCAAGCGCATGTACCAGGCCCTTGTCAAGGACACTGAGGCCTTCAAGGCGCTCACGGTAGTCCGTGAGAAAAAGGCCGAGCGGACTGTGGCGAAGATGCAGTCAGCGCTGCGACTCCAGCGCGGAATCAACGCCCGTCGCGGTGGTCTCGGATCACAGACTTCGCTCGCTTCGCTGACAGGCGGTGATGCCATCGACGACGAGCTTTCCATGTTTGAGGATCCTGTTTTCCGCGAGTATGTCGCCTCGCTGCATGCCGAGGTCTCGGCAGAATTGGAGGAGGTTCGGGCGTCGGCGGCTGCGGAAAAGACCGCCATGGAGACAGCGCATGCGCGCGAGGTCCAGTCGCTGAAGGCGCAGATTTTGACTATGGCGCGGACCGACGACTCGACGACCGGTCCGCTGCTGGCGCTCAACGCCTCGCTCGAGTCCAAGATACATGACCTCGAGGTCAAGCTCAAAAGCATTCGGAGCGAGGCTGAGGCTGCAGCCGATGCCAAGATTGCCAAGATCAAGGCAGCGTCGGAAGCCACTGTGGCCTCGCTGCAAAAGACGCTTGCCCAGCGGGCGGCCAAGCGCGCGGCTGACCACAAGGAGCATGGGGTCGACGAGCCCGAGCTGCAAGGCTCTCCTGCAAGCTCGCCGTCGCTGCGCGGGCGGCGAGGAAAGTCGGGCCGCAGTCGCGGCTCTGGTCGGCGGGGACGGGCAGGACGGGGCAAACGCGGCCGCAAGGGCCAGGGTGGCGGAAGGAAGGAGTCTCGCGAAGTCGTTGTCTCTGATGTCAACGGCGACGACTATGCTGCCCTCGAGGCCGAGGTTCGTCGCCTGAGCGAGGAGCTTGCTTCTGCGCGGGCCCGTACGACCGAGTCTGGACCATCAACCATGCTCGCTCCTTCGGCTGGCTTGACCACGCCCGACGAAGCCGTGCCGTCACCTCTTCCGCCACTTGTCGCGACTGAAGAGGCCGCCGCATCGCGGAGTGTTCTCCTGGGACTGCTTTCTGATGCGCGTTTGCTCTCTGACGATCCGGAGGTCCTTATTGATGATGAAGGCCAGGTTGGCGAGCGCCAGGTCAGCTCTGGTCAACCGGCGGTAGGCCTAGCCCCGAGCACGGTGGCGCAGACCTCGGACAAGCTCGCGTCGCGACTGCTTTCGCTCGAGTCCCAAACGACTGATGCGATGAAAGTGTATCTCGAGCGGGACCGACTGCAGACGCGGCTGGCGTCAATGCGCAGGCTCTACCTATCAGAGAAGCAAGCGCTCTACACACAGATCCAGAATCTAACTAACCAAAAGCAGGCGGCGCTCGATGCGGAGCAGCGAGCGCTTGCCGCGGCACGCATGTCGCAAGGCGAGGCTGCAGAGGTCAGGGCTCGGCTAATGGCGGCACTGGACGAGACCCGCCGACTGGCGGACGAGCACTCGTTGGCGCTCGAGCGTGCCCGTGATGCCGAGGACGAGACGACTCGGTTGTTGGCCCGTGAGTTGGTGGCGTGGGGCAAGGCGAGGTCGGCAATGACTCGAGTGTAGTGCTCGCTGAAGAGCATGCTGCTGAGCTGGATGTGCTCTCGCGCCAGCTCGAGGAAGACCCGGGGGTGCACCTAGATTCAGCGTCGCTGTTGCGGTTGGCGGACGAGATGGCGGCCACGGATGGCGAACTTGCCAACCAATTGAAGGTGTGCGCAGTGAGCTGAGTGAGGCGCAGACCGAGCGCAGTCGGCTCATGAGCCTCGTGACCTCGACTCGCAACGCGTCTCAAGCGCTGCGCGATCACATCACCGAGCTGGAGCAGCAGCTTGTGCGCGAGAGAACAGAGGCTCAAGCTGAGCGCGAGGCATTTGCGCGTGAGCGTGTGCAAGCTGACGAAGACATCGGTGGGCCGCGCATCTTGGTTTCAAAGGCTTCGTTGGCAGACCTCACGATTGAGACGGGGTGCAACAGCGAGCTCGAGCAGCAAGCGGACGGCATAGAAGCAAGTGTCGAATCAGTGCCGTCGTCAGTTCAGATTGGGCTAGGCGGGCGCGGCGGACGCAGCCGGCGGGCGCAGCGGACCAGCGACGGCAGCGGAACGCCGCGAACACCGATATCTCCTGCGTTTTCTGGGCCGGAGTGTCCTGGTGGGCGCGAGACCGAAGAGCGACTGGTCCGCGAGCTGGGCAAGGCCAAGAAAGAGATTGTGCGGCTCAAGTCGCGACTGCGGTGGGCGGAAGACAAGCTCAAGTATGTGATGGACGACGACGCATCGATGTCAGATGAGTCGAGCATCAGCGACTTTGGCCTTGGCCCAGGCGTGGGCAAGGGCGGTGGAGGCAAGGAGGTCAACGCATCAGCGGTGTACTCGCTGCAAGACAAGCTCAAGGGTGCCAGGATGAAGCTTCGTGCGGCGATTGTCCGCTATGAGTTTGCGGAGAAGACCAACGCCGAAATGGAAGCACAGATTGGGCGTCTGGTTGGCCGACTCAATGCAGGGAGAGATGTAGGGGCTCAAGCACTTGACGTGTCGACTGGAGAACTGTCCGCCATCAAGGACGGCGGGTTGCCCAACGTGGTTGACCAGGTGACGACTCTTGATGCGGCGAGTGGGGCGAGCCAAGGCGCGCGGGTGGGTGGCAGCGAGGCGGCCCACACCGAGATGTTTGTCGACGGCTACATGGCAATGATGGCCGTCAATGCCGAGCTGAAGGTCAAGGTGCGAGAGCAGACCGACGAGGTGATGCGGCTGCTGGACGGGCAAGAGGGCCTACGGAAGATTGTTCGCGACTGGCAAGCATCGGGTGCGGCCCTGCAGCGTGAGCGTGACGAGCTCAAGCTCAAAGTCGCCGACATGGCGTCTGAGCGGGAAGAAATGTCCAAGGTAACCCGCGCGTACTTGCGGAGCGTGTCGGAGAAGCACGACCAGGCGATAGTTCTGCTCCGCAAGATCGAGACCGAGCTTGTAGGCCAGATCAAGAATCTCAACACCAAGCTGACTGCGGCGGTGATTGCGGGTGACAAGGGTGAGCGGCGGTCGCGGGCGTTCCACCGCTCGCAGGTTGCCAAGATCTCTGCTGGCTACGACGAGCGCATCAGCGACTTGCAGCAAGCGCTGGGTGCTGAGATGGGGCCAGACTCGATTGCGGCTGTGCTCAAGTCGGACTACGAGAAGGCGCTGGCGCAGCGTGCGGCCGATCTTGAACGCGAAGCTTCTGTGCATCGAATGGAGCTGGCGTCCGAAGCACGGGCAGTGCTAGCCATGAGCCGAGAGGCGTACCGCGGTGCGCATGTTGCGGCACTCCGCATGTCGGCGTGTGTACGTGTTGTACATGCCGGAGTTGGCGCGCGGCTGGCGCGACTCGGGGTTGTTCCGGACGATTTTCTCACACAAGCCTTTGTGGCCGAGCCACGGCTGTTTGACAATGAGCTGGCGAGCGCACTGGAGGAGATTGACGCGGCCGAGTTGCCAGGCGAGGGCGGCGAGGCCGAGTACGGCAAGTTTGCTGCGCAGCTGGAAGGCCATCTGCGCACGACCAACAACGAGCTAGACGCGGCTGCCAATGAGACGCGGATGGCGTGCGCCGAGGTGTGGAAGTTTGTGGCGATGCTGGAGGAGGGCGTGGAGAAGAAGAACGCGGCGGCTGAGGAAGCTGTGGTCGAGGCCAAGGCCGCTGTGGTGTCCAAGACGGCGGCGCTAGACGCGGCTCGGGTCGAAACTATCGGGCTGCAACACCAGGTGGAGCAGCTGAAGGAGCAGCTGGCGTCTGCTCGCATCCTTGCCAGTGGCGAGAGTGGGAGTGGCTCGCAAAACAATGGTGGTGCAACTGCGCATGGCCTGTCGCTGGTGGAAACGCTACGTGCCGAGCGCAAGGCTGTGGCGGCCGAGCGCGAGAAGCTGATGGCAGAGCGGCGCGGGCAGCGTCGGTCGAGTATTGCGTATGGCAGTCGAGAGCCATCGGAGGCCGAGCTCAGAAAACAACCGCGCGAGCGCAAGATGTCCATATCCGGCAGGAGCCCGGCGCCCGGGCGGCTGCTTGGCTCGTCGAGCAACACGTTTGGGGCCGTTGACGCCGATACTGCCGCCGGGCTCGGTGTTGTGGGCTCGGTCTCCATGTCGAGCACGGGCGAAGGCGAGCACGTGGGTCGGAGCGTGACTGAAGTAGACCCAAAGGCGCGGGCTGCGTTTGCGCGGATTCTTGCGGGCAAGGAACAGCAACACGCGTCTGCGTTGGAACGGCTCCAGCGGGTTGTGGCGTACCAGGCGCAACAGATCCACGAGCTGAAGACGGCGCCGATGGCGCAGGGCAATGCGCTGTTGCCGCCTGGCTTGCCCACTCGGGGTGTGCCGCGGCGCGGCAGCAGCGTGTCGCCTGCGGTCAACGCGCTGTCGCGAGGCGTAGCTGCAGCGCGCGATGATGCGGCGGCGGCCAACTCGCCCGCTGGAGCGGCCGGGCACATGGCGTCACCATCGGCTGCCGCCGACCTAGGCCTAGAGGGTGGGGGATCGTCAACGCTGCAGCTCTTCCTCGAGCGCCAGCGGCTGATTGCTGAACTAGGTGAGACGCGCGCGGCACTGATGGAGGCGCGGCGGGTACTCGAGAGCCAGGCGCTCGCGGCGGATCCCCAGGCGCAGGCTGAGATCAAGGCATACCTTGGGCGCGACGCACAGCTGCGGCGTGCCAAGACAACAGCTCTCTTCCGCAAGTTCACTGCTGGCGTCCAAGCGCAAGACTCGGCACGGCAGCGCGCAGCGCTTGAGGCGACCGGCTCGGGGGACGACACGATGATGGATGCGCTGAAGCGGATGGAGATGTGGCACGGGGCCAAAGTGGCCATGTGGGAGGCGAAGAAGGCGGCGATTGTGGCCGAGCGGCAGCGGCAGGCCGAGGCCGTTCTGGCTGTGCTCAACTCGGTCACGCTCACGCGGCGTCTACAGCATGACGACGGCGACGGAACGTTCTTTTACGGTGTTGGATACTGGTCGTCCGAGATGGCAGCAATCCACGAGCTGGAGGTGGCATCTCGGATCGGCCAGCCCGTCCTCCGCGTGGAGCGCATTCCGCTCCGGCAGGCGTCTGGCCTACTTCCTCTGGAGCGGCACCGCGAGTGGTCGCCGATCAAGGCACGGACCGCCGACGTCGTTGCAGCTGACGTTGCAGATAGCTTTCCAAGCCTTAATCGGTACGATCGGCTTCCCGGAATTTCCCCGACGCGGTTCGGATAAAACAGAGGTGGTTTCCCCGACGCGGTTCGGATAAAGCAGCGGTGGTGTGAGTGGTAGCATTCGCCAGACATGTCAGCCGAGAGTCACCGGAGGGCATTACTTGTCTCGCAGCAAGCTGGACTGACATGTCTGCCTTCAATGCTGTCTTCCCCACCATCGGAGGCATTGGACACGCCACCTCCTTGTGGCTGCTCAAGAAGTTGCTGACTGTCCGTCGGGATGATCCTGCTCCCGAGCCGTGGTACAACTACCCCATGTGGTGGTTCAGTACGTTGTGCGTGTGTGTGTGTGCGGGGAAGAGGAGGGGAGGGTGTGGGAGGAGGGCAGGGTGGCGTGGGAGGAAAGAGGGAAGGTAGGGGCGGGGTGTGACCATGAGGGGACTGCCTCTCCCTTCCTGTGCCGACTGCTGTTGTTGTCGCTGTTGCTGTTGCACATGCCGGTGTTTGGCTGACTGGCAGCCCTGCCCCTCTCGTCGCAACTGCCCCCCCCCCCTTTCTCTCCATACTCCGACCCGTGTGAATCGTCCGGTTGGTACCACCGGGTGGTCTGTGGCCATGTACATGTGCTGGTGGGTACTAACGTTGTGTGGGTGTGTAGTTGTGGGTCTGTTTGGTCTCTCGGAGTTGTGCGTGGATGTCGGTGGAAGGGACATCAATGGGTCGTCGCTCTACCAGATCGCATCGCTGGCAACAGGCCTCGCGTACTCGTTCTTTGCGCTGAAGGAGACGCTGATGCGGAAGGATTTGGTGGCATATGCGCTGATTATTACAGGGGCGCTGCTCGCGTTGTGGGTGGTGGATCTTGTGGAGGTCTCTGTCCTCGTCTTTGTCATCTACGTCTTCCTCATTGGCTTTGCCCTCTTCTTCCTCTACCTGGGTATCTGGCACTACCGCAAGAAGCTCGGGACGTCGTCGATGGGTGACCCGCAGAACAAGCGGATCCGCAAGACGATGCCGATCTTGTACTCGGCAATCACTGCTGTCATTCAGGCGCTCATTTACGTGCCGGCCATCCTCTTTGTTGCTGCCTACGACCATGTCGGCTTTGTGATCTTTGTCTTTGTTGTTGCGTTCCTTGCCGCCACCGGTGCCGAGCTCTATTGGATGACCAAGGCGCTCATGGACTTTGACTACATCTACATTCTGGCCATGTTCCACGTCACCCTCCGCATCCTTGACTTTATCATCACTGGCCTGTTCGGTGGCTTCTCCGGAAAGTCAGTCCTGCTCTACGTGGCGCTCCCGCTCTGCGGCATCATGTTTGAGCTCATTGGCGCGTACGTGCTCTCGCTCCGCGAGAATTACACTCACTACTCGGTTCTGGGAATGGATGATCCGGAGGGTGGGGCGGTGAACCCCAACTTTGCAGCGCCGCCGGCCGCTGCCCGCACCACCTCGCGCTACGTCTCCGACTCGGGCTCGACCGACGACGCTGGTGACCTCCGCCCAACCACTCTTCCCGACTCGGACGTCTACTCGGACGAGGCCGGGTTCGAGGCCGACGCCCCCGGCCGCTCCTCAGGCTCGGATCTGGACGACGGCCCGGCCACTGTTCCCGTCAATAGGGCATGAGAGCAGGACATGAGAACAAACGTTGCCGATCGGGCCAACATCCCTTAACCGTGTTGCCTCATCATACCACCCCTCGGTCATTGGTAGATCTTGTACCAGTCAGTACATTCAAAGTGCTGTGCGATCATGGCTCTATTTGACTTGTGCTGGTCCTGCTAGAGTGTCGATTGCCGCTGTTGTGCCTTGTTGCGCTGGTGTTGCGCTCCAAGAGTTGCTGCGACTGCTACAAGTCGCTAACACTCGTAGTCGGCTGAGCGAAGCGAAGCAGCTGGTATCATACTTGCTGAGAGCTTGGATGGCGTCGACACAGTCGGTTCCGGAGGATCGGAAAGCCACCCACCCACCCTTTGATGACGATCTACGACGACGACGACGATGATGAGCGCGCCCTGGATGCCCAATTCTTAACTTGATCTCGGGTGTAGGCGAGCGTGCGGATGCAGCTCGTGTACATGCAGGCCATCGTGCCAATGGGCAGTATGTGCTGGCACTGGTGGGTGGCCAGCATAGTAAATGAGGGGAAATCTCTCAATATCGTCGAGCCAGTGGAGCGACGGCTCGGCCGGCAAGCGGTAATGCGCCGGATGACGAACAGTGAAACAATTCGCAAACGTATCCCCACGCGCGCAGCAGATACCTTATGGTCGACTCTCCGCTCATTCTCAAGTCACACGTCGTGAGACAGTTGACTTGTTCCATGCAATACATCCCGTCGTCCCTTGTGGCCGTGTTAGCAGTCTTCGGACTGATTCTGGCACCTGCTCTGGGTGGTACGTGGGTCAAAAGGAGGGGGGTGGCTCTACATGTAACAGGGAAGACATTGGCAGCGGTGAAAGCGTGCGATTAGTTGCCAGGTCGGTAGACTGACACAGGGGTGGAGAGCACAGATGTGGATGTGGCCACCTTTGGACCTTACCAGGTATACTCCGAGTCATCATATTCCAACAGAGTTGAGCTTCAGAGTACGCTCAACTGGTGTGCTACCCTCGACGGTGGCTCGGGTGGGTTCTTCATGCCTTGGGCGACCTCGGCCGCCATGGACAACTTTCTGGCGAACACGGGGCGAAGTCAGACCGATTTAGACTACGCTTATGGCCTTATTCGCTTCTTCGACATTACTGCCATCGACCAGGCCAAGTTCCAGTACCAGTACCGTGGTATCAATGGCCTGCAGTACAAGTATGCCAACTGGTACGGCGGCGAGCCCAACACGGTGTTAACCCAGTACATTTTCACTCGCTACGTGAGTGATGGGACTTGGCGCGACATTTACCCGCAGTACAGCTATCAACCGTACTGCATGCGTCTTGATCCGAGCCACAAAATGGTGGGAAATGTGAACCCTGATTTCCTCTACACCAACCCGGTTGACAACAAGCTACCCCTCTTTGTGCGTTCGGACATCATCACGCCGTCGTTCACGGCGCTGATGGGCTTTACCGCCACCGACTGTACTGCGTTGCAGGGCATCCAGCCGATGCGCTCGTCGTACTTTTGGGTGGAGAAGCCGCTGCCCGAGTCACTTCTTGGGACAAACATCCGCATCTGCACCTCGAACGACTTTGGCGTCAACTGGCAGCTTCAGACCGACTTTACGGTCACAGTCGCGCTCGGTCGCCCGTACCCGACGACCTTCACCGATGTGACACCGAAAACGATCGGTCATGGATCAACCGGAACGACTTCGCTGTCGGTCGTCGTCACCGACTCAGCGTATGTCTCTGCCACCGGGGCTGAGTTTGCCTTTGTCGATCCGGCGACATATGTCTCGGATCCGGCGACCGCCTGTGCAGCGAGCGGCATCTCCAACGCTTACCACGCAGCAACGCAGGCGTGCGCTTGGCTCATAACCAAAGCCAAAGTCACTCTCGCCACGGCTGTCGATGCATGTGCCAAGGAGGGTGGCGTCGTTCTCGAGCGTGGCACCGATCCGGAGTGGAATACCTTTTTCACCTGGTTCGATGGCATCTCCGGTCTCGCTAGCAATGACTACTGGATCGGCTCGCGGCTGCTGACCAACCCTCGCAGCTTTGACAACGGGCTCCGAATGCCTGCAACGTACGTCAACCCTCTCACACGTGCTACTACTTCGCATCTCGGTGTTTGGCAGGCCTTTCCAAGTGATCGTCCTAACGAGAACGACGTTGTTATCAGGGGCAACTTTGGCCTGAACGGGCTCTTGCGCGGGACCAACGACCCCAACAACAAGTACGTGTTTGCGTGCATGCGCCGTGGTCCGCCTCAATTGTGCGACTCTAGTAGGATCGGCGAGACGGCTGTGGCATCGACATCAGTCACTTTTGAGCGGGCAACTTGGATGAACTGACCGCTACCCTTGGCAAGACGTCTACATACGAGTTCTGTGCTCGCTCGCTCGGGGAGTGGGTCCATCAGCCGATGCTCTCCCTCACCCACGTCCTCGTCACTCCGACCTCGATCACCGCCATGACGCCCAGGACCGTCGGCGCCGGCGTGACCTTTACCGCCACCTTTGCCGTCGCCCCGGGCCACCGCATCCACTCGCCGACTTCGCAGTTTGCCTTTTCCACTGACTGCTCTGGCAGTACGCCGCAGTACGAGACCGCCTACAACTCGGAGAGCGGTCGCTACACCGGCGTCTCCATCCCGACCTTTGGCACCTACAAGCTCTGCGTTCGATCGTCGACCAGTTCTCTGCGGGTCGAGATGACCGGCATCCAGCTGGTTGTTGCTCCCAGCGGTGTCAACGCCATCGCCTCGGTCACCCCGCCGTCTATCGCTGCCGGTGCTCCGGCCCGGTTTGTCTTTTCTGGTGCCCAGGTGACCGACACCGGCACCCGTCTTGCGCTCGTCGCCAGCGGAGCACCGTCATGTGTCGTGGATAACCATGTTGCACCGGCTGTGCCGTACTCTGCGACTGGGTCTGTCCTCGTGGCGCCATCGCTTGCAGCGGGCGCGTATCACGTGTGCTACTCGGTCGATGGCGGTGTGTCGTTTGCGCGCCAGACGGGCCCGGTCATCACTGTGGTCGACGTCACTTCATCTACCATCTCGTCATTCTCGCCGCAAAGCGCGTACGCCGACGATGCTGGTGTCTTTCTTGAGCTCAACGGCCTGTCGAGCGTGCTCTCTGGACAGGTCGGGCTCTCGACAGCGCCCGACTGCTCAGTCCCGCCTTCTACTGCCACCATCTCCAACGCGGTGGTGGTCAACGGGCGCGGGATGGCGTCGATATCGCTCAACAGCGGCGTGCCTGCGGGTCAGTACTACCTCTGTCTTGCATCAGCGGCCAAGCCAGGTACGTGGGTGGGACAGGCTAGCGGCGCAGCGTTCGTGGTCTTCTCGCCACCCAGTGCGACCTCGTTGACGCTGGACTCGCCGCCAGCGGTGCTCGGCAACTCGTTGAGCTCGTATGTGGTGAGCTTCACGGCCGGCGGTGGACCGCCGGGCGCCAAGGTGGCCATCTCACCCTACGCCTCATGTCAGGACCGCAAGGTCGAGGTGGCGCTTGCCGATGGCTCGATCGACCTCGCGCTCAGCGTCGACTACGGCGAGCCGGCGGCGCAGCTCTCCAAGAACTACCACGTCTGCTACACAGCCGAGGGCACGCGTTGGGGCTCGACGGGGCAAACGATCCAGTACGCGATCGACTCGCCGAATGCGATGACCGATCTGGTACCGTCGACGGTGCTGAACGGGACGCAGCCGCTCATGACCTTTGGGTCGCTGCAGCAGACGTCGGTGCCGTCACAGGTCCAAGTGGCGCTCCTGCATCCAGACGCCAATCAGGACTGTGGGCAGACGGGCTTCCACATCGGGACGGTTGATGTGCAGGCCAAGAACCAGGAGCTTCTGGTGAGCGAGGCGCTCGCCGAGCCTGGTGTGTTCGATGTCTGCCTCACAGTCAACGGCGGAGCGACATGGACGCGGCAACTTCGATCGCAAGTGTCTGTGGTGAACGAGCCGCTGGCGCTGTCGATCGAGTCTGCCACGCCGCAGATTGTGGCGTCTGGTGTGCCCGGTCTCGCGTTCGACATTGTGACCGATGCCCGCGACGGGACGACACAGCTTGCAATGGCCAAGTCTGGAGCGTGTGTTTCGGGGCGGATTGGCGAAGTGGCGTACACCACCGGTTCGCCGTCGCCGCCACCGTTCACGGCGCCGACGGGGCTAGACAAGGGCAAGTATCAGTTCTGCTTCTACAAGCCTATTCTTCTCGCCGAATGGGTGGCGCAGATCGCAGTCGGTGCGGAGATCACGGTCGTGTCGTCGACGGAGGCGCTGATTCTGTCGTCGCTCGAGCCTGCGTTCCTTGGCTCGGGCATGACGAGTGACCTCGTGCCGTCGGGGACGTCGAACCTCATCGGGGCGTCGTCGACCAAGGTGGCGGTCATTCCGGTTGCCGACTCGTGCGGCTCGGTGCCGGTCGCGAGCGAGCGTGAGTTTGGATACGGCAACACGACGATCCGTGGGTATGTCGGCGATCCGACACCGGGCATGTACAAGGTGTGCACGCAGATGGATGCCACGACGGCGTGGGTGGAGAATCCTGCGGCAACGTTTACGGTTGTCGGGCCGAGTGCAGACCGGTTTGTGACGCCGGTGCCAAACGTGATGGGCGCCAAGACGCGGCCGACGATCACGCTGACGGGCAACGGAGCTTACCACGCCAAGGGCGCGACGGTGGGGCTCTCGACCTCGGCGAGCTGCGCGAGCGTGGATGCGTCGGTGGATCTCAGCACCGACCTTGGGGCAACCGTGGCTATCACGGTGGACCGCGACTACGCGTCGGGCCCGCTGTATGTGTGCTACTCAACAGACGGCAAGGCAAGCTACACGGCGCAGAGCGCAACGATCGATGTGGTGACGATTGACACAAACACGCTGACGTCGGTGGACCGGCGATACCACCCTGCAGACAAGAGCGGGCTGACGATGACGTTTAGCACGTTTACGCCTGTGGCGACGGGCGCAATCGCATTTGCGGCGGCAGGCAAAAGCTGCCTTATTCTGGGTGACCGCGAGGCTGTGACGGACATGACGGCGACAGGACCGGTGACGCTGTCTGCGCCACTGGCATTGGGAGCGTACTCGACGTGCTACACGGTCAATCGTGGGGCGCCGTCCGAGGAGTGGACGCAGCAGTCGTCGGTGACGCTCACGGTGCAAGCTGGAAGCAGCACGACAGTGACAGGCCTGGTGCCGGCGGAGGTGCCGTCCGGAGTGGACGACTTTGTGCTAACGGTATCGTCGTCGATTGTGCTGATGAGCGGCGTCGAGCTCGGGTTTACGCTCACTGCCGGCGACTGCTCGTCCCCGCAGGTTGTGACGCTCATCAACAACGGGTCGCAGACCGAGTACGTGCTTGGCGGCGGGAGCGGCGGATTCACGAGCGCAGGCGTGTACTACGCGTGCGTGCGAGTCGACTCGGACGTGCCGACGTGGCTGGCGCAGACGGGTGTGTCTGTGCAGGCGATTGCTGCGACGGCGACGACGGTGACGAGCCTGTCGCCGCTTATGGTACCTGTCGGCGTGAACCCGGTGTTTGCGATGACCGGCTCCAACATCAAGCCGTCTGCTGCGACGCGGGTGTTCTTCTCGTCGTCGGCGTCGTGCACGCCCGAGCTGGGCGTGATTCCGATTGTGAGCGGGACCGAGACGCAGTGGACGTCGGCGATCAACACACCGGGCAACTACACGGTGTGCTATGGGGTGCACGCGACGCAGGTTGTGGCGCAGACAAGCGTGGGCAAGCTGGTGGTGCGCGGTGCGACTGACGCGATTGATCATGTCGACCCGCGTGTTGTGGGCGTGGGCTCGAAGCCGACGTTTGCGCTGTCGGGAGTGTACTTTGAGTCGTCGTCGTTGATGTCGCTGGTGCCTGTGGGCGTCGGGTGTGGAGCCGGGGCCGGGACGTACGTGGATGTGCCGTGGACTGGGCCAACGATCGCCGCGGCGAGCGCGATGCCTGCAGCAGGCGACTATGTGGCGTGCTACTCGTGGGACGGCAGCCGTGGCGGGCTTGTGCAGCAGGATGGACCGCTTGTGCGTGTGGTGAACGTGACTGCGAACGATGTGGTGGATGTGAACCCGAAGTTGTTTGGCACGACCAAGCCGCCGCCGCTGACGATCAGCCTCAACGCTGGGGTGGAGATCTCTGCGACGACGTGGTTCGCACTTGTTGCGCAGGGCGTGGCATGCGATTCCGAGAACGTGGACGGCGCTGTCTCGCTCGGATCTGGGGCGACAACGTTCAACCTGGGGCCGTTTAACTCGCCATCGGGGCCGTACGAGGTTTGCTTGTCTGTGGATGGCGGGCTGAGCTACGTCAAGCAGGCTGGGCTCAATGTGACGGCGCTCTCTGCGCAGCCGACAACGATTACGTCGCTGAGCATTGACGGGGGCGAAGAGGCTGGAACGTGCTCGAGGCCGGAGTGCAGACGGAGATTGTTCTCGCTGGTGCGACGGCGTCGGTCAACACCAAGATCGGGTTTGACCGCGTGTCGGGCGGGTGCCAGGTGCCGAGCAACGTGCTGTACGCGCGCGACTACAATGAGGCTGGGCCTGGCGGACTCGCGTATTTTAACGTGACGTTTGCTAACGCTGGCGAGTACGTGGTGTGTCTGTCTGTGGACAGTGGCGACAACTACGTGATGCAGAGCCTTGCCGAGACGCGTGTGCAGGTGATTGTGTGTGCCGCGCAGACATCGTGCGGCGCGTGTGCGTCGATCTGCTCGTGGTGCCTCGAGGAGTCAAGCTGTGTGTCGCGTGTGGGGATCGGCGGCGGGGCGTGTGCCAACACGACGACGGTGATTCCCGGGCTGAGCGGCGAGAACCGGGCGTGTCCGACGGGCACGCCGTCTGCGTCGTCGGGCTCGATGCAGGGCGGGACCGAGGTTGTGTTTTCGGGCGGCCCGTTCCTGCCTGGCACGACGTGTCAGTGGGACCGTGGTGCCGGGCAGGACATTGTGGAGCTTGCGGCACGTGTGGCCGAGCGACCGAATCGTCAGCTACGTGCGTGTCGCCGACGTCGCTGGTGGCGACAACTGGAACGCTCACGCTGCGGTATATCGACGAGGACTATCTTGCACCTGTGCCGTTCGAGTACTACTCGTGCCTGCTCCGGGACACGTGCTCCGAGTGCTGGGAGGCAGCGCGGCCCGAGTGCGGGTGGTGCGTGGACACGCAGCAGTGCACGATTGCGTCGTCGTGCGTGAACCCGAACGCGACGGCGCCGTCCGAGACGCCGCTGTTTGGCGGGCAGGGCTGCCCGTCTGTGGACGCGATTGCGCCGCTCAACGGGCTTACATCGGGTGGTGAGACGGTGACGGTGACCGGCGTGCTGTTCACCAACTACTCGCGGCTGCTGTGTGCGTTTGACGGAGTGCCGGTCAACGAGACGGTGTATGTGTCCGAGAGCGAGCTGCAGTGTTCGACACCGCAGCGCGGGGCCGGTGGCGCGCAGTTTACGGTGGTGGCGCCGTGGGGCCGGTTTGACGAGACGACGCTGTTCTTTGTGTTTGAGCAGCCTGCGGCGGTACCCAAGCCGCCGGAGCCGCCGCTGGGCACGAGCTCGATTGTCGGCATTGCGGTTGCGGGAGCTGTTTGCTGCCTGCTGATTGTGCTCCTCGGGATCCTTGTGTACAAGCGGAAACGCGAGGAGGAGCTGTACGGGCCACCGGAGCTGACGGACGATCTGCGGCATTCTGTGGTGTTTGGCTCGTTTGGATCGAAGAAGCCGCTCGATTTCGACGCTATCATTGCCAAGTCGGGCCCGCTGCTGGAGATGCTGCTGCTGCCGGGCTACGAGGTGCTTCACGCCGTGGTGGACGTGACGCAGGCGACGGAGGCGGACAACGTGGCCAAGGCTGTGCTCATTCTCACCGAGGCGCACAAGCTGTCTGTGGACCTGCAGAAGGACTTTATCACGCGGGAGGTGTTTGGAGCGCAGTCGCAGGCGACGATGTTCCGGACCAACTCGTTTGCGACCAAAATGTTCAAGACGTACTCGAAGATGCAGGGCCTGGACTACGTGCACGCGACGATTGGGCGACCGCTGAACAAGATCATCCACGATCTGGAGCTCGAGGAGCAGAAGAAGGCCAAGGGCGAGGCGCAGGACGAGACGAACAAGTTCGGGCTGCTTAACAAGTGCCAGCGGATGTTCAACACGATTGTGGAGTCTGAGCGGTACCTGCCTGTGGCGTTCCGCGAGCTGTTTGCTCATGTGCAGGCGTGCATGTCTGAGCGGTTCCCGGTGTCGACGGAGAACCTCGCGGCTATTGTGGCGGAGAACCTGCACGACAATCTGAAGGAGACCAAGTCTGCGTACGTCAACGGGTCCGAGGTCTTCCACGAGATCGAGAACCTGGAGCCGCTGCTGACGTCCGACCTGGCGTCGATCGGAGTGGCGATCAACCCGATGCGGGAGGGGCTCGACATGTTCAACGACGCAATCCTGGAGCTGACGGACAAGCTCGACCAGATGGTGGACGCGTGTGACAACCTGCAGGGAGCGCTGGACCCGACGTCGCAGGCTGCGCGGCGGCTGCTTGAGGAGCACACGCAGCAGCAGAACTCGATTGCGGTTGGTGGGTTCTTCTTCCTCCGTTTCATGGTGCCGTGCATCACGGCGCCCGAGTCGTACGGGCTGGTGAAGGAGCTGCCGACGCCGACGGAGCGGAAGCTGCTTGTGCTGATCGGCAAGGTGCTGCAGAACCTGTCGAACAAGAAGGAGTTTGGCAACAAGGAGAAGAAAATGCTTCAGTTCAACGACTTTATCGTGTCGAACGAACGCGTGATGGCGGAGCTGTTCGACAAGCTCTCGACGGTGCCGGAGCGCGTGGAGGGCGTGGCGGTGACGTTCTCGGAGGTTCCGGAGAAGTACCGCGACGCGGCGATTTGCACGCTGTACCAGCACATCGAGCGGCTGCTGCCCAAGGTTGTGGCGCGGCTGACGGACGCAGAGCTGTGCGACGACGAGCCGACGCGAGTGATGCGGGAGCAGATGGCGCGAATGCTCGCGATGCTCTACGGGCGTGCGGATCTCGCAGGCGTTGAGAAACAGGCAACCGTGCAGCGGACGGCGCACCTCAACTCGGAGGACGACTCGTCGTCGTCGAGCTCGACGGACTCGTCGGACTCGTTTGCAATGCCGGCGGGAGCAATTGTGGAGAAGGAGCTGTAGCCATGACGTTGATAGCCAAGCGTATGCTTGCGATTTTCCCATGAAAGCAAGCGATTTTGAGCTTGAAGGGTGTGGAGGCTGGTGGTGTGTGTGTGAGAATCAGTTTAATGATGTAGACTAGAGGGTCCACAACCAACCGAACGTCGGACGAAGCCCCCGACCGTAGGAAGGGACTGTCCGGGCCCGTCTGGCGCCAACTTACTCGTGAGCCTCGTCATACGCATGAAGCGCTTGGACTTGGGGCCTGGCCTTGGGTAGGGGTCAGGACGTGGATCGGACCGGCGTGAGCCGGGCCGATTAGAACAATTATGCCGCCCTGCACGGGTGCAGGGGTTAGTTATCCAACCTTACGGTAGGGGGTCTCCGACCCGATAAGGTTGCATCGGATCTTGGGTGCAGGAGGAGGTCTTGTCCAGAAAGAGAGGGGAAAGGGGGGAAGGGGGCGAAAAAAGGGGGTAAACTGGCGTGTTGGGGGGGTTAAGAGATGGGCGTTGGAGATGGCGTTGAAGATGGCGTTGACAATGGACGAGACACAGCAGCGCTGTTGAGAGCTCCTGTGTTCCAGATCACGTGCTGGAGAGTTGTTGCATGGAGTTAAGCAGAGAAGCACCTACAGGAACCGCAGGGTGCCACCTGCCGTGGGATTGTACGCCGGCCCTAAGTACCGCGAACCACTGATCTCACTACGGCGAGAAGACGGCCGCCACATAGGACATCCGTAAGTGGTGCGGCGTACAACTTGTTGGGTGCTCAACATCGACTGCAGGATACTCTAGTCACTTGGAATCCCTCACTGGGGCGCCGACGACCGATATTCCTTCAGATCCCACCCTCCAAGAGGTCGACCTCTGTCCTGGTTGCAGCTCAGGACCACCGAGCATCCGGCGGTCCACCAGGGAGAGGTTGGCAATATGGATGATAATGCCGACAACATGTGACGACACTGGTTGCCGTCGGCGGACCGACGGCGGGATGGACACACATCCCATGGGGGGTTAGGAGGATCAGCGTGAGCAGGGCGCATGCGCCCTCGCCCCGCTGATCCGTCCACACCTCGCAGCGCCGTTTAGGGACGGATCCCTGACCGCAACCAACGGGGGCGACAAACGGTAGGTGCACCTACCGCCGGTCAACCCCCTTCGAATGAGACCGCACCCCCTTGCGGACTCCGGTCGCATGACGTTTGGCGGGTCATTTCTGACCACGAGGAAGGATGTGCAAGGGCGCCAGACGGACTGCGTCCTGGCGCCCAGGGGGCCGGCTCCTCCCCTGGCCCCCCTTCCTGGTGGTACACGCTCCTCGGCCTGCTCAAGACACCGGGTGCACCCCCGGCCACGGGCAGAGCCCGTGACTGGTTGCTACCCTTCATCCGGTGCCCTGAGCGCGGATGAAGCCGAAGGTCGCGCGACCCCAAAAATTACATTGTCCACGACTCCCGCACTGTCCAAGGACAGTACGGCCCCCTCATGTAGGGGGTCTCCCAGGGTGTGCACTGTGTCATCCACACCACAGCCCTGTTTGTCACCGGGACTCCCGACCGCGAGCCTGCGAGCGGGAGGGGAAATTCCGGAGAGAGGAGTCCTGGAGGCTGGTGGTGCGGAAATGGCCATCGTTTCGTCTTTGAGAGATCCAAAAAACGCACGATCATGCATTTTCATTCAACGTGGAGAAATAGGAGGAGACTAGCTGCTGGGAAGATGAGCTTGTTTATCGCAGTAATGAGAGGTGCAGTGTGGCGAGATGCAGGCGGCGAAAGCGTGGAGTACTAGCTGATGTTGAATGAGGCGTGGTTCCACGGATTGAGAACGCGAGAGAAGAGCTCACGCTGCTTGCGCTGCTCGACCACGTCATCAGCGGTGACCGGCTTGCGGTAAAAAGCATCTGCGTATTCGGACTGGCGATACATACGGAAGGAGCGGTTGGCGTTGAAAGAGGGAGATGACGGCCTGTAGCCAGCGTAACCGGGCACCATCTCGCGGCCAACGTTGAGGGTGGACGAGGCCTTTTCGGTCCTGCGCGGACAGTTAGCGACAGCCTGGCGGCGAGCGTGGACGTTGTGCGGATCGGCCGGGAGGAAGCCCGTGTAGCCCGGAAGGTGGTTGGTTGTTTTTGTGGAGCCTGCGGCGAGGTCGGCGTTGGAGGAGCGAAGCGAGATCTCCTTGGGATGGCGCGGGTTGGCCTCGACGGGATTGTAGCCGTATTCGCCGTATTCGCGATGGCACATGGAGCGCACCGGAAGCGGGCAAAGAACCTCATGCTCGCGCGGCGGGCGAGTCTGCTCAACCTTGTTTCGTTTGGCAAGGACCGGCGGCGGGGCGTGGGTCGGATCGACGGCGTCAGGCCCGGCGGCGAGCCGGCGGGCGGTCTCTTCCCGCTCGCCGGCAGCGGCCACAAGGGCCGACTCAAAGTCTGACGAGTAGATCGAGACTGCCCGGTTCGGATCATATACACGCAGCGAGTCTTGGGTGGTATCGAGGGCGTGATCGGTGTGAGCAGTAGGAGCATCAGATGCAGACGTAGCGCCAGCGGCGATGTGGCCGGGCTGGGGCAAGGGTTCGCCAGATGTAGGCGGCGCGGGCGAGGCCGCAGAGGCAGATGCAGAGGCCGATGTCGGCGGCGGGTGGGAGTGGTGGTCACCGGAGATGTCTGCGGTGAGATCGATGCCCTTGTGGCGACGCCACTCGTAGCTTGTGTTGGGCCGCTCGTAGACAAAGTCCTTCGCGGGGAGGGCCACGTCCTCTGTGTAGGAGGAGAGGAAGCGGGAGGACATGAAGACTGTGGCAGTTGGAGTCGGTGTGGTTTGGTGTGTGGTGTGGTGGAGTGCGTGGGGCTGGAAGAGGAAGCGGCCACAGTGGGTGGGTGTCTCGTGTGGGGGGGGGAGGGGGTGGCGGTGCCGTGTGGCCAACGGTCAGGGCAAAAGGGGAGGGTTTGGGGGGAGACGACAACTATCGAACGATGTGGAAGACTGAAGACAATGAGCAGACGAACGATTACGGTTGAACGAATGACAACGATCAGACGAACGATTACGGTTGAACGAATGACAACGATCAGACGAACGATTACGGTTGAACGAATGACAACGATCAGACGAACGATTACGGTTGAACGAATGACAACGATCAGACGAACGATTACGGTTGAACGAATGACAACGATCAGACGAACGATTACGGTTGAACGAATGACAACGATCAGACGAACGATTACGGTTGAACGAACGACTGTGATGGGCTCGGCTCGGCCTGAGCTGCCAGTGCCGAAGCCGTGGATGAAGCAGATACATTTCGCCGCACCTCTCACTCCCTGGCACCAAGCACCAACTACTACCCTCGTCTGCCACCAGCCATGGCCTTTGCCACGTCGGCATCGTCTCTCATGCTCTCCTCGCCAGCCGCCTCGCGAGGCTCACCCGCTCACCCGCTGCCCCGCCTCCCGACACGGTCTGCCACTGCGGCAGGTGCCGTCGACACCTCCGGCACACGCATGGCCCTCGCCTACCACGTTGTCGCCCTTCCGCCAGGCATCGGGCCCGATGCCCACGCCGCGGCATCATCCGCCGTTGCCGAAGCCATTGACACCTCCTTTGACGCTATCCACGCCGTCCTCGATCCGTTCAACCCAGACTCAGAGATCGTCGCCCTCAACGCCTTCCTCGCTGTCGATGCCGAGAGCATCGATGGCGCCGACAACGCTGATGGCACCAATGGAGCTGCTACGGGCGAGAAGCAAGCACCGAGCCCATCATTCTCGCTCTCACCGCTGATGCAGAGGGCGCTGGCGCTGGCGGGCGAGGCGCACGCTCTGACTCTCGGTGCGTACGACGCCACGGCCAAGCCACTGTACGATGCCTGGCGCTCCGCGCTCGCTGCAGACTCGCTGCTCTCGCCAGCGAGGCAGAAAGATGTCATGAACGTCGTTGGTTGGCATCTGGTCGAAGTCGACGACGGGAAGATCGTGCGCGACCGCATCCCGCCCGGCGTCCAGATCGACTTGCTCGGCCTCGCCAAGGGTCTCGCCATTGACCTCATTGCAGATGCTCTGCTCGACGTGGGTTTTGAGGCGTTTATGGTCGAGTGGGGCGGCGATATGGTCGTTGCGGGCGGGCCGCCGGCTGCGCCTCCGTCGTCTGCGCTGGGCGGACGACGGGCCGGGCCGCAGACACACACCGGGGTAGGGTGGGGATGGGACGTAGCGGTTGCGACACCACCACCTGTTTCTACGCTGTTTGCAGCATGGACTGCCGGAGAGCCGCTGGCAGATCTCGCTGGCTCAGCTGGTACGCTCGCCACGCTCAAGATCACGCCGCCACCAGGCGTCCGCTACGTCTCAGTTGTTACGTCGGGCGACTACACCGAGCTGTTCAAGTTTGGGCACACCCACTTTGTGGACCCGCACTCGGGCGCGCTGCTTAAGCTTGGGGCTGGCATGCCCGCGTCGGTCACGATTGTGACCTCGGCAGCCTGCGCACTTGCCGATGCGCTCGCCACTGCTGCCGTCGTCATCGGCGCCCGATCCGGGCCCGACGGCATCGCGGCCTGGCTGGACCTGCTTCCGTCGCGGCTCGAGTCGCCAGGTCACCTCGCCTACGGTCTGTGGTGGCGGCCGGGGCCCGACTGTGACACGACCTGGCTCTCGACCCTCGAATCGTCGCTGCTGTGTGCTCGCAGAGGCAGTGACGGCAGCGCTGCCATGCCTGCACCAATCCGCCGGCTCCTTCGCTGCCTGCCTCGTGGTATGTGGGAGCTGCGACTTGGCCCTGAGCTGGAAGCGTTGACGGCGACGTCTGTCATCACCTTGCCAACTGCTATCACCTTTGCTCTCGAAGCCTCCGCCGCCACGTCCCTGCCGCTGGGCACTGAGCTTAGCCAGGCGCACGCGGCGGAGCTTGCCCTCCCGGCCGGCGTGGCGAGCATCCTCTTCACCGGCACCTTTTCTGCTGTGCGATGCGTGGCTGGACGCAAGGAGGCACCGACGGGAGTTACGCCGCTAGTGGCTACGGGCTTGTCTGTTTATGCTGTCGGCGACCACGTGCTCGTTGTCGGTTTCATTGATGGTGCCGTCCCGGGCGATGTTGCCGGTGGCCTGCCTACGCTCTATGCCAACCGCGAGGTTACTCTTGCCTCACATCCGGTCGTCAAAGCGTTTGGAAAGAACGCTCCGATCGCGGTGCTGGATCCCGGGCCGGATGATCCCAGCCTCTTGCTCGACGCGCTGTGCGCCTTCCCAGCAGCGTTGATGGTGCGCAAGACGATGGTGGACAAGCGAATCGACTATGACTGGTTTGCCGTCCGCTTTGTCGAGCTCTCACTGGAGCCTGCCCTTGTTGCGGTGACTCTGCCTGGGGCGGTGCCGGCTGGCGCTGCGCTCACGCTCAATCTTCTTTCCATGCGGCAGAAGCAGCTGCTTGGGACGCTGCGGCCGAGCGAAGAGCACCAGTATGAGGCCAAGGCATCGGCTGCCTTTCGTCGCCTTCAGACGGCGACCTTCCGCGAAGCTGATGTTGAGTACGCCGCAATCCGGTCGTCGACTGCAGTCGTCCTTTGCACAGCGACCGAGACAGCCATCAGGGTTTCGTCTGGCACCTCCCTTGTCGTCTGCCGCGTCCACGGCCTCTTGGAGCGCTCCCCGTGGCGTCCGGCCGCTGCCGCCGTCTTTGCCAATGGCATTGTCGCCTCCGTGGCCTCGACCCAAGCTGCACCGTCCGCCCCGACCACGCCACAACCGCAACCATCATCGGCATCGATCGATCCACCGCCCGAAGTTGCCGACCTCCTCGCCGCGTTCTCATAACGCCCTCTCCTGCCCAGTTTGA